TAACCCTAACCCTAACTAACCCTAACTAACCCTAACTAACCCTAACTAACCCTAACTAACCCTAACCCTAACTAACCCTAACTAACCCTAACTAACCTAACCCTAACTAACCCTAACTAACCCTAACCCTAACCCTAACTAACCCTAACCCTAACTAACCTAACTAACTAACCCTAACTAACTAACCCTAACTAACTAACCCTAACTAACCCTAACTTCCCGCCCCGACTTAGTAAAGTTAAAAGAGGCATATACAACTTTAACCGGTAGTAGTGGTTATCTTATGTGACAATTGTTTTTACTAGGTAGTAGTGGCCTTGTCTACGAGCCGTACCTTTTACTTGGGAACTGGCACCACGATCACGTTTAAAGAGACCCGGTTGAATCACCGAAGACTCACAAGAAGAAACGCTAGATATATTATGACAAGTAATTACCCGGCTCGCATTTTGGAAATACCCGTATATTCTGCCATGAATAACCCTTGTTTCTATTTAACGATTATATGAGAAAGTTAGAGGATGTAGGAATATATATCTAAGTCGTCTGCTGATCTGGCCAGGTTCTGCGCTGGTCCTGCACTGGTCCCAAGTTTCATGATGCGCTCTTTCCTGCTCTTCTCTTGCTTCTTCGGGCTCGCGTGGTGCGACATTCCAAGCCCTAATTCCAAAAGCCACCCGTTGCGTCTCTGGTATACGTCCCCGGCCTTATACTGGAATGACTCGTTACCCATCGGTAATGGTCGACTGGGCGGTATGGTCAAGGGGTCGCCCTCGTCCGAACTGGTGTATATGAACGAGGACAGTTTCTGGTCGGGCGGTCCCTTGAATCGCACCAACCCCAGCGCATTCAGCTCGTGGCAGACAGTGCAGCAATTGCTGCTCCAAGGTGACGTGTCGGCGGCAACGTTCGAGGCGAACCTGGGGCTGGCCGGAGTGCCTTCCAGCACGCGCGAGTACATGCCCGGCGGAGACTTTCAGATCGTCTTTCAGAACCAAGCTTCGGTGCAAACCTACGAGCGATGGCTGGATCTGAGTGATGGTACTGCCGGCGTCTACTACACAGCCGGATCGGTGGCGTACCAACGCGAATATCTCTCCAGTGCCGTCGCAGATGTGGTGGCCATTCATCTGACGGCCTCGGTGCCCGGATCCTTGAACTTTTATATCAAGTTCCAACGGTCCTCCAATTCGCAAAACCGATTCGCCGAGACGGCCTATGCCGAAAATGGTGATACCATTGTCTCGACCTTTCTGGGCAATCAGATTCGGGGAGTGTTTGCGGCCCAAGTGCGCACTACCGGTGGCTCGAAACGCCAAGTAGGCGACCAGATCCTGGTGACAGGCGCTGATGAGGCCTGGATCGTCACAGACATAGAGACCAGTGTGCGGGAGCCGAACCCACTGGCCGTGGCCAAGAAGAAACTTGCCGGCGCCCTGTCCTCCTCCTATGACGCTCTGCGGTCCCAGCATGTGGCCGACTACCAGACCCTCTTTAACCGCGCCAGCCTGTCGCTAGGCGCGTCGTCAGAATCCCAAAACGCGCTGTCCACAGACCAGCGCCGCCAGGCCCTCGCCCCCGGCGAGTTCGACGCCGAATTGGCCAGTCTTTACTTCCAGTTCGGACGATACTTGCTTATCTCCTCCTCGCGGCCGCACACCTTGCCACCGAACCTGCAGGGCATTTGGAATAACGACATGAATCCGGCATGGGGATCCAAGTACACGATCAACATTAACCTTCAGATGAATTACTGGCCGGCCGAAGTCACCAGTGAGTGTAGGCCCCCGCGGTGGGTGTTCTCGGTGCGTGAATGGTGGGCTAATTATTTTTTCTCTTTCTTATTAGATCTTCCTGAACTTACGGAGCCGTTGTTTTCGCTGCTGGAGACGGCCTATGTGTCGGGCAAAAAAACGGCTAAACAGATGTACGGAGCGGGAGGCTGGTGTCTGCATCACAACACCGATCTCTGGGGAGACTCGGCCCCCCAAGATATTTACTCCCCTGCATCGTACTGGTCCCTAGGGGGTGCGTGGCTGCTACAGCACGTCTACGAGCACTACTTGTTTACGGGGGACAAGGCCTTCCTGAAGAAGTACTACTACCTGCTCTACGAGGCGGCGCAGTTCTTCCATGACACACTGGACGACTACCAAGGTTGGAAAGTGACTAACCCGTCCGTTTCCCCGGAGAATTCATATCGCAATGGCAGTGTCAGCGGTGCCATGACCGTTGGGTCCACCATCGATAATTCCATCCTGCGTGAGCTCTTTGCCAATCTGCGCGACGCCACGACCATTCTCGATCTGCCGCACACCCCTCTTGTCGCCCAGGCCATGGACTTGCACGCGAAACTTCCGCCGCTGCGGGTCTCCCCCACTACCGGCGTCCTCATGGAGTGGATCGAGGACTTTGTCGAGACTGATCCGGGCCATCGACATCTGTCGCCTGTATACGGGCTCTATCCCGGACGCGAAATCACTCCGTCCGATACGACGATTTGGAATGCCTCCCGCGCCTTTGTCGATCGAAGAGTATAGTGAGTGGTTTTTTATTCCCCCGGTCACAGTGGCGGAAGTCCTGTAGAACTGACCGGGTGTAGTCACGGATCTGGCAACATTGGCTGGTCTCGCGCGTGGATTATGAGCTTGCACGCCCGTCTCCACGATGGACGTGGCGCCGAGAATGACCTCTTCTATCTATTGAGCAATCTCACCTACAACAGCCTGCTCGACTCGGGCCCCCCCGCCGGATTCCAGATAGACGGCAACTTTGGAGGCTGCGCTGCCATTGCGGAAGCCCTGCTGCAGAGTCACAATGGAGTGGTGAAGGTGCTGCCGGCCCTGTTTCCGTCCGCATTAAACGGCAGCTTCTCTGGCTTGGTGGCTCGCGGCGGGTTTGTCGTCAATGCCACCTGGGCCAACGGCTTGGTGAGCCATGTGGCCGTGTTGTCTCGTCTCGGCAACCCACTGAACCTTACTCTGGGCACGGAACAGTCGCTGTCATTGGCCGAAGCCTTGCCATTCAATTCCTCCCGCGTGAATGCAAGTGTATCCCTGACGATGAAGACTGCGCCTGGTGCCACGTATAATTTTGTCACCAACTCATAATGGAGCGCTTGGCTTCACCTTTTTGGACTAATAGAGTCTGGGCAGGATCTACACTGTATTGTATACATAGTTAGTCTCTAGAACCAAATTCTGTACCTATCCCCTATTTAAGATATTTAGAATATTCGCCTGAATCACTGGTTTTTTTGGCCTTGTCCCTGAATAAGTTGGTCTTGTGCTTCTATCACCTGATACATCCCTTGATTTGTCCTTCTGATATACTATTCAATCCCGATATTTTTTTTGGAAAAAAAATCAGAAACGTTTAAAAATACCAATAACATTTAATCCGCTTTGTAGTTGTCGTGATTTCCCCGCATGTGTGAACATGAGCTTAATCCAACACAATCGAGCCTTGTCGTACGAAGAGGCAGGCAGTATTGCAGTCCTCGATTTCCTTGCCGTGCCTCGTTCGTTGCAGGTAGTCGACTAATAGACACCTTTCATCGCCACTAATGACGAATGTAGCGCATAAATAGAAGAGAGGAAAGCGCATCGTACTGCAGTCTCTGAGCCCGCCTTTCATCTTAGCTTAATTTACCCGTAAATATATTTTATTAAGACTATTATAAGTCGTAATATGTAAGTTAAGAAGATAAAAAAAAAGGTGAGTAAAAATAGAAATAAAAATAAAAATAAAAAGGAAGGGATTAGAAAGAAAATAAAAAACTTGACGAATCATCCGTCTTAAAACCGTGATTAAGCCGAGTATAAACCAGGCCATTAACATTACCCCCCACAACACGAACCGATTTGCGACACCACTTTTACACCAGGATAGCCATACCCATTGCGTTACGGTCCAGTCCCAGTGGTGTAAGAAGAGCATGCTGCACGGGTTTCTTGGTCAAAGCATTAAGTACGGTAATCCACGCTTCCGTGGTCCCGTTACCAGGACTCAACGCATAAACAAAGCTACCACCAGACCGGATCTCTGTCAAACCCGGATCGTTACTGAAAGTCGTCAGGTCAATGGGCTCGCCAATGATTTCGGCGTTCGCCAGAGACATTTCAACTAGGCGGTTCATGCGAATGTCCGTAACAAAGGCAGTGTGAGTGGCCGGGCAAATGGCAACCCAGCATGTAGCGTCTTGGCCCGGAATAACAGTCTTATAGAGTGTGGAGGCCTCGTAGTCCTCGATACCGAGAATAACAGCACCGAATGAAGCGTCGGTGGCGAATAGATTAGTCGTGTCGGGAATAGGAGTAGAACCAAAGAGAACGGCAGTTCCCTCAGGAGAGCTGATAACGCCCTTGTGGGAAACGGACGGGGTGGCATAGCACGACGAGTGGATGTGTTCGACTGGGTAGGCAGCCAGGAAACCAGTGTTATTAACCGCTGGATCACCCTTAACGGTGGTAAACACAGTCTCCTGATCGCCCGAGAAGAAAACATGCGATACCGTATTTGTAGGGCCATGCGGCGGCGTAGTCTGGTGCAAATCGAAGGGCCGCAACTCGTCAAAGGGGCCAAGACCATACCACGAGTAAGATGCGCAAGAAACTCCAGCCTTGGCACCAGTAAGACCAACACAAACGAGATTGAACTTGTCAGAGGCTCCCACGGTAGTAGGGAACTCGCCGGGCAACTCGGCCGGCTCGCCAACAACTGTCACCTTTGTAGGGTCGTGTTTATCAATAGCCAGCATTGTCACTGTATTAGAGCCGGCGTTAACGGCGAAGAGGTACTGTAATATGTTAGAACTAGGAAAGCTTATCTTCACACTGTACTACGGCGGTAATGGACGTACATCTCCTGCAATGGTAATGGAACCTTGACCGAAGAGCGCGTCAGGGCCCGCGGGCATGCCTCTCGGGTTGATACCATTGCCACCACGACCACCAGTAGCCGTAGAAGTGGCGTAGTTGACCAGAAGCGACCCGTTCCGGGCAATGGGTATGGCAACCACAGAGTTGTGTTCCGTGTTCGAAGTCACGTAGACGGCCTTGCCGTTCAAGCAAGCCTCCGATTCCGCGTCGGCATAATAATGGTCGCTAGTTGGATGCGCAGACGTAGCCGAGATTACCGAGGCCAAAGCCAGAAACTTCAGCTTATTGTAGTAATGCATGGCGGATGTGAATGGTGGCAAGGTATTTCCGTATATTCGCGCGATAACTAGATTTTCAGATAAACAAAAGGTTTCAAGCTGAAGTCGGATGGAGAGACGGAGTATCTATTGCGAGGAGCAGGAGCCAGGGGACCTCTTATATCTTTCCTGTAGGACCATCCATTCTTCTAAAACGTCTAGTACGCTCCTCATGTTACATGAAATTCTCCCCTCAATTACATCGATTAAGATATTAGAATTACCATATTAGGAACGCGAACTCGCCCGGCTTAGTCCAATTGCTAACGCTTCACCCGGAAGATTTCAATACGAAAGAGAAGAATGCGGACCCGACAAAGAGGCACCGGCCGATACGCCCGAAGTGAGAAGATTTAGGTCTAATGTCTAGATTGCCCGGTCTCCGGTGTATCCGTAACGACAGCCACATCTCCGACTGCTTCATTTTTGTGAGACGAAAACAAAGGAAAATGGTTAAGACATTTTTGTATCTACTACGCCCGAAGTAAGTATAGTTGACAATACGGTGATACAACACAGGTCGCGTCTGGGTATTAGTTGTATATAATTCGAGTGCATTTTGCACTCCCCATTTAGGATCAAATATAATAGCTCGCAGATTTTCGTTCTAATTAAAAGGATCAGATAGAGTGAACTTCCCCGAAAAAGATCTTTCAGACGACAAAGAAAGGCTATCAGAGTCAATACGTGAATCGTGAATGGTGTAAGTCGTACCGTGAAGCTGTTACGTAAGTAATGGCGCCTTGACGACTTTCTCGGGCGTAGGCTTTCAAGAAACAAGCATACCAAAGGTGATCAACATTGCCAGTTTAAGTAAAGTATTGATATACGACGGGCAACTAGCCTCCTTGTTCTCGGCCCACCGAAAATGATCTCGAACCATTGGGCAAGGAAATAAGAATGAGATGGCACCACGAACTCCTTTCTTAGGTAATAAAACAGCGCATAAATGTACGAGCCAAGATTGGGCATGTATTCAATTGTAAGACAATCAAACGATTGATAGAGTCGATCGCGAAGGTAGGACGCTAATCGCGACATTCGTGACAAGACCAAAGTCTTACCGGCCCATATCGTCGCGTGTACGAGGAGATGGGAGGTTGCCTACTGGAATTGTAATGTTTTGTGTATGCAAAGTCTGCAAGTCGGTGGCACCACTTGGTAACAGCGAGTAGGACGCTGTCCGTTTACAATATGGCACGTGACCCAGCCTAGCTGCCGTCCTCGAATCAAAATTTTACGAATGAGAAGGTGGTCTTCGCCAAGACACACGCTCTAAAAAGCGTAAGAGGAGTGACTAAGGTGGTCGGGTAATAGTACTAATATAAACCAGTATTCCGTATGTACTAGCACTTATTTATAATATAAGGCAACAAGTTTCTTCTAAAATGGCCGCGTAGTTGTTGATTTGTCTTCCTTACGATTTTGTGGGACATCGATAGACGATCCGTCGAGGCCTTTGTTGTCGACGGCGTTCTGCTGCTTTCCGAGATAAAAATTTGGCATACAGACGGAAGCAAAGAGTGTCACGACAGATAGGCAGATTGAGGCCGTAGTAATGTGGCCATTGACAATAGCGTACGCACGGATAGAGCCCTGTCGGACGGGATCATTGAAATCGTACTTTCGTAAGGACCGAATACTCCCGTAAACAGTCTTAATAGTAGACTCGGGAACTCCGGGAAGCTCCACGCGCATCTGATCAAGCATTTGGCTGGTCCAGATGGCCGATGCAACAGCACTTCCAACACTTGAGCCCAAGGTCGACCACAATGTAATAATCGAGATCAGTGATGCGATATCTTTATGGGGGACGGATGCCTGGACACCCACACGGGCACCAACAACGTTGAGGGATGAAAGGCAGAAGATGAGCTGCGCCGCAACCAGGCGTACCGTGTCCTGCGTCATATTGCCGTTGCCCTGGATCAGCAGACCGTAGCCGAGGACCTTAGCTGCAGCACCGAGCACCATAACAGTTTTGTATCGGTGCGTGGTACGGTGGATTAGACCCACGCAGGGGCCGACAATACAGAGACCCATAGTTGTGATGCCGAGGAAAATGGTCCACTGGTACGTCGTCCACTGTTTGATGATGAGAATGTATGACGAGAAGTAGGTGTTGCGGACGGCCGACGCAAGCTGATTGAAGGTGTGGATGATGACGCCGGCGATGAAAGCGCGGTTGTTCAATATGTTGCGAGTCATCAATGGCTTGCGGGCCACGAAGTACTCGAAGAGCGCGAACAAGATGAGGAAGACGAAGCCAACCACGATCATGGCAATCATGCTCGGATTGCGCCACCCGTTCTTAGCATCACCAGCCAGTGTGATAGGCAAGAGGATGAGAGAAAAGGCAAAGCCAAGAAGCAAAAGGCCAAAGATATCAATGTCGATAAGTCCTCGGTACGCCAAATGGGCCCAATATGCGATGCTGCCAGTGGATGCCTCGGTACGGCCTGTGCGAACATCCTTCGAATCAGCCATTGTGACCATGCCGGCCTTCTTCCCACGACGCTGGATCGTGTAGAGTGTCAGGATAGCAGGTATGAGAAGCACGGGCACCATAATGGCAAACATGCCTAAGCCCCAGCGCCAGTTTCCGTAGAAGCCACTGCTAATAAATCCATTAACAGGTACGGTGACAATGAAGGGGAGTGATAAACATGCGCTGAAGAAGCCACGCCATTCCAATGGTGTCAGGTCGGCGACAATGATGTCGCTAAGTAAGTCGAGGCCAGACTTGCCAATGGAGGTGAAGCAAACGCCGACAGTGTACGATGCAAAGGTGCTGGCACTGGCAGCGACAACAAAGCCCACGACGTAGAAGACGAGGATGATGACGTACGTCGTAGGCCGCGAGGTGATGTCGGCGATCTTGCCAATGAATGGCTTGCTGATTGCGCGAATGATCTGGCTAGCAGTGCTCACAGTTCCAATTTGACTATGAACCCCAAAGGTCGACGCCGCCAGCGTGCTGAATATGGTAGACGTGATGCCTTGGTCCAGTGCATAGACAAACATGGTGAGGAAGATGGAAATGCCGAGTAGCCACAGCAGGACCTTGCCTTTCTTGCCAGACCGGTACAGCACCTTGTTAAAGGCCTCAACACGACTAACTCCGGTGTCGTGTTGAGTATCGGTGACGGTCGCTTCCGCTTCTCTCTTCTCCGAGATGTCGAACAGCTCATGCCCTTTAGGAGGTTCCGTGGATGGCATGCTCTTGGGATCCATGCTTATAGGCTGATCATAAGCGGGCTGTGTAGACATGTTTGTTGATCGGCGGCGTTATGCTGTATTGAATGGATTGAGAAAGAAAACGGTAAATCGACCAAAGTCTGGGGGCTTGGAGGCTAGGATATTGTGAACAAGTTTCAGCTGGATGGCCACATGTAGAAGGGAGATGATGTAGAGTAGCTTCAAAAAGAAATAGACGTGAGCGGCACGGGAGGAATAAATAAGTGAATGTTTTCAAGTGGGAAGTTGATGGAAGAGTGAATGAGGACTCACAGAGTAAAAGGTGGAGTTGGGAAGCGCGAATGCAAACAAGATTTCCGTGCCTCTCCCTTGCATGGCTTTGGCCACTTACTTTTTCTTGCAAATAAATCACTCTGCCAAGTAGGTTTAGAATTGGGTCGAGAAAAGAGCGAATACGATAGTGGTGGTGGATACAAGTAGTGAGAAGGCCGTCTCATGTTTTCCTACGGAGTCATACTTCTTATTCGACCTCAGTTTCCCAAGGTGTTTGCCTAGAGCAGACGATATTGAACCGTTGTCGACTTGCCGAGGAGCCGTAGTAGCAAGGACCTCTTGCTTTACGCGGCCGGGTACTACACCGTCACTGGCGGAGCGTTATTGTACAGAGAAAAGTGGGAAATTTGCATCGAGAAACACCGAACTGATTCTTATCTCTTTGTCCTTTGCGGAAAGCAAATCATAATTGGTGCCTGTAAATGTCAACTATGCGGACGAGCAGGCGCCTAGGGGGGTCGAAAAACGACATTGTTGAAAGTGATCGTCGTGGGGACGTGGCAAGGGACTGGTGTGAGTGTGCGGTACTCCCATTTAACTTGTTGTCTCGGCAGCTCATGTACATAGTGTGTAAAGATGGAATTATGTACTGTACCGTGCAAGGGTGGGCGAAAACTCTGACGGACGATCATCAACGAAAACAAAAATCTAATCTGATAAGATACTGGCCTACGTCCGGTGACGGAGCATGGAGCTGACCCCCGCATCACAATTCGGCAATCGTCTAACCACTTCGTCTTGTACTTTTGGGGTGGGACCACTTCTCTTTTAATTTAATGCGGCTTGGCGTGCAGCTTGGCGTGCAGGGTGGCCTGAGCCAAGAATGTGGACACCATGATACACCTGCCATAGCTTCTCAGTATGGAGCATAAGCTTCTACAGGTGGTAGATGAACATTTTCATGATATATCGGTAGTTCTGCCTGGATTTGACACGGCCTTCGAATGCTCCGTCGTCAAACAACACGACCAAAATTGACACACAGCCGCAAATATGGGCAGCATCCGCAAAGACACCGGCCAACGGCCGCAAGATACGACAATCACGTTCCGACTTCCGGATGGCAAACATGAGTTGTGGATTACTTCAGATGAGATCGATTCCCAAGTTACTTTCTCAGTAGGTCTAGGGGCCATCACTCTGGGTCGCTGGACAGCCCTGGAGCAAAAGGTCTGTGTTTCCCCGGCAATGATTAACGAGAATGTGGCCGAGTACGACGACCTGTTCCGCTTTGACATTGTCACCTCCGGTGAGCCACCAACCGGCATCAGTGGGGATACAGAAACTGAGGATATCGGTCTTCTATGGACAGCGGTCTACGCCCTCTGGCTGCATCCCCGTGTTCGGGAGAAAGACCTGCATGCAGTCGTCGTCAACAGCGAGCGGTTGGCGTCTTACCTCCGGTCCACGGGCCTGGGGATAATCTCACCGTTCTCCTCCTCATCGTCCACGACAACAGATGTGCCCGCAGAAACGGTTTTCTGGCTACACCGCGAGGCTTTCTGGCAGGGCGCAGGAGCACCGAACACTCAGACGTGGGTTCGCAGTCGTCCTGAAGTCACCTCGTTTCCCGCGTTTTCGGGTGCTGGTAGTTTTCCAAGTCAAATTGGCTTCACGCGCGGCGGCAATGTCTGCACGGTACACCCGGTGCGGCCTCCGAAGCCTGCACCAGGCTCCCTGTTGTACTCACGGTACATTGTGGAACTGGGCGAGCAGCTCCGTATCTATCACATTGACGCCAGCAACCCGGTGCACTTCGAGCACTACGCACGGTGGCAAAACTCAGACCGTGTCAACGCCGGCTGGCGAGAACGCGGATCGGATGATCACCACCGCAAATATCTCGCTCAGCAATTGGCCGACCCGCACACTATGTCGTGTGTCTACGAGTGGGATGGGCAACTGGCCGGCTACATGGAGATTGGGTATGTGATGGAGGACAACGTGGCTTGCTTTATGCGATCCAACTGCAATGTCGTTGTCGGGGAGTTTGACCAAAACACGCACTTTTTAGTAGGCGAAGAGAAATTTCGCGGCGGCAAGCGGTACCAGGCGGCCAACCTCTCCATGAAGCATTTTGCCTTCTTGCGCGACGCACGGACAAAACAAATTATAGGCGAGCCGCAAATTGGACTCTCAGCACTCGGTATCCAGGAGCGTTTTATTCCAATGGAGAAGAAAAAGCGCTTTCATCTTCCACACAAGACATCTATGCTCATTGCACTGCAGCGAGACCGCTTCTTTCAAGAAGGGCATTTTGTTTGATTTTAAAAGTGGTTATTCGATTACTTTTTAGTATAGGTTAAATAAAATCACGATCAAAATCACTTAGTCTTTATTGCGTTATTCGTGACGGATGTCTTTGGATGTGCTGGGTGTTGGGTGCTGGGTGCTGGATGCTGGGTGGTACTAGGCCTTCAATGGTCCTTGGTATTGGCATAGTATTGACCGACCTTGCATTGTCACATTCGTTTATCCACAAAAGTCCAGTAACATTATGTCGGAATAATCAATTTTCTTGTTTGCTGATGAGTGTTTCGGAAAGTCCCCCCACTGTTTGGTTCTCGGTGCAGCGTTGCAAAACTAGCCTTTTTGGGCCACCAAGGTGCCCATCCGTGACTTATGTTGTACCTTTTATTTCCTTTCTCCGTAATAGTGCCCGATGATATGGTCTGGCGTTCCGGCTTCGGCCGTGGTAAGGTACATGTGATGCCTAGGCTATACCACGCACATTACTCCCGTTTGAAGTGTTCACAGCAGATAACTTGTTGCCTGCGACGCTTCAAACGATTGCCTCACCACATCGCAACCAGCAACATGGCAAGCAATGATGGAAAGAGTTTTACTCCACGGAAGTGGTACAGGCGTGTCCCCTTTCTGTCACAAAAACCAATCCAGAAAAAGCTTACCGAAAGGCACCAGAAGACACGTCTGGCCTCTTTATTCGACACCGAGAACGGTACAAACACCACCAACGATGCACACGGCGATTTCTGTACAGTTACCCCAGAAGTACGAGCGAATTTTCTTTCCATTATTACATTCAACTGGTTGGGCACACTTTTACGGACGGGCTATTCCCGACCGCTGCAAGCGGACGACCTTTATGATCTACCGGACTCCTGTCTCGCCGTCAACCACGCAGATCGGCTTGAGCAAGCATGGACGGCACGCCTGGAAGCAAACAATGGCCGGAAACCGGCGGGAAGATGGTTTGCGTGGCGGCCTTTCTGGGCACGACGTACGTCAAATGCCACAGTTCTTGCCCTGGCTCTCAACGACGTCTGTTTCCGGCGTTTTTGGACAGGCGGCATGTTACGGATGCTAGGTGACTCGATGCAGATGATCTCACCACTGCTCATCCGCTATTTCATTCAGGACCTAGATGACCCATCCGAACGAGCATACGGCGCCGGATTTGGCTATGCCGTGGGTCTTTTCGCTGTCCTTGCCTTCTCTGTTGTGACAAACATCCATGGATTCTATCGGGCAGCTACTACCGGCATCCTGCTGCGAGCGGCGTTGATACATGTCATTTACCGCCGCGCCACGACACAATTGACACACGAAGCAAAGCTACGCGGAAATTTTGCGACCGGGAAGCTGACGAGCCTCATCAGCGCCGACGTGTCGCGCATTGACTTTTGCTGTGGCTATTTCCATTCACTATGGACTAGCTTCATCCAGATCGCCCTCTGCCTCGGTCTGACCACCTGGACATTGGGGTACAGCGCTCTTCCTGGGTTCGGTTTATTAGCCCTGCTGTACCCGGTGCAGACGTTCATGATGAAGAACTTGTTCCGCCTTCGTCGCAACAGCATGCCGTGCACAGACAAGCGCATCAAGGCTGTGGTCGAGGCTGTATCCACAATCCGCCTTACCAAAGCAAACGCCTACGAGAATAGCATTCTCACCAAGATTGGCGCTCTGCGGGCAGATGAGGTCGTTTACATCCGCAAGCGCATGATGCTTAGGGCACTAAACATTGCCGTTACGTTCACTGCACCGACACTAGCCTCGGTCGTGAGCATTTTGTGCTATGCTGCCACGACTGGTAACGGAATGAGTGCTAGCGTGGTCTTTTCGTCTCTGACCTTCTTCCTCTTGATGCGGACACCACTTGGCTCGCTGCCCATCGCCATTTCAACTCTTGCGGACGCCCAAGCTGCTCTCGAGCGGCTGTCGGCATTTATGTTGGCATCTGACAACGGCACGGCCCGTGATGCGGCCCTTCGCAACGCTCTTGCGGAAAAGGGAAGGAACCTGAAAGACGGCAGGACCATCATCCAATTGAAAGATGCAAGTTTCTGGTACCATGACAGCGACCAGCTGCGCGCGATATGGGAAAGTGAGGCCGGTATTGGCGAGAAAAGCCTTGTCCTGGGAGAAGCTAAGAAAGAGGCTGCAGGTCCATCTATGTCTTTGTACATTGATTCGCTTGAGGTGGAGAAGGGCCAATTTATTGCTATTGTTGGGCCAGTTGCAGCCGGCAAATCGTCCGTCTTGCGAGCCCTTCTGGGTGACATGCACCTTTCCAAGGCTGAATCTTGTGCCGTCAATGTCGATACGTCCACCTCGTTGTCACCAGTGGCTTACGTCTCTCAGGAAGCTTGGCTTCTCAGCGAGACTGTGCGAGAAAACATTGTGTTTGGGCGCCCTTTTGATGCTTCCTGGTATAATGAAGTGCTCGGTCGTTGTTGTCTCCATGACGACCTCCGAATGCTTATCGACGGCGACATGACCATCATTGGCGAAAAGGGCGTTTCGTTGTCCGGAGGCCAAAAGCAGCGGATTTCTTTGGCTCGTGCCGTGTACGGCCGCAGTCATCTTCTTCTTCTCGACGATTGTTTCTCGGCACTGGATGCTCACGTTGGTAGCCGCGTATTTGAAAACGTGGTCAAGCAAACGCGTCACGCCAGAGAATGTACGATTGTCCTCGTTACACATTCAATGGTACTTGCTCGTCAAGCGGACCACATTGTCTACATGGACAGTGGACGTATTATGGAACAGGGCTCATTTTCCGAGCTCATGAGGCGAGCGGGTCCATTTGCCGAGTACAATAGGTCTTCAACCGTGGCCCAAACGACCTACGCAGACACACCACCGGTCAGGGATGACGATGGCATGAGCATGCAAGCATCTGAAAAGTCAAAGACACTTGTGGAAGGGAGAAATAACAACATCAAGAATGGAACCACCGCGCCCGCAGAGACACCAGAACACAATCAGAAGCAGAGAGGCAGGGAGATTATGCGTCGCGAAGAGCGTCTCGTTGGCACAGTCAGCGGAAAGACGTATTTGCACTACCTGAAATTCGGCAACGCATTGGTCACTGTGCCTCTGTTCATTCTAGCCATCGCCGTGTTTCAGGGCAGCAGTGTCGTCTCTGCGCTGTGGCTCAGCTGGTGGCAAACGAAAAAATATCTCGATATCAGCGAGGGTGGTTACATGGCCGGCTATGCTGCCTGGGGCATCGGTCAGTCACTTGGCCTGTTTGCCATGAGCGCAGTATTTGCCTTGTTTTGCTTTTGGTGCTCAAATCACCTTCACGCGGCTTCACTTTTCGGCATTATGTACGCGCCGGTTTCATTTTTCGACACAACGCCGCAGGGAAGAATCACTCACCGGTTTAGTAAGGATACGGATGCCATGGACAACGTGGTCGGTGAGCAGTTGCGTATCTTCATTTCGACGTTGGTCCAGGTTGTCGGTACCGTGGTTGTCGTCAGCATAATCCTGCCCATTTTCGTTGGGATTGCCGCCGGTGTGCTTCTCATCTACACCTGGACGGGCATGTACTACAGACCATCAGCCCGTGAGCTGCGCCGCCTCAACAATCTTCTCCGCAGCCGCATCTATGAGCACTTTACTGAGACACTCTCTGGACTGCCCACACTGACAGCTTTTGGTCGAGTCGGAGGATTCGTCGCTGATAACGCGCGCCGCATTGACACCGAGAACACGGCATATTGGCTCTCAGTCGCTGCCGTCCGTTGGTTAAACATACGGCTTGATCTTTTGGGTGCCGTTTTGGTGCTGGGCACGGGTCTGCTGGCCATTGGTTTGCGTGACCACATTAATCCATCGACTGGTGGCTTGGTGTTATCATATATGGTGACGGCCCAGGCGGCGTTTGGGAACATGATCCGATTCAGCGCGGAGATTGAAAACAACATGAACTCGATCGAGCGCCTGCTTCATTATGCAAACGAAATACCACAGGAGGCAGCACATGATGTTCAAGACGTTGACACAGATCTTCGCAAACGGTCATGGCCGAGTAGAGGACACGTACAGTTTGAGTCACTTACGTTGAACCACCGGTCGGACCATAATCCTGCGCTTCGAGATGTGAGTTTGGATATCCAGCCAGGTGAACGCATCGGTATTGTCGGGCGCACCGGGGCCGGGAAGAGTACTCGTATGTTTATTTATTTTCATCTCTGTGTGATTTTTTCCCCTTTCAATAGACTGACTTTACAAGTGATTACTGCTCTCCTACGACTCGTGGAACCGACCAGTGGCCGTATTCTTATCGATGGTATTGATATACAAACAGTTGGCCTTCATATTCTTCGGTCTCACATATCCGTTATCAGTCAAGACGCGGTTCTCTGGGCCGGGACGATTCGCTACAATCTTGACCCATTCCACGAGCATGACGATGTGTGGCTCACACAGTGTCTGCATATGGTTGGACTTACTACGCAGCAGCGTCTCAAAGGGAAGGATACTCACTTGGCTACAAACATGTCCAGTGTCCACGCCGCTGCCGACAATGGCAACAAAAGTGGCACTTACGGCAATACTGTCTCCGCATCGGCCCTACATCTTGATTCGGAGGTCGGGGAAAACGGTTCCAACATCTCCCATGGCCAGCGATCACTTATCTCGATTGCTCGTGCTCTCGTCCGCAAGGCTAAAATAGTTGTTCTTGATGAGGCAACTGCCTCCATTGACGAACGTGCTGATCACCACCTTCAGAGCATATTGAGCGAGTTTATGAGCAATTCGACCGTGCTCACTGTAGCCCATCGTCTCGATACTGTTATCGGCTCTTGTGACCGGATAGTGGTCATGGATTCAGGAACTGTAGCTGAGTTTGGCTCAGCTTCCGAGCTGTATGCAAAGGCCGGTTTATTCCGAGCACTCTGTGACGCCGCCAAAATCTCGGTTAGGTGATTATTCAAACTGAAGGCCTTGGTTGGCACATCTTCAGCTCCTCGGTTGAAAAAAGTACTTCTTAATCCAATCCCTAATACTAGCATCCGTTTTTATTCTGTTTCACCCCTAGCCAGGTTCATGTGGTCCCATTGTCGTTTTCCTGGTTCGTGTTCTTGCCCGCGCGGGGGTCAATGGACTAAAAAGTATTGTACGGCTGCGGCATTTGCGGTACCGATGACGTTTATTTGGTTCCTTGGCTGTATTCTTCCTTCCGTTAGTCTTGTCATTTATTTGCCAATTGTCTTAGGTAGTCGACGGCCCTTAATCCTATTTGAACAACCTATGTTACAGTCACGTATAGTTGTTTAACTTCGTACAGCACTTGCACAGCGTGTGTTCAAGTAGAGGCGTTTGCAGGTTCGGCGTCCACTACCAATCTTTCGTGTTACCTTGTCAAAAACACAGTTGTTTCTGTGCTAGTATTTTTACTAGCACACATATTTAGGCTGCATAAAACCGATACCGAGAAAAGACGATCCAATGGATGTGGTGCAGAGTAAAATCTCCAACAGTTTAATTTCAAAATCTGAAAACAAAACGCTGAACGGCGGCATCGCGTTAGCCAAGCTATATGTCCCTCAATTCTCCTGTACTTTTTTGAGCTCGTTTTAGAGGACACTCGAATACGGAGTATACGAAGTACCGAATACGTAACACTCAGGTGAACCGTGATTTTTCAGCCGATCAGGTCCCAAATGTACCCCGCCAATGCTATGGCACTGTGTTGTACGGTGCTCAAATTATGGGCGACCAGGTTTAGAACCCCCACACGGCCATTGCCCAGCGCATATCGGCAGAGTATTTCCATGGCAGGGGGTTTGGGCTAGTCCCAAAAGGAGCCTCGACAGGGAACGGAAATCGACTGAAATGGGAAGGATGTTCCGTAAGGCTCCATTCCATTATCAATCTTATTTTATCAATCTTATTTTATCAATCTAATCAGCTGTTGGGAGCAAGGTCAGGAAATATTATTGTTGTCACTACAGGCTTCGCTTGGCATGACGAAAGACGTCGGACGAGCCTAGGGACTTGGCACTTTGCCCCAGCTAACAATTTATCGTTCGACGCGCAGAAGTTCGATGTGAGAAAGGAAGTGGCTTTTGTTCCACCAAACCGATCAGCACGCATCAAGCGAGACGGATTCCGATATCGGCTGGTGGCAGCAGACCGAACACAAATTTGGAGCCCCAAAATATGTACAAATGAATTCATATTAAGAGTACAAAGTTTGCAAAAACAGGGTTTAATTTAAAAGAAGGACTAACAAAATTTTAATAGTGTTAAAATTAATTAGTGAAAATAAAATGGTTAAAAAAATCCACGTGAAATTGTGGCACGTAAATAAACACAGGTAAAGGAAAATTTCTATCCGAAACAGCGGTCGGCAGGTCGGTGCCATAGTCACTACCCGGGCTTGCTTCTGTTTTAATGTTGTCGTGTTTGACACAACATGACAATACTTAGTGGCAAATTATCACCACATTACGACACCTCAACTAACACAAACTTCTACAAAGGCGTTTTGGCACGATATGACAATCGCGACTCACAATGTATAGCGAAGTGTCCACATCCCTGCCAGCGAGGCCGTCGGCAACGCATCTTCGGCCACTGCACACCAAACAAACAGGAGTACATGACGGTGCTCCGTCGACACTGTTGACTTGGTCAAGCTCAGTCGGCTTTCCAATCGACGAGCCTGTGGCTCTACAGGCATTCGTGGAACTCGTTTCCTACATCTCTGTCGAACGAGGCGAGGCCTTGTGCATCCAAGACACGATGCATGGTGGCTATATCGAGGCACGGATGGACGGAACCGAGCTGGCTTCTGGCAGCTGGTCCATTGTTCATTATAACGGAGACTGTGATGTCGATCTGCCTACAGACTTTTCCATCGGACCAGCAAAGGTGAGCGTGACAACTTCCAGACACGGCCAATCATAGCAATTTGCGGATCTTGGGTTTGGACAACGCGCACTGATATAAAATCATTCCAGGCCATACAACTGCACATCACCTCTGATGGAAAGGTGCAGATAGCTGCACATTCTCATATCGTCCCGCAACCCGCTCTGCTGTCACTGGGCCAAACGCTGCAAGATATTCTCATGCGACGGCACGGCACTGACAACATTGAGGATAGCGACTATCGTAACGAGGATGAAAACAACAAGATAGGTTCAATGGACACGCCTTGGACGCAGCCATCTTTATTGAATTCACCTCCAAGACAATGTCCTGTTGAACTGTGGCCCGGGGAGTGCGCACTAAGGCTACAGTACGGAAGCACTTCCGGTGACGCGAAGCCGGTGCTGTTGCATTCGTGGTTCGAGCGGATGGCACGGGACATCCCACATCGAATTGCCATTGACTTTTTGACCGACCTGGAGTCTGGCACACGACTGCAATTCACATACCAGCAGGTCTCCAACTCTGCCAACGCGCTAGCATCAGAGCTCATTCGTTTGGCTTCAGCCAGCGCGGACCACCGTGAAGTCCAGATCATTGCCGTGGCCATAGGGCCATGTCCGGAGCTGTACGTCGGTTACCTCGCAGCTCTTAAGGCCGGTTTCGCATTCTGCCCGCTTCCAGTGGATGCACCAAAGGAAAGGCAGGAGGCACTTTTGGCTGATTTGAAGCCAGTGGCCATTCTTACGCAGGACAAAATGCGCATCGACACAGCCCTGGTACAGGTCAATGTGAGCGATTTTCTGTCTGGTTGTGACGAGAAAACAGTCCTCCAGCGCTCTCTATTAGACAGTCCTTCGGCATCCGATACAAGTGCCGCCTACATCTTATACACGTCTGGTACGACAGGGCTCCCCAAAGGTGTCGTTGTCAGTCACCGATCAGCCGCTTGTACAGTGAGTGCCCTCAGTCAGCATTATGGCTTCTCTCCCTCGGCAAAAAATACAAAAGACGGCAGAACGTGGCGCTGGTTCCAAGGCGCCGCGCCCACCTTTGACATCTCGCTCTTCGAGATTTTCTGGACACTAAGCACTGGATCGACGCTTTGTTGTGCTCCGCGACATCTGACCATGCAGAACATTGACGCCGTTCTATCAACCTTACAAGCCAATATCACCAATGTTACGCCGAGCTTTGCCAATCTGATTAGCCCCTCAGTTTTGACTGGGCTCATGGTCGGTGGTGAGACTCTCAACGCACGCCTTCTACAAAACTATGCGCAGCACAACCCTGACATATCCCCCTCCAAGCACGAGGTCAGAGAGACTTGCGACCTCCCCAGAGGTATCTTCAATGGATATGGACCAACAGAAGTAGCCATGTACTCACTGGCCCAGCCGCACGTTCCGGTAGACCAACGTGGATCTGTCATTGGCTCACCGCTGGCAACTTGTGGCATACTGATTGTGGAAGCAAATCGTCATGACCTCATTCCCATACCTCGGGGTGGTGTAGGTGAACTAGTTCTCACTGGCCCGCAGGTCAGTACGGTAGGATACCTGAATCGCCCGGACGAAACTCGTGCGGCCTTTGTGGACGACAAAAAATGGGGCCGAGCGTACCGCACTGGCGACCGTGCTCGCATAGTCTGGAACGATGAAGGCGAGCCTGTCGTGGAATTTCTTGGACGCTTCTCGGACGCGCAGGTGAAACTCAGCGGACGCCGTGTGGAACTGGGCGAGATCGAGAGCGTCCTGGCAAGCAGGGCGGACGGCGTACAGCAAACGCTTTCTTGTGTCTGGATGCCGCAGGGAGACAGTAGCACAAACGAATCCTTGGGCTCCGAAAGGGTAGTGAATCTGGTCGTGGTGGACCATACAACTGGCCTCGATTTTGCCACTGTTAGTGCCAATTGCGCCGAGGCCGCAAGGCAGCATTTGCCGGACTACATGAGACCATTTCGCATCCTTGAGGTAGCTGACCTACCTCGCTCCGCATCAGGGAAAGTAGATCGCAGAGCTGCTTCCGCTTACGTGGAAAATGTTTTACGGCAGCCGACCGCCAGCGGTACAGGCGCATCTCAGGGGCAGACCGCAGCCGACGACTTGGACTACGCCAAGTATGCTCATGTGGAAGCTGAGCTGGTCAAGATTCTTTCATCCCTAATGGGTGGGGACGAATACCATCCTCTGTTAACTGCCACAACAAAGCTCGCTTTGGTTGGCATTGATAGCCTCCGAGCCATGCTGCTATTGCGCGAGATCCGGAACCGGGACTTTGGACAGGATGACCCAGAAAGATCAATCCACTATGAACTGCAACCATCACTTTCTCTGCTTCTTGACCCAGAAGCCAGTATCCGTTCGGTATTTTTTGGGTCCGCTTCAACTTTTTCTCGCTTACGCCAAAGGCAAATGGCGGCACAGCAGAGATTGGAAACGTTTGCTATTCGACATACAGCTGCGTCTTTGGAGAAACTGAGTTCAGTGTCAGAGGACGACGTGGAAATAGTGCTGCCAATGACAAGTACATCTAGCCAATTGGCTGTGAGCTTTGCCATGGACAGTCGAAACTATATTAGCAGCACCGTCCTCCGACTGCAACCAGGTGTGTCAATGGACACTTTCGAGGTCGCTGTTCGCACCGTCCTGAGTCGGCATGCTGTCTACCGCAGTACTATCGTGCCATGCAGTGACGACATGTCACCATTTGCACAAGTTGTGCTGACTCCCTTGGCATGGAAGAGATCGGAAGCCTACAACACACGGGTTGTGCGCAGGCGTGGCACTGGAAATACACAATACTGGCTTCGGATCGCTCAAGAGAATATGGATTTCGACGAACAGAAGCTGTATTACGTGCAGCTGGTTGAACCTGACGCGGGAAGAATCGACGGCGGACTTATCATCATCTCCATCGCTCACTGCCTCTGTGACGGTGCATCTGTTGAAGTTCTGCTCAGTGACATTGCACGAGAGTACGCCGGACTCGAGCCCCTCCAGCGACACTCTTTGCGGGATTCGGTGCTCGACTGGGCCCAGAATCTAGACATAGACACGGACCGCTACTGGCAAGACTCTTTGCGAGACTGGGAGACCGATAGCTTCCATGCCCTGAGTGGCGACAATGTCAAGGCAACGGCAGATCAGAAGTCGTTGCTAGCTGAGTACCCAAGCAGCATTTCATGGCCTGGTCTAGAAGTTAAAAGCCGCAAATTGGGTGCCTCGCCGCTGGCCATCCTGCAAGCAGCCTGGTCACTGCTGCTCGGGGTCTGGTCAGAGGCGAACAAAGGAGAAATTGTTTTTGGGAGTGTCTTGTCAGGTCAACACGAGGCATTCGAAGCTCCCACATTCTCCGTTGTACCATGTCGTGTTGCACTGCCAGAGAACCAAACACTGGGAGCGTTACTGGTCGACCTTGTCGACACTGCAAGGTTTATGCAAAGTCATCGCCACACGTCCTTTGGACTGTTTCGAGCGCTGCCTTATAATACGGCTCTAGCACTTCAGACCTACGGAACCGAGACAGAGGCAGATGTTCCCTGGACGGTGGTTACGCATGCGCCTATTCGCTATGACTTGGATGTGTTTGCAGAGGTAGTACCTGAGGGTGACGCACTTCTGTTCAAGGTTACGTACCGCGACGATGTTTTGTCTGAGACGAGCGCCCGGGTCATTGTGCACCAGTTCGCTGCACTCACAGAAACGCTACTGGACGCCCGGCCAAATGACCTGGCACAGAGTTTATTGGCACGACTCCCGCAGGGACTTCTGTCAGTGGAAGGTTCGATTCCAATTCCAACAGATCAAAGCGAGAAACAAGAGCGCATCGACGTCCTCCACGCCCAGTTCGAGTCCCAGGCCGCCAGCACACCAGATCTGCTGGCACTGAGTTTCTATACGTCACTGGACACTCCACCAATCAATATGACATACGCAGAACTCGATTCCCGTGCCAATGGCTTGGCCAATATTATCCGGCTCGAAGATGCCGATATCATCCCCATCTGTATGCACCGCAGCATCGAGCTTTATGTGTCCATCCTGGCCATCCTGAAAGCTGGATCGGCATGGTCGCCAATTGACGAAACCTCGCCAGTGCAAAGACGCACATCGCTCATTTCTCGCACAGAAGGCAAGGTACTGTTGACCACGAGGAGCTCTTTTCCCCTGGTGGAGCCATGTCTCTCCCACGAGAGTCTGGCAGACGTGCGTGTTATCTTCGTCGATGATTATGCCGGTCACACGACGAAAAACAGGCCGATGCCACGGAAGTCTGTTGTTTCTCGCTCTGGGCATTCGTCATCTGGCTCAATCACCGGGCAAGACCTCGCATACCTTCTGTGGACGTCGGGTACCACAGGTGAGCCCAAGGGCGTCATGATTCAACACCATGCGGCCGCCAACGCCATGCGTGATTTGCAAGTACGTGTTGAGCATGACGTTGCAGGTGGCCCGATTCGAACGCTCCAGCTATCGGCCTACAGCTTCGACGTGTTTGTACAGGACCTCTTCTATACATGGGGATTGGCCGGCAGCGTCATCAGTGGTACTCGGGAACTCGTCCTTGGCACGTTCTCTGAGTTTGTCAAGACTGCGGCTCCCACACATGCACATCTAACGCCGTCATTTGGTGCCAGCATTGATGTCCGTGACCTGGCAGGATCTACACTTCGCGTTGTCACCTTTATTGGAGAGAAGTTGACAGAGGACGTTGCCGACGCGTGGGCTGCTCCAGAGATCACCTCAAAGGCATACAATACCTATGGGCCAGCGGAAAATGCCGTGGTATCAACTATGCGCCAGTTTTCTGGCAAGAGCCGCGACCGCGCCAAGGCTTCCAATGTTGGGTTCCCGTTAACGCCTTGCACGGCATATGTGGTTCGTGAAGTGTTCACCTCGCCAAACGATGAAAGTTCTAATACCGCCAAGAAATGGGAGCTTGTGCCCCGGTACGGCGTTGGCGAGCTAGCTCTTGGTGGTGTGCAACTCGGAATGGGCTATCTACACGATGAGACAAAGACGGCCAAGTCATTCATCCACGGTGGTCCGCAAATCGGCGAGCGCATTTACTTAACAGGCGACATGGTGCGGCTCAACGACCACGGCTTCGAGTTTCTCGGTCGCAACGACGATCTGATTAAGATAAGTGGCATTCGCATCGAGCTCAGTGAGATCAGTGCTGCCTGTGCCCTCGTCAAGGAGGAAGAACCTGCCGTAGAACATGTCGAGACACTATATCTGCCACGACCCAACGGTGACGTTAGCCACAAAGTCATTGTTAGTTTTGTGTCAGTCAAGGAGGCAATGGACTACTCTCCTGACGCCACCCGCATCCGCCGCAGGGTTTTTCAAAAGGCACGCGAAGTTTTACCAGCCTACATGGTCCCAGGTCATGTTGCCGTCCTGAAGTCAACAATGCCGCGTACGGCGTCCAACAAAGTCGATCGCAAGAAACTACAATCCATTTACAGCAATTCTGATTTGAATGGTCTTGCGGGAGTGCCTGCAGAGACCAATGATGGCGCACTTTGGCGCACGGAGCAACTGCCCATTATAGAGGCCGTCACGGACAATTTGGCTGCACCCCGGCAACCGTTGCAGAAACTGAACCCGGATGACAGTCTCGCTGGTCACGGAGTCAGTTCTCTACAGATCACAAAACTAGCCTGGGCGCTGCGGCGGAGCTTGAAATGTGACATACGCGTGCTCGAGCTCATGCGTTGCCAGACCGTGGGCGAGCTAGTTGACGTGGTGTTAGTGTCCATGAAAAATGGCGAAGTCGGCGAAGTGGGCAACGTTGAGACCAAGGATTCTGGTACATGTACCACCTGGTTTTCTGTTTTAAAAGACGAGCTCACTCAGAACCTGTCTGGCACCTGCCGACCCTCAAATACGTCGTACGTTTTGCCCACAACTCCCGTCCAAGAAGCTCTTCTTGTCGAGACAATGATCGAGCCTGGGGCTTATTGGTCACACCGTCTTTTCACACTCAAGCGCCTCGGTCATGTGGATATGAGCCGTCTCCGTGCCGCATGGGAGGCGGCAACCAGGCGCTTAGACATCCTTCGGACCGCTTTTGTTCCTTTATCCCAGTTGTCTCCAAAAGACACAAATAGTATCAGCACAGCCGAGTGGGCCCGGACACGTGGCGTCCATGCCGCCGTGCTTCAGGTTGTTCTCCACAGCACCGAAGTTGTTTGGACTGAAATCAGTGACACGGTCGACGTCGAAGGCTGTTTGGCATCACATGCACGCGAAATACAGACCCGTCTCTCACCACTCTGTGGTGATAGCGCACGGCCGCCATGGGCACTTGTCTATGTCCCAGCCACCATGACGCTCATGCTGAGTATGCACCATTCACTCTACGATGGTGAGTCTTCGAAGATGCTCCTGGATGTCGTAACACAGTTGTACCGGGACCCGTCAGCGGAGACGGGCCGTTCCGGACTTCCGCTCTTACAGATGTCACGTGGTCTAGAAGTGGGGCTCTTGCCGTCCGTCATGCAGCGGCAGGACGCGTCCGCTGCTTGGGCTGAGCACCTCCGCGGCCTTATCGAGACGGACGGTGCCGTAAACGCCCCATTTCCTGATCTGACAGGCTCACGCCGACCTCCACCACATGCAATCTTGTCAGCGAAGACTATCATTCCCTTCGACCTTTTATCTCCTGCGTCCCCTGCGCCAGACGTCGGCAGACCAGACTTGTCGCGCCTTCTGCTGTCGGCGTTTGGATGTGTTCTAGCGGCCATTCTGGAGCTCAAGACCGTCGTTCTTGGGCAAACCGTGTCCCAGCGTATTCTGCATCCCGACCTTCATTATGTTGTAGGCCCCGCCATCGCGACCATCCCGGTCGCCATCCGAGCATGCGCGGCTAGCGCACTGGCCCTCTGGGCTGAGATGGCCTGCGATGCTTCCTCCCTCGGCGCACATGCACATCACGTGCACCCAGTCGATATCAAAAAGATGGTCAATGAGGGCAGTGAGAACGCATCTGAGCCATTTCCGGCACTTTTCGTCTACCACCCTGCAGCAGGATATGCGGACAAGGACAAAGATAGCGTCGAACACGCGTTCTATGAAGTCGGCATGGCACTCCCCCTGAAGGTCGAGCATCCCTTGGCTCTCAACATCTTTGAAGGCGATGGTACCATTGAACTGACAGGCGATGCTCGCCGAATCTCACAATCCATGCTGGATCTTCTCCTAGTCCAAATTGTCGATCAAGCCAGCGCAATGCTGGCCCATCCTGGGATACCGTTGTCACGGCTCGCCAACCACCTGGACCGCGCCCTTATGTCGATTGTGGGGGAGCCACGTACACTTGTGGGCTCTGTAATCGCACGGAACCCGGCCGAACTTGTCACCAAACAAGCAACAGACCACCCAGACTGGGTAGCTATTGAGGAGATTTTTTTTGGCGAAGATGATTCACTTTCCACTACGACCACCACATTCGGCGAATTGGAGATTCTTGCCAACGCTGTCAGTTCTCGCCTTGTAGCGCTTACTAGTGCTGCAGCTGGGGACATCGTGGCCGTGTATCTTGAGCGCGACACCACATCTCTTGCAGCGATTTTGGCTATTTTCAAGCTCAACTATGTCTACTTACCCATTGATGGCGACCTCCCGCTTGAACGCAAACGGCTTTTGATACGCGATGCGAATGCCAAAGTCGTTGTTACCACAGAGACGTTGGTGAGGGATCTGGAACTGGACAACGAGCAGAAGAAAGTACCTGCGGTGTTTCTTCTTCCAGAGGGCAACAGTGGCCTGGCCACCATACAGTCATGGGCCAGTCATTCACAAGAAACTGATGCAGTCCCTATCAGCCCAAACGATGGCGGCTACCTCTTGTACACGTCTGGCTCCACGGGTCAGCCGAAGGGAGTGAGAGTCGCCAATGAGAGCCTCCTGCATTTCGTGGCCGCTATGACACAACGTCTCACTGAAGCCAACTCCGAGATGGCACGCCTCGGCGGCAGAGGCAAATTCCTCAATGTGGCCTCTCGGGCGTTTGATACGCATCTGACTACCATGTTTGCGCCCTGGTACCTTGGCTTCAGCTCTGTCATCGGAAAGGACCGCAACGGTATTTTGGCCAACTTGCAACACGTCATAAACACTGTCGGAATCACGAACATGGGTACCGTACCGTCAGTTCTGCTGCGACTTGGCCTGCAATTGTCGGATGTGCCGTCGATTCGTGTCATGACCTTTGGCGGCGAAAAGGCATCACATGCCCTCTTCGACCAATTGCGTGGCGGTGATGAGAGCGGAGACGGGTCAAAGACTGCCTTGATGAACTTTTACGGCCCAACCGAGGCAACTGTGGGTTGCTTGAGCCATGTCATCGGACACCATTCCAACGCACGCAACCTCGGCCTTCCGCTACCAGGTCTACAGGCGCTTCTCCTTGTATCCAACAATGACAGCGACGAGCAGGTTGTAGCTCGAAGGGGTCAGCCTGGAGAATTTTGCATTTCCGGACCACAGGTTGCTGTGGGTTATCTGAATCGCCCCGACGAAAATGCCCGCAGCTTCCAGGATACCTCCCTGTTGGATATCAATGGCACAAAAAAGCGTATTTACCGTACGGGTGACATCATGCGCATGATGCACGACAGCACCGTTGAGTTCCTCGGTCGTCGTGATCAGCAGACAAAGATCCGTGGCCAGCGCTTTGAGATTGGCGAGGTCGAGGAACAAATCAAAAAGGCCATCGTTGACCAAGGCCCTTTTGATGTTGCAGCCGCCGTGGTGGACGAACGGCTCATCGGCCTCGTAGCACGAAAAGTTGATTCTCTCTTCAAAGCAGAGCGCGACGCTCCGGCCGAGATTCTCTCCCCCCCACCGAGTCAGGCACACCGAGACGTACTAATCGCCGCCGAGAAGGCTTGCCAGAGGGACCTTCCTGCGTATATGGTACCGGAAATGATGTGGCTGTCCAAAATACCATTCCTCGCGGCCTCGGGGAAGCTTGACACCAAGCACATTGCGAATCTGGTGCGGAATTCCGATACCGTTCTGGGCACCGGAATTCAATGCCCCGGCATGTCAACTGCCGCTGGTTCCCCGTCTGGTAACCTTTCAGGACCAGAAAAAGAAGTTCTCTCTGCCCTTACAGAAGTATTAGATGGCCTAAACAGCACCGACGTGTCTTCATCTAGCAACCTTCGCAGCCTCGGAATCGACAGTTTGTCGGGTGTGCATCTGCTGTCGGTACTCAAGCGCCGCGGCTTTGTGAATGTCATGCTCACTGATATTCTCTCGCCATCGCACTCCCTTCACTCACTTTCTCGGAAATTCAACTCTCCCGCAACATCTAACGGCAGCAGAGAAACTAAACCGTCGTCGTCTGCCCCGGCCTTCTCATCCAGCGGTAGTGGCAGTTTGCATGTCAAGGAACTGACTCTTGAGGACCTTGGTCCGAGTGCCAGCCACATTGTTCCGTCCAACATTGCCGCAATTCTCCCATGCCTACCTCTACAATCAGTACTGATATCTCTGTCTCTGAATTGGCTACACAGCGGACATGCCAGCCGGGAAATAACGGATGGAAGACAAGTTCCTTACGTGACCAGGTTTAACTACCAGCTGGCACCTGGAACTAACATTACGGCATGGAAACAGGCAGCTGGAGAGATTGCCTCATCAGAAGCCATTCTGCGCACCTGCTTTGTTCAACGTGACCGAGACGGAAAATTCTTTCAGGTTGTATTGACCTCCACACCTTCTCCATTTGATATAGAGGGCAGCCAAGTCGAAAATGACGAATGCACTACCTTGGTAGAGCACTTGGGATCTCGGTCTCCCTTTCGCCTCCGCGTGGAAAACAGTGGCCTTGTGACGCTACTGATTCATCACGCCCTGTATGATGGAGCCGCCATTGTCGCCCTCAAGAACAAAATTGAACAAGCTTATCATGCCATCACCAGTGGCATTCCAGTAACTGCCAGTCGGGACGACAGCTTGGCAACTCTCCGATACCTCGCCAACCATCTCAACCTCTCTAGCCACCACATGCATTCGGCTAGAGTCACCTGGCAGGCTAAGCTAGCTGGCATCTCGCCCTGCCGAGTTGAATGTCACTCGCTCGTGTCGAATCAGTCTTCTAAACATGACACTGTTCGCGCGACTCGGTGCCTCGGCTTCACTGTGTCCGAGCTAAAGACAAAGCTGAAGTCTATCTCTCTTCCATCAGCATTCCAGCTGGCCACTGTCCTTGTTCTGGCTAGCTTAACACCCGGCTCTTCTTCTGTTGTGTACGGCTACACTACATCTTTCCGCACACTGCTTCCCCAAGTTGCTGAGGACATGGACAGCTTTATCGGACCTTGTCTCAATACGGTGGTGCATGCCTTGTTGCTACCGGACCGTAGAGAGACACTGCGACACCTTGCGGCCCGTGTTGAGCAGAACCATGCAGACGTCAGTCAAGGATATATGCCATTTATCACCGCAGACCAAATCCAGCGTTGGGCCGGCGTCGACGAGAAGCTTTTTGACAGCCTTCTAACTATCAATTTTATTGACGATACCTCCGACGATGCCTCCACCCCAGCGATCATGCGTGCTCTTCCAGCAAACTCAGTGACAGATATGGCCTTGGCCATCGACGTTGAGATCCACTCGGAGGGGCGAATCGAGTTACTATTATCGTCCGGAGGAGTCTTGGATAAGATGCAGCTTGACCATGCAGGTCGTCTATTCGAGACTGTGGTGGAGAATGCCGCCAGCAATGACGCAACTGTTGACCAATTTGTGCCAGTCAATGCAGGATCAGCCACTGGGAGTAACGATTCACAAATTATCAATCCCAAAACCATTTCGATCGCCGCCTCTGTTCAAAATGGAATTCAGTACACCCAGTCGTCTCTTGGCTCCGTCCGTTCTGTTGCTTGTCAACTACTTCACCTGTCCGAAGAAGATGTCCCGTTGGAGGCCTCTCTGTATCGACTTGGCCTCGATTCCATCAACGTGCTACCCTTTGTCAAGATGTTGAACAAGTTGGAGGGAACTAAGATCACTCCCAATGCGGTTTTGCGCTCACGCACCTTACAAGGCGTTGCTTCTCTTGTTTGCGCTACCAGGAACCAAGGCGCAAGTCTAAAATCCAAGGACAATGACGTCGTTCCCGTTGTCGATATGGCTCCTGACTTTGAACATACTTTACACGAAGTGGCCCGCGATCTCCTCTTTGTTGCTACACCGCTCCAGGAAGGCATGCTTAGCGCGTCACTCGCTCTTGCCGATCAAGCTTACACATACACGCACAGCAAGCAAATATCGGCGTCTGCGTGTCAACTGGACGCGCCGGCGTTTTCACGATTTTTCGATGCTGTGCGAGACACGGTGCTCTCTTGTGAGATTCTCCGTACCCGTTTCATATTGACAGACAACCAAAATGCGCCTTGGGTCGGCATCGTCTCACCGACGCAAGTGAGTGATCTTGTGGACTGGCAAGTCTCAGCTTCCGGTATCATCCGACTGCGCATCCATCACGCACTCTACGATGCCAACTCCATCCGCGCTCTATGGCATCTCCTTGATGAGAATTATGCACGCCACCTATCGGACACCATCGCAAAGGTAGAGAAACAGCGGCTGTTCCTCTACCGCCCCTTTGCAAAGCAAGTCTACGTGGCCCAACGGACCGCAGTTGCATTTTGGGTAAACACTATTCAGGATTACGACTATGTTCCGGTGGTTGTGTCCAGTGATGGCGTGACTTTTACACAACAGCAGCATGCATCGTCGTCCTTTCATTTTACTGTGGGCACTGACATTCTATCTGCCCTCCAAACGACCTGCCGCAAAGCCAACGTAGCTCTCAAGACAGCACTACAGCTTTCATGGGCCAAGGTTCTCTGTGAGCGACTCTACAGCCAAGTCGATATGGTCTTTGGGGAGGTGATCACGACAACCAGCGACAATGCAACCATCACCGGAGATGAGGCTGCAGTCATGGGTCCAACTATCAACACTATTCCCATGCGTCTTCGGCTTGGCCCCAACGTGAATATCGCAGACGCGCTATCACAGTTGCAACACCTTGGCGACCAGGCTCGTGGACCGAATGGCATGGCGTCTCTACGTGAAGTGCAGACAGCTTGGCGATCGTCGAGATCTGATGGGATCAATACGTCTGCCGGTCTGTTCCAGAGTTTATTTGTGTTTGATGGCGATGTCTCCGTGGACACATCATCCGACGAACAACATATTCTACCTGTTGCCACCGATGCGCAGACTGTCCCTAGTAATACTGAGAAGGAGCCAATGTACGACGACTATCCCTTCATTTCTAGCTTCCGAATTCATGACGGCGTTCTCCATGGTGCGTTGCGTACTAAGGATGGCGAAGATGCCACGCACTGCCTTGGCAGCCAGTTAGCAGCAGCACTTCACTACTTAGCATCAGCCAGCATACATTCCGTGGCCCTGGATCCTGCTGTCTCTGCGAGCTTCCCGACCATGGTGAATGGACATGGATGCAGTGGGAGCCATAGACTTGGTTCGGACGTGAACGTGGACATGACAGGGTCAACTGATCTTGCAGAGTCGATTTTGCAGCTAGCAATAAAGGTTGTCGGCTCACGCATCCGCGGCAAGGTTGGATATGCCACCAAGCTCATCAATGTCGGACTGGATTCGATCTCGGCCATCCGCTTCTCAAATTTGCTCAAGAAAAACTTTGGCGTTCACGTCAGCGTATTTGATATCATGAAAGGCTCCAGTATCGAGAGTATCGTCCGAAAGCACTCGGCTATCGAAAATCACACCGACGATGAAGGCCAGCAGCTTCCGTCACCACTGCCAGAGAAACAAGTAATCAAAGACGAGGCGCTCGCAAAGTCATTGGCTGCGGAAATCCTTGGCCTTCAGTCTGTCGATCAAATCCAGTCTGTGCTTCCTGTTCTTGCCGGCCAAAAGCACACACTCCAGCACTGGTTGCACAGTGGCAAGCGGTTTTTCGAGGCGCCTTGGGTGTACCGCGTCTCTGATGGCACATCCATCAGCGTGGAAAAAGCTGCGAATGCTTGGACGTCACTTTGCTGCGCGCATGATATTTTGCGAACCACTATTGTTGCCCCTCAGAACAACATTGTCCCTGGTCTGGTCCAGGTGACGTTCAACACAGCCATGTCTCCAGCAGCTCGCTTCACCACTCTGCGCGACGACAAGGCCACAATTAAGAGTCTAGTTGACACGTACGTGCGCGAGACCAACAATCTGCCGTCCGATCTCCGTTCTCCTCCATCCCGTCTGTCCTTTCTCGAAGCAGCAGATGGCCAGGCCATAGTTTTCCGTATGCATCACTGTCTTTACGACGCATGGAGCATCAAAATGATATTGGGTGATCTTCTCCGTCTCTTTGATGGAGTCCCATCTCTACCAACTCAGCCGTCGCTTCGGTTTGCCATACGTGAAATATTTCGTTTCCGCAGTTTCACTGCAGAGCAGGCATACTGGAAACACCATCTTTCCGGTTCTCAGGACACAATCATCCGGCCAACCGCGTTGTCGTCGGCCACCGTCTCCACAGCTCCTCTGGGCTTCCACTTCAGGGCCAGCTACCCAGATGTTGCCTCTACGAGCGCCACCGCAAACAGAACGCAAACGTCCTCAGCGATCATTGCTTCCTATGCGTGTGCCCTGGGCCAAATTACTGACCGCGTCCGGCCTACATTCGGCCTGAACTACTCCGCGCGTTCACTCTCATCACCTGATGGCGCTCGAACTTTAGAGCTCACCGATAAGACCATACCCACAATGGCAGTGGTTCCCGTAAGCATCGATTTGAAAGGAGAACTGCAGCCACTCCGAGCGGTTCAAGACCATCTAGCCGCGTTAACCAAGTTTGCGCAGGCGGACGACCTCCACGTGCTGGCTGCTCCATACAACACTCACATCAACATTCTCTTCTCTGACGTTGACAAGGACACACCAACAAATGGTATTGACGAGGGATGCAAACAAGTTCTCAAGCGACACCATCTTGGTGAGCCCCTTGCATCGGAATATTTCACGACAACTGTGGCACACAGTGATATACAATCTATGGTGGAAAGCGTTGATACATCGTGGCTTGCACCAGAAAATCTCTACTTTAATGTCGTTGTTCGCAGTGGGAGCATTAGTGTTGATGTTACTTGTGACGAGGACCTCGCGAGAGGTGATAGCAACTTGATTGTTAGCATAGTTGACGCGTTTACTGCTACTTTGTCTGACATGATTGCACAGTCTTAGGCAAGGGGCGTTTTCTTCTTTTCTGTTTTGTTCATTGAATATATATTCCATCTACGTTTTCTCGATGTGTTTCCATTTCCACAAAAAAGGTCCCGTCGTACTACTTCTTCTTTCATCAAAGTTCTGTCCACAAACAAAAATTCAAAAAAGATACGACCAAGAAATTAGCGTTGACGACAAATGTCCAGTATTTTGACTCATGCTCGTAGTTGATTTAGCATCTTGACAAGCCTGACAATACGTAAACGTTATGCCAGCCCCGGGGCCAGCATTGTGGTCCAATCATATATCCCCATATCATCGCCATTCATCCAGTCTGCGTTCAATTCCAAGTCAAAATCAAAATTGTTATGGAAGTCGAGATTGCAAAAGGGTACACCAAACTCAATAGCCGGAGGCGCTTCGGCATAGGGTATTCGTGCAGGTTGCGATGTGCCGGACAAGTCCGTTCCGTCCAATGCCCGCGTTTGCGGTACGGAAAACGGCGACAATGACTGGTTCAGTGACTCGTCAACATCCACATGGGAAAACGTCACTCGCAATCGCCCAAAAAAGGGAATGTTTATGTCGTGATCGGCCGTTGTGGTGTTCGATATTGCACCGACCTGGGTTGACCGCCGATATTGTCCTTGGAGTATGGGAAGAATAATATCCATCACATCGGCGGCTCGATGGGCAACGGTACAGCTTCCCCTAAGAAGATGAGTCTTGCGCAGTGAGAGAGACAGGTCGACAAGAAGGTTGTAGTCTTCTACTTCCTGGCGGGTTCGTTCGCGAGAGCCACTTGCGCAATTTGAAGGAGAGTCCTGGAGCATGGCCAATGCCAGGACCATTGCAGCTGAGAAAGTTTCGAAATCAATCATTCCGCATGGAGACCAGGTTTCGTTTCCCCTGTTACGAATTACCTGGTACGCGGCAATCGTCTCGCGCGATGCGTCGAGGCAGGTAGTTCGACTGTACATATATCGCCGGTCATTTTTAGCCTTGAGAACATACGGAAGATGGATATGACGACCGATGATGAAGTAGCGCATCTTGGTGGTCTGGCGTATGGATAGGTCAACGAAGCTGAGGTCGCGGATCGCAGGTGACGTGTGATCTTCAAGCCAAAAGACTGCCGGCATAATTTGCCGACAGGACTCCCATGCCTGGTCCAACTCGAACGTTTTTGCATAGTTTGGGCCAAGATTGTCTGTTGTGACGACACCTGGTGGTGGCGGAGCCATAATGGTCTGGTAGTGGTCTATCACAGCACCCAGGAGGGACGTCATCTCGTGCAGAAGACGAAACTCGGGTATCAAACTTATGTCATCCATCGGCAAGATCGGAAGAAGGTATTTGGCGTGGCCGCAAATCGACGACGGCATTCCCATAATCATGGATGTTTCCCGCTCTATGTGTACGGCAAAATTCCACAGAGTCTGCTCATGCGGTTTGCCCTGGCGGCCGGCACGGTGGTACCCAAGGATGAGACAGTCACTGACCGCTTTGCGAGCGGTAAGCCACGCCCTGCGCGGCAGGCCAAGGTCTACGTTCAGTTTGACTTGGAGACATCGCGCCTCCACACCATCGCGTGTGCAGTTGCCATTTTCGGATAATATTGAAAGCATCCGTGCCGCTTGGCGCCGGTAAATGTCAATCAGGGACCGCGTGTCAGCGAGCTCGGTGTACTGGGCAGTCCACGACTGAGGTAGCTCGTACAAACATAGCGCAACCAAAACCACGGCCTTGGCCGCTGCGTCGACGTTGTCGGACCATAGAGCAGCGCGGATATCTGCAGTCGCCGTTGCTGCATCTGCCGTATTCAACATGGTTGGTGTTACAGCAGGAGTGTGGTTTGCTGCCGGTTGCTGGAAAAGGGCGCAGGGTGGAAAGACGGCAAAACACGAGGTTGTTGCATCCACAACCGCACGAAGGCACGCGTCAGTTAGCAGCATGCTGCGGGAAAATCCTGTCACACAAGGCTGCTGAAAGAGTGCCGGTCCCTTGGTTGGTAGCTCAGGGGACGTTGAGATTTTTGCTGCTGCTCCATCAGAGCTTCCGTGACTTTCGGGTAAGCGTAATGCTTCCCGGAAGAGCGTCACCAACGGTGTGTTGCCAAAGGCATCGAGGGCGTCGGTGGCACTGTGATGTGCCGTTTTCGTTCTATTTGGTTCGAGGCCGGAATTCGACGGTGATGGTGTTGTGGCGGCTGTGGATAAAAGACGTCGCCGTTCAGCTTCCTCAAGCTCATCCGAGATCCCGGACGAAAGCGACTTTGACCCCGTAGCGACAGTTGATGCCCCGGTCAGCGCACCACTGCCTCGGATTTCTTTGATCATCGACTCCATCTCATCAAGCTTCTGTAACAGGGCCAATGAGGAACCTTCTTCTCCGGTCCGAGTTGATCCGTTGTCGATGTTAGCGGCGCGGGCTGTCTTGGGTGCAGGAATCAGCGCAGTGGCAGGTTGCTGAGCTCGGCATGTCACACCATGCAACATGCAGGCCACACATACTGCACTCTCTTCTTGGAAAACACAGCGGACCTTTCGGCGGCGGCATTCGGCGCAGCTGCGCGTGCCTAACCGCATGCGTTTCTGCGGCGTTATTTGTTCGCGGTCGGTCATTTCTGTACAGCGTCAAGAAAGTGACTGCACCAAATAATGTGGGTTGAAAGGCGAGTAGGGGCCTTTAAGAATGCACTCTCTCACGTTATGTAAGTGTTCCCAAGATGGTAATTTAGGTTTGTCGTGCAGTAATTCGGGGTGGGCAAGAAATTGTGGTGCATATCGATCACAGTCACTGTCGTGTCACGGATCCAAACTGTTTCGTCCGAGTTGGAGCGAAAAGTCCGACGGGCGCGGACTGAGGGTGGTCAATTTTCCGAAGTGCAGCGCTGTATTCTGTACCAAGCAAGGCACCTCTCTAGCGCCCTTTGTCAAGTAACCAAAAAGCCCTCACAGGGCAGGTCAGGGGCATACACGCCCGGCGTCTACCCTGTTTGACGAGGAAAATCCTTTACGTCCGGATGCTGGTCGTCGGTTGCATTTTCGTTCGGGTCTGTATTACGGGATATATCCGAGTGAATGCAAATCCAGGCCGCCACAGCCGTAAGACAGCGCCTGTCCACCACACAGACGCGTCCATATATTCTGCGTAAACTGTGATAACAAAACGACATAAATACCAGCACGATGACCCCAAAAAGCCACCTTCCCTTCAACCCAAGTTCCCAAGTCCTCTTCCCTTTCCTCTTCCCTTTACTCCAGCACAGTGAAAAACAACATTTTATACTCTTTTAAAATAGAAGAAAAAGGGAAAAACAGAAGGAAGAATTCCCTGTTGACCATGCCCAGCATCACTGAGGAATGCTCAGCCACTTGGGCCAACTTTCAAGAGCATGCGCCTGATTTCGCCAAGGGACCGGTTATCGCGTCACGTAACGACATCATTTCCAAGTTTAACCTCAGCGCCGTCGTCAAGAAAGGGCAACGACTCCCCGAGTTCGAACTCCAGGATGCCCTTGGGAAGTCGGTATCGTCAAAAGAGCTGCTGTCAACAGGAGCGCTTCTGTAAGTTCTGCGTTGTAGGACATTTGCAATTTTTTTTCTTTACATACTATCCAAGCTAACACTCATCTTCCTCAGGATAACTTTCTACCGTGGATCATGGTGCCCTTTCTGCAATATTGCCCTCCGCCATCTCCAAGCCCATATCGACGATTTTGCTCACCTGGGCGTTACCTTGGTTGCCATCTCCCCAGAGCTGCCAGACACGTCCTTGACAACAACGGAAAAGCTGGAGCTCAAGTTTACTGTTCTCTCGGACGTTGGCAACGGGTTTGCTCGACAACTCGGTATTGTCTGGAAGCAACCTGACCCGCTCCGGCCCGTCTTTGATAAGTTCGGCCACAACCTGCAGGGTCGTAATGGCGACGATTCATTTGAAGTCCCCGTCCCGACGACACTGTTAGTCGACAAGGACGGCATTGTGCGAAACATTCATGTGGACCCGAACTACACCACGAGGCTGGATCCGGAGGTGGCTCTGGGATGGGCAAAGGCGCTTTGAATGTATAGAGTATGATGTTATGTCGTACGGAGAAATGGCCCGTTTTATTCAGGCGCCGAGGCACTGACTTTTAAATGTTTGAGCGGATGTACAACGGAGGTCGGCGAATCAACGACGAGCATATGGTTTTTAGCTGACGAGCGCCAGACAAGGTGAACTGAGACTCAGTGGAACAGGAGGTGGCTGTCGTTTTTGTTACCGTGAATATTATGTGCTGTTTCCTCAGTACACCAGTCAACAATATCTATTCCCTACAATACTTTTCACCGTTTTTCCCGTTTTTCGATCGTGATGAAGTCTGCTCCGGCGTTGTTGTTGTCGGTGGCGCCCCATCCAATTGCCTACTCCGTAGTTAGTGCTAGATTTCAGATTCAGGGTTCTCACAGCACGGCCTGCCATATGCAGGACTTCCCGTTATGGACTAGCACCAAAATCTTCGTCGCGCCTCTTTTGGGCTGTGCTCTTTAGGCCGTTCCGCGTCCAGCCAATCTAACGCTTCCAGTTTCCCCGCCACACTTCGCTTCACGACACGACCTCGATCACACGTCTCAAGACCCTTCACACGGCGCATACGACCACTCCAACATGGGCCTCGTTCGTACAACAGTCCTCACAGGACTACTCGGCACGTCGACTGCCGCCGCCTACCTGGCTACCCGCAACCCGGTTATCTCCCCCCTCCCCGCGGCGGACCCCGTCTGGTCGTCCAGTGTCTACAAGAAGCAGAACCCATCGCGCAACCCCGCAACACAAGACATCTGTGTCAAGCGTGTTCCCCTCGACAAGATAAGACCGGAGCTATTGAAAAAAGATGGCGACTTGGCCCTCGAGTTCTGCCGTGGCGTCTGGGGTGGTTGGGGTGCGTTCGATCTAACATTTGCATATCGCCGTTGTTTTGGCAACTTGCCTGCTGATATTTTCGTTTCGTTTTTCTACAGGCTTTGCCATACAGCGGAAGTACCTCGAGTACAAGTACCGTGGTCCCGAGACTGCCACCCAGCTCTGGGACACTGAGCAGCTTCAAACGAGCACCTACGACAAAGGTACGCAACTCGTTGATCATTTCGAAGTTCTCGAAAAGACACCTACCTCTATTACCGTGCGTGCTGGTGATACGCCCCGCACAAAAGGACCGCGCGCTTCGGACGGCATCTTCATTATTAGCGCCACTGTCGACAAGGCCCACGAGCAGGTCGAGTTGAGCCTCAAGAGTGTCTTTTTTTCCAGCGAGGGCAAGATTGCTGGCAACAAAAGCCCTATGCCGCCGTGGATTGAAGAGCTGCACCAGTGGTACTCGCGTATCATGAGTGAGACAGCGTCGTGGAAGTTGTTGAAATAATTGGGCCGGCGAGGCTGGTGCCTGTGGTCGGAATTAGTTATTTGTCCACCTGTTTTTGCAAGAATTACGTTACATACTCTCTTCTTTTTTATGATGCGGGCACCGTGCTATGACAGCAATGAATCTCACGTTTTCAATACAAGCGCAATATATGTACACTCTATGCCTTCGAAGATGAAGATGTTTTTCGTGGCTGGTGGACATGGGTTCCTTTTGGTGAAACTGATGAAGCTGTAAGCTACGGAAAGCAATCATATGTCGTACATGCAGTGCTTTAGATGTTGACAAAATTAAAATGGATAATTGTGTAGAGGTTCATATTTAGTCAAATATGGTACGCTCATCTGATTGTGTTTGTAGGAAAATGTTGTCCTCATTAATATTGATTTTTTTTGGTCCACCATTTTTTTTAATTAAAAAAATGCAAGATAGAAAACTCCCACGGAAAGAAAAAGACGAAGAAACAAACAAAGTTAACAATAAACAACACTAATATCATATTCACACATCACATAAAAGCCATCACCGATATAAGTAAACAGACGTGGAACTTGGTGCCTCGTACTGACAAAGGATCGGGGACATATGGTCCGAGTGAATTGACAGAACAAATCAGTCCTGTCACTAACCTGTCCCCAGACCGTTTACACATAAACCAGCCGCTTCCAGCCGCTAATATTGTAAATATGCCACAGTCGCAGGAGCCCCGCGGAGGGTTTCTACGCGATACATTCCTCGGAAGATTCACGAGCCCATTCGCTTTAATGATGAAAGGGTACACTATCCTGGCGCGACATAAAAACACGTCCATCGCCATTTCTTAATATTTTATGTATGCATGTATATAATTGCCCGGTTCCCCTCTAGCCTTCACCCTTTCGACCGCAATCCGTGACCGGGAGTTCACAACTTACACAACCCGCCTATCCAATATTTCTTCTTATGTGCCAGATCAATTCAGCTGCCAGCGACGCACCGGATACCCTAGAAAGCACCCTCTACAATGGCAAAATCAGTTCCACCGTCAGCCGCACCCACTATGTACCCCAAAATGCGTGCGTGGGTGCGCACAAAGCGCGGAATGCCCCCAACATCGCTGAAGTTAAGGACCGATGTCCCCACACCAGCCAATCCTACGGGATCGATTTCGTCTGATGTCATCATTCGTGTGTCGCACGTCGCCCTTCAGTTTAACAGCAAGCTTTTTCTGAACTTGCTTCCCTCTGTTCCATTTTGGGGCAGCCGCACTTGGATCCCGGAGCTCGAGTTTTCTGGCGAGGTGGTCGCTGCTGGCAGTGGTGCGCCGCCGGAAGTTCGCGACGTCGGTACCCGCGTCGTCGCTTTCCAAACAATTTCTGGCCTTGCACTCGGCTATGGTGTGTTGGCTGAATATGTGCGAATTCCCGGAACACAAGTTGTGCCTCTGCCAGAGTCCGTGGACTTTGTCCAGGCCTCCGGTGTTACAGGGGCTGGGTGCACTGCCCTCAAGCTCTTGCGCAAGAGCGGCGTCAAACGGGGCCAACGCGTACTGGTAAATGGTGCCAGTGGGTCTGTGGGCTCTGTTTTGATACAATTGTGCAAGTCGCGTGGTATCTACGTCGTCGGTATTGCGAGCGGCGCAAACGAGGCCACAGTCCGCGGCTGGGGCGCTGACGAGTTTGTCGACTACCGGGCACACGTTGGGTCGTTGCCGGAGTTCCTTACCGAAACATACCGTGACACGCCCTTCGACTTTATCATGGACTGTGTAGGCAAACAAGACCTCTTTGTTGGCTCTCCTGGGTATCTCAGGGCTGAAGGTGCGACGCTTAACATCGGGGCCCTAGAAGGTGTCTTCCGGGTCACGGGCAACTTGCTGTCTAATATGCTGCGGCCCGTTTGGTTAGGCGGTGTACCGCGTCGTTACATCTTTTTCAGTTCCCCACCTTTGCATGGTGATGTCGTTATTCTTGCACAACTAATGGGCGAGGGAAAACTGACAACACCGGTAGACTCGGTGTTCGTCATGGAAGAACTCTTAGCAGCGTACGATCGTGTCGCTACTAAGCGAGCCTGCGGGAAAGTAGTTATCAAGGTCGGTGCCAAGTAGGGAACATTCTGGGATATTTGGCAAAATCAGTACCTAGCTTTAGGATTTTAAATCTGTTAACTTTTCGTCCCGTCATACCTTTGCGTTTTAATTCTTGAAATACTTTTTTTGAACAACTTAAAACGAGAATAAATATCAACATCATATCTCCGTGGACGGCATGGGATGAACATGAAACAAGTGGAAGCGCCATCACAGTGACTCAAAGAATAGTGCACAAATTTGACGCCGTCAAAGAATATCCCGAGTCTTCATTGGCACAGCCGACTGTTGACGGTGACGCAATATGGGCATTGCGAACCACGCGGCCCGGCTGGAGAGCCTTAGCAATGTCGTTTAATTCTCTGTCCAAGTTGACTCCAGGACGGTATGCAGAGAAAAGACGGAGTATGTGCGTACGTTGGTTTGCGTCGCCGTCCGTCAAGGACAGAGAAAAATATGCAGCGAGAAGACACAGCGGCATGAAACTGGAGCCTAGAGGATAGTATTGGAGGGCTTGTCCTGCGACGTCCACAATGTCATCCCTGTACGCGTGGAGGTCGCCTGGTAGATCCAGCACGGCGAAGGCGTCCATGCATTCGGGCAGCGGGACCAACGTCGACAAGACGGACCCAATACGCATGGCAACGAGTGTTAGCATTCCAAATGCCGTCTGCCACCGGAGATGGACACGGCAAAGCGCATCTGAGATTGGGGGTATGGCTTTATCATCAGGACAAGGGGTGGCGGGTATTGTGGCTAGCAGAGCGGACAGCTTGGTTCTATCAAGTCGTACGCGGTGATATGCGACAACCAGCTCCATCTGGTACACGTTAGGCTCCCGAAGAAGTTTGACAACGTGTGCAAGATAACGGTTGCCTAAGCTGTCGATGTTGAGAGGCTCATCCTTGGAAGTAATGGGGCCATGTGGTTCTGGCATTTCCCACAGGTTGTCGTCGAGGTTGATGCGTGGGTTGATAAAGCTCTCCATAACAACAAGAAAACATAATGTCGACATGACACTGTTCTCAAAGTCGCCCCAGGACGACTGGCGGTGTCTTTTGATCGATCGTAGAATCATGGCAACAGCTTCGCCGTGACTCGGCAAGTTGCCTCCGTCTCCCTGTAGCCAGCCCTGGGTGACGACGACCAGATACAGGGCACAAAGGGTATTGGGCGCCTTGATGGCAACAGGGTCGCAAAGGGCCGTTCGTAAGGAATGTAACGCGCGGCCATATTCCTGCAGCATGGGAACGGTGGCGCGATTCACGGGCTGTAGTGCCTTGTCGTAATCGTCTGTGCCTGTTCTTCGTAGCACTAGTGGAAGAGTTGACGCAAGCGAGGCAGCAGCAGCGTCGAGGGCTGGGTTGCTACCGAGACGTTGGGGAATATCACGGATGAAGGAACCGTAGACGGATAGATCGAAGCGTGGATCGCTGACTTCCAGGGCCGATACGAGACGACTGATGACGGCAACCTGTGCACTGCTCCCCAAAGGCGGCAGCAACGTCGGTCGATGTACCAGCTCCTGTGATCTTGGGGTTGCGTGAGAAGAAGCCGAGGTTCCGGGCGATCGTCTGCGTAATGGCGGTTGCGTTACCGTATTGTTGTGGAATTTGTAACGCTGTTGGCCGCTGCCAGTGCATTCGATCTGCAAACGAGCGCAGCGACCACAGGCAGGTTTTTTTTGGTCACACTGCACGGTCAGACAAATAGGACAGGAACGCAGCCAAGGATGGGCAATACGCGTATGCTGACCTTTTTCTTCTGGCGCCGGCAGGCGTCGCAGCCCCGGCTGGACGGCACGCCTGGCATGGAGACCGTTTGGGTTGGTCGCTGACCTCCTCAGCAGCTTCTTCGTAGGGCTGGAGTCGCTGGTCAGCGGGCTATTTGTTGGCTATTGCTTTGGCAAAATGGTTGTTCTGAACACCAGCGCTGCATTGGGCCTATTTGGGAAGGAAGCTCTTTTTGAAGATTGGAAGGCGGTGAAGGTAATGGCATTTCGACAAAACTTGAGGCTGTGCTAAGGGCTCATCAGACATGGCGCAATAAGGCGCAGCATTTAAAACAGGCACAGTTCAGTTAATTCTAGGCGGCGGACGCCACTTGGTGATTTAGGTCGAAAGTAGTTGGTGCTGGCAGTTCACAACCGAGACCACAATCTGACATTTCAACTATTCCCAATTAGGTCAAATGCGCCGCTCCGGGACATGTAAGATTATGCGAAGCGACGTCACTGCCCGGCAAATCGCCCGAGTCGGGTCAGCAGCATGGATTAACGATGGGCAGCGAAGACATCGAATACGGGAAGAACTGGAGAGTAAAGAAGTAGACTTCTTTAATTCCCATAATGTAGGATTTGGAAAACGCCTCGTCCAAACTACTTAGGAAACCTGCCTATTTCCCATCCAAGAAATGCTCAGCGGCAACTTTGTTGCACAGCCTTGGCTCGGACATCAATGACTGCTAATTCGCTATGTCGCGCCGAATTTGTACTTGTGCTTGAAACAATTTTGGAATTGGTTGAAGCGAATGCGGACACTGCACGTTGGTCTTTGGCTGTTTTTGGCACGGGCAACATATATAAATACACGCCGCGCCTGAAAGTCGACAGCCGGATAGAGAGCAACATCAAACTTCGTCCATCGTCACCATGAAGCTTTTACACAAGATCATCTTGACCACGTCGTGTCTAGCGCCATCTGCGTTCGCCGATTTCACTACGGGGAGCTGGCCTGCACCGGTCGATCTTAGTAGCAAGTCCAGCCTTGTTCGCAAAGCATTTGCAAATATTACCGCCACACTGCAAGAGTTTATTTTACAGGACGGCAACATCAGTTCATCGGCGCCGCAGCTTATACATGGCATCACCGACCTTACATTCTCATTGGGGGTCTTTTCACGTTATGACAATGCCGCTTCGGAAGCACTGCAACATCACTATACAGCCCCAGAAATCGCCACAGCTGGAAATGGCACAACCTCTGTCGATGCTGACAGCATCTACCGCGTTGCTAGCGTCACCAAGGTTTTGACGACGCTGTCTGGGCTGCTTAAACTGTCGACGTCTGACTGGGATCGACCTATATCCGACATCTTTCCCGTCTTGTCATCGTACGAAAAACAATTCCCCGGTGGCCCCTTTGCCATCAATTGGACAGCTGTCACACCGCGCAACCTGGGTGCTCAAATTAGCGGCGTTCCTCGGGATGGCTTTCCAAGTCTCAACGAGCTGGAGATTTTGGGGCTTCTCGGTGATGTCGACACAGCGGCTATGGGACTGCCACCCGCAAATAGCAGTGATCCTCTCCAGAATCCGCCATGTGTCAGTTACTTACTTGGAAATACTGGTTCAGCTGAGTCCGCAGGAGGCGATAGTGGAGTATCCCTGTGTCCTTCAGAGCCGTACCTGGAGAGTGTCGCAAATCGCCCGCCGGTGTTTAGCCCCTGGTCATCACCCGGATACGCCAACAACGGGTTTTCGTTGCTCGGCCTGGCCTTGGAGAACTTGGTTAATACCACATATGAAAAGTTAGTTCAGAGTGCCATATTTGGCCCGCTAAACATGACCTCTTCCAATATCGACACACCACCAAAAGCAATGTGGAACCGCTGTGTAATTGCCGATGCCTCCACGCCGTCAAACTACTTTGACATTAACGCGGGAGTTTTCGCTGCTTCAGGTGCAGCTTCGAGCACATTAAATGACCTCGCTCGTCTTGGTCGCAGCATCCTCGACTATACACTGCTCTCTGAGGCTGAGACGCGTCGCTGGCTCAAGCCCGTGTCATTTACCGGACGCCTGCAGTACGCAGTGGGGTCACCCTGGGAGATCCACCACTACACGCTGCCTAACAACAAGGTCGTGGATCTGTACACAAAGTCGGGCGACTCTGGTGCCTATAGCGCCTTCTTTGTGCTGATTCCCGATTACGATATTGGGTTCAGCCTACTGTCTGCGTCCAGCACACTTAAAACCCGCTTTGAGATCCTTGCTGCCATTGCTGACGTGGTCACATACACTTTGGTGCCCGCCATTGATGCCCAAGCAGCGGTCGAGGCTTCTGCCAAATTTGCTGGAACATATTCGCTGGGCAACTCGTCGTTGACTCTTGTCGTTAACCAGACATGGTCACACACACCTCCGCGAGGTGGCGTGTTGACCGGTCCTGGTCTTGTCATTACCAACTGGACGAGTAACGGCACCAACGTTTTGCATTCCGAACTGGCCACCTTTACTGGTCCGCTGCCGTACCGTCTCGTTCCGTCTATCCCAGAGCCGTCCGGTAGCCCTACCTTCCGCCTCTTGACTCCCATCGATGAGCCAAGTGCCCAGTTGCCTATTAGCTCTATGCTCTTCTCTGGCCCTGGCTTCATAGGTGCAGACTGGATAGCGGTGGATGCGCTAACTTACGGTGGTATCGGGACAACCATGTTCCAATTTGACATCGGAAGTGATGGTAAAGCCTGTTCCGTTACATTGAGTTCCTTTCGACAAACGTTGCCACGTACAAATTGAACAAATCAGATCTCGATCGGCCGGACAAATGTCGAACCTGGGAGTTTCTTTACTTAGACGCAGTAGTCAGTTCCCGACCTGGACGCCGTGGTTCAAATTTCCGGTATAAGTACGAGGGCCGGTATTTAAAAGTGTCTTTTTAAGTGACTAATTCAAAATACATTGCTCTCATTCGCAGAAAATGAACCACAAATATTATTGATTGGATGCGGGCGTAACAACCAAAAACAGGCCCTCCGTTTTGTGGTTGAAACTTAGAATATTGGTCGCGTGGTTTACGAACCTTATACACCTGACCCTGGACTAGGAGGTGTTTTAGGGGTTTTGCGAAACTTTAGTTGCTCGTTGCTGGAGTATGCCACGAACTTGAACAACAATCTTGTATATGAATTTGAATTGTGAAGCTTCTCTTCGGACTCGTTGAATTCCATCACAGGTTCGGCTTCGTGCGAATCGGCCACTGGAAGTTTCGTTGGCGTAAGCTGCTGCGGTGGACCTCACCGCTTCGACTGCGATGGAGCTGGCGGCGACTCCACGACATCGAAGACCACCCATCACCTTTCCGTGCCTACCTTCAGCTGCTGTGGCCGTTCCCACGCCAATGGCCGTGTGGCCCGCTACCACCGCCGCCGCGCGTTCTGCTGGCTGAGTCTGACGCTGTTAGAACGCGTTACTACCGACACAGTCACGTCCAGCGCCAACTGCCCCTCTGGGCGTACCGCGACACGTTGCAGTGCGCTTTCTTTCGGCTCTATGAAGCCATGTGTGCCGCCGACGATGCAATAATTGGCTATTACACTGAGTACCTGTTCTTCCGGCCTGAGCCTGAATGGTCAATCGACCTAATAGCCGATCCACGCACGATCGAGACCGACACGGATATCGGTCCTACATTGACAGAACAAGAGATGGCTGAACGCCTGGCTGTGATGGCATGGCTTGTCGTGTCTCTTGAAGAATCGTTCAACTGGCGCCCCAAGCTGGGGTTGCGTCGAAATGGCACAGTGGAAGAAAACCGAGACGGGACGCCTGTACCATGGACGCCAGTGCACTGCCCGTCGCGGGCCCATGAGATTCCAGCGCTATCAGAGCGCCTCATATTGTCCCATAACCGGTATGATCTGAATCGACAGCCCGGCGAAACAACAAGATATAACGTCATTTTTAACGGCACGTCGTTAAGGACGGTATAGAATTGGTTGTTTTGTTGTTTTCTCTAGTATTACCACCTCTATGAATGTTAACACAACATTACATTGTGTATAGATAGTGGTATTGACAATTGCTGAGTATTGTCACTCAGTAGATTTTGTAGATCTTGATTTCGCTGTTTCCGGTGTTGCTTGTTATCAAAACATGTTGTCTGTAAAACCTGGGGTGTGAGACCGAAGGCTGTTTCTGTAGCAAAATGTAAACTCCGATACGACGTTTAGATACGATAGATTTGCTACAGCAGAGGCGGGAAATAAATCCCTCAAGCTTCAGGTGCATCTAATTTAATAATTAAATTATTTAAAAATAAATTCATATTTTATCTAAAATAAAAATTTTCTATATTTTTATAATATATATAATTAAAGAATAACATTAAATATATATTAATAACATTATTAATTATTATATGATATATTTATAATAATAAAACCATCATTTTAAGTTTAAATTAAAATCTTAAAGGTTCCCTTTAAGTGACTTGAACACTTATCTTAATATATATATATATATTAATATACTATATTTTTCATTAAACTATCAGGGTTATTACAAAAAACAAGTTTTTGCAATAAATTTTTAAATGTAAAACACATCTAAAAAATTCTTTATTGAGAATTAATAATCTCTTTTATGCATGGTCATATCATTGGATATCTAGACGCCATTTGTCTCTATCTAGCCTTTCTAATTTACGATTTTTTTATCAATATACTCGAGCAACTACACCTCAGATCTTATGAAGCTCTTGGACATCAATACCTGGCTGCTCGCGCTGCATTTTTTTGTTCAACAAATAGTACTGCACGTTAGCGATGACCGACATGACCAGACCGACAGACACCAGCGCCAGCATGACAGTCCAGCCAGTCTTGTATAGCGGGCTGTCCTTGGCCTGCAGCAGCTGGCTGCCTACAATACCGGAGGTGTTGGCCGACATAATGAAGATGGCCAGGGTGATGGAGCGCTCGCCGGCCGATTTGGCGTTAGAGGCCACCCAGGACCCGTTGACAGGGTGCCAGTTGGAGCCAAACGCGACGCTGGTCACCAACAAACCGAACCGCAAGTGCGAGTTGGAGGAATGGATGGCCAGACGATTGCCGAGCTGAAAGCCCCAGTAGATGAACATACCGAGAAATACCATAATTCCACGGCGCCCATATCTGTCCGAGATGAAGCCCCAGGACACATTGGTAACGAGCAGCATCCAGGCGCCGATGGAGGTCATGGCGTTAGCCTTCAGTTTGGGGTATCCGAACGAGGCGACGAGCGTAGGGGCATACGACATCATGGTTGAGGCCGGCGACAGGGCGCTGATGGTAAGGATGACATGAGGAATCAAGCGCCAGTTGGTCAACGCGTTCTTGATTTCCTGCTTGCTGATATGAGTATGCGTGTGGATCTTGGATGGATCGTCGAGCAGGACGCGGCGAGAGAGAATGTGGACCTCGCGCTCGTTAAAATAGCGGATACCTAGGATGGAGACAGGGTTGCTAGGGCTCTTTGGGAAGAAGGTGATGAAGAGAATTCCGATGGCAACGGTGATCATGCCCTCGATCTGGGAGTTGTAAGCTTATGTTTGTGCTGCTATGTAATTTGATTGGTTAAATCAAGACATACCAGGAACAGCCATTGCCAGCCTGCAAGGCCACGGACGCCACGCATGTGCAGGCTATATGACGTTTAGTAAACAAATGAGTACGAGATGGCGGAGCATACAGGAAGTACTTACATTCCGTACGCCACGAGACCCGTGCAGGCACCGGCCAGCATGTTGCCGAGGAAGAACACCGAGAATCGCTTGCTAGTCTCGTCGCGCTTGTACCACCGAGTGATGGTGTAGAGACCAGCCGGGATGAAGCCAGCCTCGCAGAGACCGAGAAGTAGACGGGTGACGAGGTACGGGCCGAGGCCATGCTGGAAAGCCTGGAAGGTAGCAACGAGACCCCATGCGATGATCTGTCCGCCAATCCAAATTGTAGGGCCGAGTTTGTACAGAACAATGTTGCTGGGAATCTCGAGCAGCACAATACCCAGTGACAGCAGCTGTTGACCGACGTTGAACTGGTATTGGGTGATGCCTACGTCCTTGAGGAAGTTATCCGTCAAGGCATTACCAATGTTACCACGGTCGATTTGCAGGGCGAAGAATGCCAACGTCAACAGCGCCAGAACAATGAAATCGAGCCTGATGTTGTTAGATTTCGGTGTACAAGTGGACGACCCAAACAGCATCTTTTGGCGAGTATTGAATACTCACTTGCGGACGAGATTTTTTTCCTCTGCGTCGGACCAGTCGCGCTCCACGTCAGACTGGTAGCCATCGCTGTTGCTGGCATCGGTCGATACGCCGACCTGCTTCTCATATATTGTCGGCGTTGACGACATTGTGGCAGGGTGCGACATGTGTATGAGACTAGAGATATTGATTGATGGAGGGTATCGCAATAATGGACGAAATTTGAGACAGACGAAGGTAAAAAGCTTTTTTAAAAAATAAAAATAAAAATAAAAAAAATAAACAGCGCGCTCGCGTGTGTCGGTTGTTGACGAAAGAGATTACGCCGCTTGAGGACAGTATTATATACGGTTTCCTGTTTATCAAAATAGTCGTCTGTACCGTCAAGTCGGGGACGATCTGCAGTACTTTTTTATTTATGAATACAACCAGCCCACCGTCGTCGACGCCTGTCAAAATCTGTACAAGGCTCATCGTTTGACAGTGTTGAAGCGTCACAGACTGTAACCAGAAAGGGTACCCCACACATACTGCATGGCGTCGTAATGCTACACAGCGTAAGGAATGGCGCCAATACTGCACCGAAGTTGCCCTTAGTTGCTGATGCCATCGTTTCGGGGCGGCACGCCATTCGCTTGGGCGTTTAAGTGCAAGATTAATCGGAGGGATGCGAAGAAACAGTTCCACGAATAATTGAAAGGCAACAAAAGCCAGTAAAAACATATAGGGAAAACCACGCTGTCCCCACAAATTTCGGGAGTTAACAAGCCACCGTTGTCCCTATGTGACGCTAATGCCTGATGTTAGCAGACAGCAAAATGGCGAATTCGACGAGTATCATCGAGATAAGTGCGATCCCTTCCTGTAGTCTGTCATGTACGATGGCGATTGGCTAGATCGGACACTTACATGACTCGTGGCAGCCTCTTTGTTCGCCGAGGACCCAGCCGGACGGGGCGAACAGTGAGGACTAAGCCGACGGGAGTTAATATTTAATTTCTATTGGTCTCTTCTTGGTATCTAAATGGATGATTCCAATTATCAGGCCTGGACCGATTGACACAGGAGCCGTTGGTCATGGCCAGAATTGCGTCTTGTTTATTGGTTGTGAGGTTATAAACAAGCTCGCTTTTTATTGTGAAATATCTCTTCTATTTATTTTGTTGACTCATGTATGGTATGTTTTGTATGTCTTTGTTGTCAACATTTTAATACACTTCTATTATTTGCCTTATTTATTTACAACCTCTCCGTTGGTCATTTCTAGGTGACAGCCTGCAACTGCTCATCCATTGGCGAGCTTCTTTGGGTTCATCAACATTCGCAATCGTGGTGCTAAAAGATACCATTGAGGCGTCAGATGGCGCCATCTCTACTAGCTGGCCACGTTGGGGCTTCTCTTAACACCACCAAGTTAGCGGTATTTGCGAGCACTGTCCATCGAACAAATTCTGCCGAAGCATGGAACGGTTGTTAGGATGTAAGTAGCGGGGAAACGGTAGTAAGAATAGTTCGAGTAAATAACCCAACGCCCCCGATATGACGGACGTTGTGATGCCATTGGAAACGGCATCCTGTGGAAAAGTGTAAAACTGCTCGGTGGTCATAAATCAAATCGTACGGTTGATACACAATAAAACACGCGAAAAATTAATCTAAACAACCAAAACAATTTCACTCTCCCCCATCACCAAAATGGGCAATCTTGAATCCCAAAAGCACATCTCGCCCGACTCTGGGTTTCCCATCACCATCCATCCTGCTTTCAACAGCAAGATTCAGGCTCATGTTCCGCCAGAGCCGTTGCGCAAGGAGGTGTTTCCCGATAAGGACCGGGCCCTGTTTGCCGATCCTGAGAAAAAAGCTTTGTTCTCGGTGGCCAAGCGCGTTGACCTGACCGAATCCATTGGCACCGTGCTCGAAAATGTGCAACTGTCGCAACTGTCGCCACAGCAGCTGGACGAGCTGGCGCTACTGGTCACGGAACGCGGCGTGGTCTTCTTCCGGGACCAAGACCTGACGACAGACAAGCAGGTCGAGCTGTTTGAGCACTACGGCATCCTGGACCGACACCCGGCGCAGAAAGATGTTCGCCATGTCGTGATCAAGGGCAGCACCGAGGATCACCGCAACATTTTGAGCTACACGCCGTGGCCATCCGGCGATTTTCACGCCGACACGTCCTTTGAGATCAACCCACCGTCGTATTCGATGCTACGTATGGAGGAACATCCTGCTGTGGGCGGTGACACAGCGTGGATCTCACAGTACGGCTTGTACGACACACTGAGCAAGGCCATGAAGACATTTGTTGACGGGCTACACACGGTACACACGAGCCGGCTGCAGTACGATACGATTATCGATCTATGGGGCGTAGGCCCTAACCGACCGCCTATTGACACACACCACCCGGCAGTGCGCACGCACCCGGTCACTGGCCTCAAGGCGCTCAATGTGAACCCAGGTTTTGTGACTGGATTTGCCGAACTGAAAAAGGTCGAAAGTGACAAGCTGCTCGACTTTTTTCAGTATCACATTCACTCAGCCGACGACCACTACGTGCGTTGGAAGTGGGAGGTAGGCAGCGTGGCATTCTGGGACAACCGCTGCTCAGTGCATCGCGTTATTCCCGGCACATACAAGGAAACACGTCGCGGTATCCGAACGACCGTCTTCGGCGAGAAGCGTACGTACAGTTGGAGTCTAATGATGATGACACCAAAAGAGATTTACCTTACTAACTTGTACAGCATACTTTGATCCCAAGAGCGAAGGCCGTATTGAGAGAAAGGACCGTCTCGATGCGGAGACCGGCGTGGTCCAAGAAGAGCGGTCTGTTGTGCCGATCCTGGAGGACAAGGAGCCGCAGGCCAACACCCCGGCGTAGACAAAATGAGTCGATATTTCAAATGGATTCTAAATTGTAAATTGAAAACCATCTAAACAAGTTTTAGGACAACACGTGAGATGCACCTATCTATTTTGTTTTGTCTTTGAACGAAAGAAACAAAGCAAATAATGCAAAACTATTACGTTCAAATCCGTCTACCATCAGGTCTCACACACTCTCCGCTAGAACACGTTCGTCCAGTCATACAGTCCAAGAATCAGCATCTACCGTCAAAGTAGCACCATCTGAGATGAGTTTAAAAGCTGGTGCTAACTGGTTGGGAGACCATCCTCGCGGGCCAGGCAGGAGCCGTGGGACAAATTATCGTCTCGGTGGCAGTTCCACTAAAGATGTGGAAAGTGGGCGTGCAACCTGGGTCTGGAATTGACGACGAGAACCCCCCCCCCTGCAGCCGATACCTTCCAGATAGCGAACAACACGAGCTTCTTCAATAATATTGCTTTTGATGGTTCCAAAACCCTTAAACATGCCGACACCGTCAAATGGTGAAGGGGTACCGTCCCGGTAAGCCGCCTTGTTGTCGACAATGTATGGCGGCAAGGGCGTCTCGCGCTCCGAAATGCGCACCAAACCACGGCGCCGAGTCATTCCTTGACCACTAGAAAGGCCACAATCTCGCCAACCTCCTCCTTGGTCAGACCGCACTGTGTCTCCATGTACGCCGCCGCGCCGCCAAACTCCTCCCGGAGCATCTTGAGTGTGTCCAGCATGCTGGCTTTGCGAGCACCCACCATACGCCGCGCACCCTCCTCACTGGTTGCACCCTGCTTGAGCACGGCCTGAACGAGCAGTTCGGTCCAATGGCCCAGGCCGGCCTCGGTCAAGTTGTATTCCTCGGCTACTACCAGGTCCGGCACGCCACACACGCTCAGCAACAGCGCCCCCAGGACACCTGTGCGATCCTTGCCAGCCGTGCAGTGAATTATAAAGCACCGCTGCTTAGCCACCCGTGCATCTTCCAGAATGTGTCTTAATATAATACCGTACGACGCCGCGCCTTCGGTCAGAATAGCCCGATACGCATTTACCATGCCCTTGGGGCTCTCATCTTGGTAGTCGGCGTACCGTTTGGCCAGGCTCACGGGGTCATAGCTCTCGGCGCGGAACACGGGCGTGAAAACACGCGTCACTCCGGGCCAGTCGACCGTCTTAGGCCCCGTGCCGGCCACCTGCAACTTTTGGATCTCGGGCAGCGAGCGCAGATCGTAAATGTGCGTCACGCCGAGGCCACGGACTGTATCAACCGCTTCAGGTGTAGCGCTAGTCGGCTCTCCACACCGAAAGATGTAGCCTCGGCGAACGGTGCCCGTCCCGCTCTTACTGGATACGACATAGCCGCCGAGGTCGCGGAAGTTGGGAATACCCTTGAGATGGATAAACGGTGGCGACGGCAGAGATGTCGACGTCTCCGGGTTGACAGGGCCGTGAGACATGGCTGGTGTGGTAGTCGCAGTGGTCGCGGTAGTGTTGGAAAGCTGAGTGAAGAGAGATTGGGGGGCGGCAGCCAAGGTTGGCCGAGTCGGACAAATGCGGGCATGCAAGAGTACGGCCCGGGACGCTGGTACAGAATCAAAAAGGAAAAGGCCGAGGACTTATCTTACGGGAGCGCACCAATGTTACATCGGCGTGGTATTTTGGTAGGTTGCCGTTTTAGATTAACCGTCCAAAAATGAGAAAATGCGAACGCAACAAAAAGGCAGAAAAAGCAACACACAGAGTCTGAGGCCGGGAATGACCGGGCCACAGCGAGCCTAGTGTGCAGTAGACAAGGCGCTAGCAGCATCACGGCAAGCTAATCCAAGTACGTTGGCTAAGAGGGATCAAGGTGGTTCACATATTGGAGAGTCAACCTGTCTTGTCTATTTTATTACAACCTCTTTTTACAGGATTTCATGCTCAAAGCCCAAATCCGGATCCTATCATCCAATCAACTAATATTGATAGCAGAGCTAGCCAGTCAATTTGCCATTGGGAAGCTGGCAAAACGTGTAGGTACAGAGCCAAAAGGCCATACAATGGCAGGCCGTCTTTGACGAGGGTGACCCCGTTCGTGGTATGATGTGTGTTGCTGTGTAGGGCGGAAGGGGAAGGTGCACACTGTCGAGCCCATACCTTTCATGTATCTCTCGCCTAAGGCTATGTGCCCGTCTATTGGGCTCCATTCTCTATTAATGGTTCACTGGCATTACGAAGTTATGTCTAGGGCCTCTTGTCAGTGGCTGGGCGCCAGTTGTGTCATACGCCCCTGTTTCAAGACCAGCGACGGCTGGAGAGGTAAACCATTGCCATTACGCACGAGCACATTATTTACACTTTGATTACTTGATCTGGCGTTGTTCCATAAAGTGTCCAATACTTCCTCATCGCCATAAATACCACCGCCGTCCTCTGCTGGTTCTTCTTGAAATACTCGCCTCTATTTCGAATGAAAGCACAGCCGTCAGCGCAAAATTCAATGTTGCTAGGTTGAACCATCTATTGTACGTCATATGAATTGGCCAACGTTTTCATCACCCGTATTACCTGAATTTAACCTAACTGACAGACGCTTTTGCCATTATCAGGTCTACGATGTACGGTGCTCTCTCCAGAGGTCCCATGCTGATAACCGGATTGTACCTGGCTACGCCGCACTTGCACTAATCGGAAGTATAAACATTGGCCGTCACAAGACCACTGTGGGATGTACGACGAGCCACCAGGGACCGTGCAGGTCGATGGTGTAGATACTGGGGCTGGCCTGAAGACACCGCAGCGCACCGTCGTCAGTGATGCGGTCCTCGACGAACACCGGCGAATGGAGAAGAACATCAATCGACGTGTCTGTCGACATTCAGCTCTCATCGATCCATGGAATTTCGCACCCCATTGCCGGTCTCGTTTGTGTGAATTTGCCCAACCCTCGTCTCACGCTGCGGCTGAATAACTTTGTTTTCAGCGGGGGCCCGGTGATGCTCAGTATGGGCTTTTCCAAGGCGGCCGACAGGTGATTGTAGTGCTGCATGCTGAATAGCATCGTCGAATCCAGCGTCCTACCGTGCTGCATTGATCGTCTCGGCTGTTGGTACCAGCTGTTCATGGTTCAGCAATGCATGGCTTTCCGATATATCATCAACGTGTTTGTGTCTGCGTTTGGTAATATCTTTGCTTACGCTCAGATCAATCTGAAATCCTCGTATGGTGTCGCCGAGAGTCGCTGGATGTTCATCATTGAAGTTGCTATCATCATTGGCTTTACTTTTATTAGCAACGTGTTTGTTCTGCAGTTCTCTAATCAGACGCTCTCCAGCGAGAAGACTTTTCCTTTTCTGCGGGGAGATCATTCAAAACTGTGTTGAGCGCGATCGTGGTGATGCAGATCCTGATCACCTCACTTTCAACACGGTCATATGCCATTCGATAGACTGGCCGCCCGTGGATCTACAATTGCATCTTCTAGTACTGTTCCACATTCATCTATGTGTTTGTCTACGTCATTCAGACCATTCTGTCAACTATACGCTATTTCACTGCCGACGTGTTCCTCCTCGTGTGCTCCTCCCTGCATATTCTCCAAGATCTAGACTAACGTTGCAGTTATCCTTGCAGACTACAATCATCTGCGTATACTGTAGACGGTGCTCGGCTCGGCCAAAAGCTCAGAGGTCTGCTTGACACGGCTTGTCACTAAAACAACGCCGTCCGTTGCTTTGGTGTCTTTATAGGTGTCAGCTGCAGCAATGCTAGCCTTCACATAATTATTGCCTTTCAGTCCAGCAATATGCGTTCCGACTCCCGCCGGTCCGTGGGCAGTAACATACAGGTTCTCTTTGCCGCGCTTGGCGGCATCCAGGATGAGAAGGATCTCCGTTACACCTTCTAAGATATGCGTACTGTAAAATCATGACGGTAGCATCTGTCAAAACGTGTTGAGGCTTGAGTAATGAGAAATATTGCCAGTATGTATCTTAAATGCCAATGCACTGTATTATGTCTTCTATTGCGCACACAATTCATCTTACATTGTGCAATTCTATCAGATCTGTCGTTATCTCTCTCAATGATGTATCCCCTTTTTCCGTCGCAAACTTCATTCGATAAATACGTTAATTGGCTCCGTTATTGCGGCAGCAGGATGAAATGTGGCTGTCATCCGTTCGTTTTTCTTTTTTTCCTGTTCTTCCGCGGATACAGTTTGTCTTCGGCCGGGTAATGTGAAAACCTTCCCAACGTCCGGGCCAAGACTTGTGGGCGGCACATATAATGGCCACAGATATGGCTGATTATTTTTTTCTTATCAGTTATAGAGTGTGGCGACTTAAATGAACCTCATATATCGATCGTAGACACCCCTTCACTAAGATGTCATGACTTCATTCGAGTCGTTGATTTCGAGATGCCATTCCACTAGCGAACTCCCACCGTACCCCTCTCTAATGCCATTCCTCAACTCCGGAGAAATTTAGACAAATAACAGCGAGCCTTGGCAAGCCACCGGCTTCTTCTAGCCCCGTAGTGCAATAACGCATCAGGAAGCCATCACCAGGTACGCGAGAGCGACAAACATTCAAACCCGGATATAGATGCCGAGATTCAAAGATCCACGTTTATGATCCTCCAGAAACCGGAGCGTACAGGGAGGATCTTTCGCTATGAGTGTCATTGAACTTAGAACAGAACTGCTTTGCCAAGAAATCGGCAACGAAATAGAATATAAGAGGGTGGAGGCGGGATAATTGTAAAGGATGTAAGCGCCGCCAAGGACTCTTCCTTCTAAAGCACGGTTGCTTGCTATATATGCAGTTTTACGAGAATACAGATAAGTGACCTACCTGGCATGACCAGTAGTACTTGGGCGGAAATGCTGGGACTCTTGCGTGATGTTCTTCCTTTGTTTTTGCTCAATCACACTTCTTACATCAAGCTCGTTGTTATCGTATATTAAAACGTTTTTAAAAGTGGCTAAGATCTTAATGGAACGATGTTGTCGGTGCAGCGTTAAAATATTCTCACATCTCTCGATGCATGCTAAATTATATCCAGGAGTCATTGTTCCGAGTCCCCCTCTCTATTCCTTTACACACGATCTAAATTGCCGCTCAAGCAGTGGCTCACGTCCAGAAATGAAAGGGAGCCCCAATATCACTTTCCCATCGTCTTCCGGTCTTGGGCAGAAGCTTTGTCCTGCACGGTCCCGTCTTGCAAAACAAGCCGCGATACAAGTTCTTCCGCGAAGCGCCGGCGACAAATTGCCCGGTTGAACTCCAGTGATTTTGATAGAGTCGAGCAGGAGGATACTCTCAAAGGAGCCAAAATCCGACGAGGTATGCCGGCAAGATGCCCTTTTCTGTTTTGAGTATAAAGCATCGTGGATCTCTTCCCGTTTCTCGTGATTTTGTGCCTTTCGTGAACCAGGTAGAAATCTTGCGGCAATTCAAGTCCTTATCACGGCAAGCAATACATCATGAAGCTCTGCATTGTTTCTCTCCTTATTCTAGGCCTTGTGGCTGCGGCCCCGGCACCGGTTGCCGCGCCTGCGCCCTATGATCGGCATCTCCCTGCTCGCAAGGGTATGTCTCCCCGTTAAAACCAGACGCAATACATTATTTACTAACAAGTTTTATCGTCCAGGCGAGCCGCCTACCAAACTAATCCGCCGGAATCTGGGCGTAGATGTCGCCCAGCCCACTGGTACTGCCACTGGTACTGCCACTGGCACCGGAACAGCACCAGCTACGCCGCCTCTCAAGACGGGATGGCCAACGTCTGCCAACACGGCGCCCAAACCTCAGGCTACAGGAACTGGAACCGCCTCCAAGGCCGCTCGTATTATCCCCACAGGCACCAGTCCCCTCGTCCTCGTCACCGGAACCGCCGGCACCATAGCTTCAGCTGGGCCGACGCAGTCTGCGGCTACGAGTTCGTACAATTTTCCATCGCCAACCACGACCAAGGTGGGCAAGCAGGCTGCCGAGGCCTCGTCGGCCTTCTGGTGGCTACAGAACTAGTCGGCATGTCATTTGTTGAAATTGGCTTTATGAGCCCTGTTGGTGAAGGACTCTTTTTGTTTTCGTTATTTCTTCTTTACATCATGTACCACGTGTGGTACGTTCAAATCAACTTTGACTCATTTTACCTTGACCGTACGTCGACATTCAAATAAAGAAAGGTATAGGAGAATATCACCAACTGAGATATGTTGGGGAGTAAAAATGACACGATTATGTTGATAAGACAATGGTTGTTATTTCCTAACCTTTCGCATCTAATTCATTTATATAACAACTTGGAGAAGTTGCCCAACAAAACGGCCCGGATCCGCCAAAAAGCAACGTTGATGAGTTTCCTTAAGATCGATTTAGTCTAGCGACGAAAGCCAACGGCTCTAAGCAGTGCCAGGTAATGGAGAACAAAGAATGCGGCCGCCGTTCCTTGGTCGTGCCGGTCCCGCCGTCGCCACCGTACTAAGACTACGAGACTGAGACGCGGGCTACGGGCTAGACCAGCTAACGGCGGACACGGGACTTCTGAGACAGTCGGGTTGTTGAAAAAATGGAAGCTGCTCAATCTTGGATTGTTTGTGGAGAAAAGCTTCGCCAGTACGCTAGCTACGTTTCAATAATTTGTCAGTTGAATTTTATTGACTTTTATCGTCTTGGTCGTTTCCTTGCAAACCACGTCGATGGCCGTCCATATATGTTCTCGTTCTTCCTGTTGCTCTTGATCTCTCCCATGCTCCAGTTTTTCGTCTCAAGGTCTGCGTCATCTGCTCTTTTGCTGCCCGCCCCACCCATTTGCTCCGGCCGCGGGCCTTGTAGCCCTAAATTGCCGTTTGCTGCCTAGCTGCGCTATTCATGCACGACAACGTCGCAGCTTCCCAGTGAAAACCGTTTTGCTCGCTGCACCTTCCTTGTAATTCCAGTGGCTGGGGGAAGCGCTTTCATCTTACATGCAGCGTTGTTAGGGTATTGCAGGGGTGAAAAGTGGGGCTCATGCCTCTGTCTACCCCTCCGTGATGGGTCGAGAGAGGGCGATGACGATTTTGCAACACCTCTATTTTCCATCCTCGTAGGGTTTGGACAAACCCGAAGGTACCGGATTGATGGCCTTCCAGATGCTTCGACAGCTCGTGCCAAGCAGATGAAGCATTTCCTTCTCCGTTTCCCCATTGCTGTTTTTTATCGAGACTTGTCACCAGCCACTGCGAAGATTCTGTCTCCGTTTCCCGAGGTATCTTACAGGCAAGGGCGATCGAGGGCAGGACAAACAGGCGGCCAGCAAAAGGCAGGTGCCACCCACCATCCTGCCATGATCACCTGTGCCTACTTGGTCACACGGCTCTTTGTCCCTCCCACTTCCCACTCGGTTTCGTACAGTTCTCGCCATGGCGGCTTTTCTTCTGCTCTAATGTACGAATCGTACCAAGCTGCACAACGAGTTGGAGCCAAGGAGGCTTGAGACATTCCGCAGGAAAGGTGACCTCGTTCGGTTGTCTTTGGTTGGGGCATTTTGGGCAAGGCAGTCACACTGTAAGATTATGTGGACCGTTCTCCCGCGTGCTTTCCTCTCTCGGTCTCGCACTTCTCGTAGCAGAACCTTGGACCTGTCGCCCCCCTAGTTGAATCCTCAGCCGCCCTCCTTCCTCCCCAGTCCTCCAGTCTGCCAGCCATTGTGCTAGCCGTACTTGCATGACACTCACTAATACTAACTAGACCAGCAGATGTGCCCAGTCTTCTCTTTCCCTGCCCCTTCCTTGCCTCAATCCAGAGCCTCCCGTTATTGCGTCGCAGCCTTAAATCTTACTTCCTGCCTCTCTATTTTCTCAACATTCTGTCCCGTTCCTTCCCTTCCCTACGCCCTTCCCCTTTTCCCTATCTTCCAGACACTCTCAAATCCCTTTCATTTCCCCTCCCCCGCTTCCATGCACATTTGACGTCAGATCCGGCGATACGCACATCGCACGTCAACAAAAGTGACACATACATCTATGATCTTCATCCTGTCCGTCTGCCACATGCAACTGTAATTATTACTATTTTATTTACTGTTTCATACCTCCGGGTGGAAGATACAAGCCACCTCTCCCCCCCCCCCCCTCCTCTCTCTCCACGTCACTCGGTACTAGAGGGCAACAACAGCCCCTGGCCTTACATAACCTCCCCACAATGCCCGAAACCGAGTACTATGAAAGCACGTACCGGCGTGACCGTGAGCGCGACACAGCCTACTCGTCAGACGACGATGACCGCTACAAGAAAACTACTGTGCGCCGCTACAAGGTCGGCAGCGGTGGCGACCGTGTCGAGCGCGTCGAGCGCACGACCGAACGTCACGAAGACGACTCCAGTTCCCGCCACGGCAGGCCTGCGCGGCGCTCGTCCAATAACCTCCTCGATGTTGACCGCCACGATTACGTGCCGGAGCGTCCACGGTCCGCATTTGAAGTGACCGAGACAACACGGCGCTCCGAGCGTGACCGTGATTACTATGGTGGCCGTGACGGAGGGAGCCGTGTTGTCTATGAAAAGACCAAGGAAATTGACCGTGGCGACCGTGGCGACCGTGGCGACCGTCGCAATGATCGTGAGACCCGCCTCCAACGACGCACCGATGACCAGATTGTCGTCGAGAGTTACTCTGAAGACCGCCGGGACGATGGGCATGGCGGCAATGTTGAGCGCTGGCACCGGGAAACCGAGTACTACGAACCTGCCCCGGCCGCACCACAGCCTATTGTCATCCGTCAAGAGGCACCGGCTCCCGCTCCCATCATACTTCCCCGCCAGCAACCCGGCGTCGTTGTGATCCGTGAGAAGGACCGTGACCGGGACAGAAGGGACTCCCGCCACGATGACGAGTACTTTTATGAACGCCGAGAGCGTCGCGAGGTTGGACCGTTCCGGGGCGGCGAAGAAGTGGCTGTCGAGCGCTACGAGCGGCGCGAAGGCGGCCATGGCGACGAACTCGACCGCCGCCACCAACGTCACCATCATCGCGATCGTCGTGACCATGCCTCGGACGAGGAGTACTCTGATGATGATTACTACGTCAAGAAAACGACAGTGATCCGCCGTGAAAGGTCCCCTTCCACTGACAATCATCACCGCCTCCATCTTGCCGAGGGTGCCCTGGCCGGTGCAGGCCTCGGTGCCCTGATCGGCTCGCGTCGCAACACCCAAACTGGCGAGTTGCCTGAGCACCGCGGCCGCAAAGTCCTGGCGGGTGCGGCACTGGGTGCTCTGGGCACCGAAGTCTTCAAGCGTGCGCACAGCGCGTACAACGAGCGCTTTGGCGACGACGATGGGGACTACCGCGCTCGATCACGCTCGCGGGGTGGTGGCACCCGGTCGCGGTCTTCCAGCCGCCACCACTCCAAGCTTAAGACGGGCCTGGGTCTGGCAGCTGCTGCACTTGCCGTGGCTGGTGCGGCCAAGTACATCCAGTCGAACCGCATCGACAAGGAAGAGCGCAACCGTGGCCGCAGCCTGCACCGATACAGCAGCGGCGAGGAGGATTATGGCCATGGCAACCGCTCGGTGTCGCGCACCGGAACCAAGAGCCGGTCGCACTCGGTAGCCAAGGTCGCTGCGGGCACTGCAGCCGTGGCCGGCCTGGTACATCACTTCCGCTCCAAGTCACGCCAACGTGAAGGCAAGGCACGGTCGCACTCACGGCTGCGCACAGGTGCTGAAATTGCCGGTGCGGCCCTTGCTGGTGCTGCGGCCAAGAAGCTTTACGACAAACACAAGGATAAGAAGCAGCTGGAGCGCGAGCAGAAAGAGGCGGCGTACTACTCGGATGACCCATACTCCGAAGACGACCGCTACAGCCGCCACGGTCGAGGCTCACGGTCTCATTCGCGCAACAGGTCAGCCGCTCCGTCTCAATCACCACCACCTCTCTCCGGCGCCACGCGCACCCCCTACCCACCTTCAGGTGCTGACCCTGAGCTAGGACTGGTTGAGTATGGTGACCAGCCGCTGTATGCCGACCCGGGCGCCCCAGCGGGAGATGGCGCCATCGTTGGCCACCGTGGTAGCTACGACAGTGCCGCGGATGCCAGCGAGCGCGATGACCGACGGGCACGACGCCGCCACCGGCACCCTCACAATGACCGTGGTGGGAACGACAGTGATGACGCCGACGCAGAGGTCGACAGCGACCGTAAATCGAAACGCGAACGAAGTCGATCTCGTCTCCGCAACCTGGCCACCGCCGGTGCTGGTGCCGCGGCGGCTGCCATCGGTATCAAGAAGTATAGCGACAGCAAGAGGAAGAAGGAAGAGGAGGCAAACAGGCGTGATCGCAGAGACCACGAGAGGGATCGTGATCACGACCGCGATTTCGACCGCGACCATGATCGGCAGCGTGACTATGACCGTGATGAGGATGTTAACCGTAGACACCGCCACAGACGTCAGTAACTTGCCCTCCGTTTCCCATTTCACTGGATCTCCAAATAGCAGCTGACGCTCTTGACTACAGACCATCGTGACGATGAAGAAGCGTATGATGGCTACTATGACGACTACGACAACAGTCGGCCGCCCTCGCCACCCCATGCATCGGGAGGTGCCTTCTATCCGCCTGCTCCTCCCGGCGGAGCCCCAATTGGTAACACAGGGGGGTTGATGCAGCACTCAAATACGGCAACTACCAACCTGAATGATTCCTATGCTCCGTACAACCCCGTCGACTACAGCGGCTACCCGCCTCCACCTGGCCCGCCGCCGACACGGGGTGCTCCGGATGTGCAGGGGGGCGCCCCGATCCCTCATGAATCTTCGTCTGGCCCTGTCCCTGGGCCTGCTCCCTACCCGGCATCATACCCTTCCACGCCGGCTGCGATTCCTTCCGAACCGGTGGAAATTCCTCCAGAAGGTCCGATTCTACCTGGTCCAGGTCCAGCATCAGGCGCTCCTCCTCCTCCTCCCGGTCCACCACCGCCTCCCGTCGGCAACGTATATGAAGCACCAGGCGCCAATGCCAATCACAACCCTAATGCCTCCGGTCGTGGCCGAGGCCGCAGCGACGACAGTACGATTCTCAACTCCCGTCAGCCGGCCGCCCACGATGGTGATCATGTGAGTTTTGCCGTTCCTTTGAGTTAGTCTCACGGATCCCCCTTGTCACGTCCTCATTCTGTTGTCAAGTTAAAATACTGACACGCTGTAGATACTGTAAATGACATTGAGGATCTTCCTGCCAAACCGCAAGATGCTCACGAAGAGACCAAGACCGTGGGCTTCGCCCCATTGTCGCCTCAATCATCGCGTACTCTGCGTCGTCATCACGCCGAGGTCCGTGAGCACAGTCCAACACAACCGAGTACCTCTGCACACGACCAAAGCAGTCGACAACTCCTGTCACCTTCTCCATCGCCAACCTCGGCAGCGCACAGCCACCGTCGGCCGGCCGATGACGACGATGCCGTGGAAGAGCTGCCAGACCGCTTTGATTCGCAGGGCCGACTTCTTGGTGGCCACAGTGTGGGAAACTCGAGCCGATTTGGCCCCAGCTCCCGGCATGGTGACTTTGAGTACCGTAACCCTGATGGACGGCCAGATGGGTGGCATGCACGTGGCCAATGGGGCATCATCAGTAACAATCATGAGGGCGGTGTGGACACGTTGGCCGATGCTGTACGGGGCATTCTTGATGGTATAGGTGCCGCAAGCAGTGGTAGTGGCAGGAGTGGCCAGCCTGGTCTCCTTGGGCTGGTTGGAGGCGTTCTTGAGGGCTTATCACATGGCCATGAAGGTGGTTCAAGCCAAGCCTTGGCGGACCGTGATGATGAACGGTCAGACGACGACGATGGGAAAAAACGCAAGCGACGAAATACGTATGCGGGCAAGGGGGCGCGAGACAGTAACCAGGACGGGGACAGTGCTCGAGACGGCCACAGAAATGACCGACACCGAGAGCGAGACCGCGATCGGGCGACAAACCTCGAGTACCTAGGCAATGGCTTCGCGTTTGATCGAGATGGCTATGACGGCAACGATGCTCGGAAGCGACGACGGAGTTGGGCAAACTGAATTGGTGTGTATTTCACGGCTGTCGATATGCTCTTTTGGGTTTCCTGCATTTGGTAACGACTATGACGGAAATGGGAATGGTTCGTGATTTTTGGTTTGGATCTAACTCGTTTGTGTGTTTATTAACCTTTTGGTGGATCTCATGAACTCTCGGATAAATGTGTCTGTGAGTTGATGCTTTTTATCCTTTTACAATACCACGCACTGTTTATCTGACTTTTTAATCACGTCTCATTGATATTATGATTACTATGAAAAGGCGTTCTACATGTGTAATCACTTAGCATGGTGCCGTCCTTTGGCCATCTTCTTGTCCTCAAGTGCCTCCATATCCTTCTTCTTGTGAAAGTGCGGCGCCAACTCCGACAACCACTTGGGCTCAATGGGAAGACAGGACCGCATGTACTCCTTAGTCGTCTGCACCAGTTCAAAGTAGATGACCATGCGCGCGGGGGGGTCAGCTCCCATAAGCACCGAGCTAGGGTGGATGTAGACGGTGGTGGCACTCTTGACGGTGCGGTAACTACCGCCATCGCGTTGCATGCGGGCCGCATTAGGGAAGAAACCGGCAGTTAGGGCGCGCTTGATGGGCGTCATGTGCGAGGCGCCAACGGACGAGAGCTCGACCTCAACGCGCTCGCACAGCTTAGCCAGCTGTTCGCGCACATCACGGGCGCGAGTCAAGCTGCGCTGCTGCAGGAAGTTCTCTTTGGCCCAGATGGGCGAGAAATCGCTGTCAACCCACTGGTTCCAGATGTTGAGAAGCGTCAAATGGTCACCGCCCTCCTGGACAGTGAAGCGGGCGCGGGCACTGTCGGCGTGGATCTTCTTGTCTTTGGGCCGGAAGAAGAGGGCCGACGCTTCGCTCAGCATCGACACAATGGACAATACCTCCTCAACGCAGCCCTCTTTACCAGCAGCGATAACAGCCTTGGCCAGCATGGGGTCCGTCGGGAACTCAGCCATCTGACGACCGACTTTGGTTAGCTCGCCCTTGTGGTTGAGGGCTTGCAAGGCAAAAAGCTGATTGAGCGCCCCGATTAAGGCCTCGGTGGGCGGCGGATCCATGAATTCAAAGTCTAGGAGCTCGTTAATGCCCAGGCTCTTGAGTTGGAGAACGACGCCGTTGAGATTCGTCCGCAGGATTTCGGGCGTCGTGCTCTCGTCCATCTCGTTCATGTACGCGTACTTGGTGTACAGACGGAAGCACTTGCCGGGCCCGACACGTCCGGCACGGCCGCTTCTTTGGTTGGCCGAGGCGCGGGAACAAGGAACAACAACAAGGTTCGACATGCCGGTGGCCGGGTTGTACACGTTTTCTTTCACGTATCCCGGGTCGATGACATAAACAATGCCGTCAATAGTCAAACTTGTCTCGGCGATGTTTGTAGCCAGCACGACCTTGCGTGCATTTTCTGGCGTGGGCTCGAAGATCTTGGCCTGCAGTTCAGACGGCAGGTTTGCATAGATGGGACACACAACGAGCTCTCGGACACGGTTTCCCAGCTTTCGAGAGATCTCGGAGATTTGCTGTTCAGCAGCCTCAATCTCGTCCTGGCCCGTCAAGAACACAAGAATATCGCCACCTGTAGGCTGCGTAGTGTGGATCTGGAAGACGGTCGTGACGGCCGCCAGGAGGTAGTTGGCCTCCGGGGCCGGGGTATAAAAGATGTCGACAGGGTACCGACGGCCGGGCACGTTGAAGATGGGTGCGTTGTCAAAGTAAGTGGCAAACTTCTCGGCGTTCATCGTGGCCGAAGAAATAAGCAGCTTCAGGTCGGGCCGCTCGCGGGCCAGATCCTTGACAAGGGCCAGTAGGATATCAGTGTGCACCGTGCGCTCGTGGGCCTCATCGATCATGATGGCAGAGTAGCTAGAGAGGTCGGGCTCGGTCAGAAACTCGCGGAGCAGCATGCCGTCCGTCATGTATTTGAGAATTGTCTTCTCGCTCGTACAGTCTTCGAAACGAATAGCATAACCGACCTCGCTGCCGACCTTGACGCCCATTTCATCGGCAACACGTGCGGCCACACTCATGGCAGCGACACGGCGTGGCTGTGTGCATCCGACTCTCAGGCCATTCTTGGTGTAGCCGGCCTCGTGAAGATACTGCGGCAGCTGGGTCGTCTTGCCACTGCCCGTTTCGCCAACAATGACCAAAATCTGGTGCTCTTCCAGCGCTGCAAGGAACTCGTCGCGGTATTGGTAAATGGGCAGTGATTTGCGCGTCTCCTGTATGGACAGCTGACGCTTCTCGGCTGCGTCAATCTGGGCCTGCAGAAACTGCTGCTCCTTGGTCAGGGCTTTGCCGTTGACACCGGCGCCTTCGGCCGGCATCCGCGAGTCGAGCGACCATTGGATGTACTGGTCCTGGTCCAGAATGTAGTCGTACTCGCCGCCGTCGACGCGCTCGCGGCTCTGGATCTGCGCCTTGGCCTTCGTCGCCTGCTCACGCTCCCAGTCCTCGTATTCGGTTGTGTGTTTTTCACGGCCGTATGCGTCCTTCTCAACATAGCGCTTGTAGAGTGCGTCCTCCTTCCGCTGGCGGTCGATCTTGCCTTTTTCTGTGATGTAGTCCTCTGGCATAACGTAGCCATCGCGGTGGTCGTCGATACGCAGCCGCTCCTCGGCCAGCCGCAGGATCTCGCGGTTCTTCGCAAACTCGGCTGTCTCGCGTGCCGTCAGTGGAACGCCGCTGCGAAGTTCTTCGGTCTCTTCGGCCACCTGTCGCCGCAGCAGGGCCAGCCGCTCTGTTTCGCGTTTTTTGAGGTACTCTTGGCGGGCCCTTTGTCGCAGCTCAGGCATGGCTTCACTCCGCTCCTTGGCATCGTCGGCCAGGTGTTGTCGCGAGGAGCCTTGGTCGATATCCTTATCTTTTCGTGATCGACCGTCGTCGCGCGCTTTTAGTCGCTCGGCAAACGCCTCGCGCTCAGCGCGGTCACGTTGTGCTATCAGCTCCTCGCGTGTGCCCTCCGACAGGTCCGCGTCATCGATGTCAAGGTTCGCCGCATCTAACTTTGCGCTTTTCGCGTCTCTGTCCGCCTCCTTTCCCTTATCCTCGTCTTTAGCGTCGGGGTTCCGGAACGTCCGGTGGTTCATCTTGAGACGCTTCCGTGCCGATTCTCGGAAGTCGTCAGCCTCATCACCTCTTCCTACATCTTCAACCTCGTCGGACGGCGGCCCTTCCTCGTCACCCCATCGGTCATCAAAGTCTTCGTCGTCGCGATCGCGGTCGCTGCGTCGGCTCGTTTTCGATCGGCTGCTATAGGACTTCGTCGTGCTTCGTCGTGGCGATCGCGATTGCGAGGGACTGCGGTGTGAACGTCGTGACTTTTTGTCCCCCCGGTCGCGATGCCGGTCGCGATCCTTGTCACGATCTCGTCGACTTTTACGATCACGATCCGATTTTGTCGGTGCCACATCCTCCGTCTCATCGCCACCCATGTCGACAAACGCATAGCGTTTGGCAGACATTGCAGAAAACTCAGACCAGTCCAAAGCTTGTCGGATGTTGCTAGAAACCGGTCAAGGCGTGGTGAATGAGGCGTGCCGGCAAAGGACGCCGCTCGATCATTCTGCGCTGTCTTCGATGTCATTCGTTCTGCCTACAATGTTTTAGATAGGCGCTGCAGCTCTAGCGCGAGGCTTATCGATTACGCAAAATCATTCTGCCGGTCCCACAAATACAGCTCGAGTGGGTCCTCTCAGCGCATAAACGCGCCTGCCGATAAGGTGAGACCCCTGGCGATTAATTGCGACTGATAACACTTTGGCTTTTGGCGATTAGGAATAGGTGGCTACTAGAACTGCAGCGCTGTATTCTCGCCCGCGTGCCTGCTGTTCGACTCTTCCACAACCTCAACCTCACATGCTCCGTGATCCTCGGGCAGATCTTTTTGTCGCATTTTTGTCGAATCTTCTTCGTGTCTCTCCTTAATTTTTATTTTCTCTCATTTTATTGTCCCTGCCATTGGGTCGGTTTGTTGCATTGCCCCTTTCAGTCTGCGCCCGTCCCTTCTCGACTCTTTGAACGGACGTTTACTTCCTTTGCGATATCTGACCTGACGACACGCCTCTACCCGCTCTTCGCCATGAGATTACTAGGAAATGCAGTGCTTCTGGTGCTGCTCTCATTATTACACATTGTGTTGGGAGCCGAAGACTTCTACAAGGTCCTTGGAATAAAACGCGACGCCGGTGATCGCGAGATCAAGTCTGCCTATCGCCAGCTGTCAAAGAAGTACCATCCGGACAAGAACCCGTAAGTATTCCGACGCCGGTCTTCCGTAGACTCGGTACAGCCAGATGTAGCTGACGTAGATCTACAGTGGCGATGAAACCGCAAAAGACAAGTTTGTCGAAGTCTCCGAAGCATACGAAGCCCTCTCCGACCCCAACACCCGCAAGATCTACGACCAACATGGCCACGAGGGCTTGAAGCGCCATCAGCAGCAGGGCGGCGGTGGTGGCCACCATGACCCCTTTGACGTCTTCAGCCGGTTCTTTGGCGGCGGCGGCCACTTTGGCCAGGCGAGCGACCGCCGTGGTCCCAACCTCGAGCTTAAGGTGCAGATCTCCCTCCGCGATTTTTACAACGGCCAGACCGTCGAGTTCCACTGGGACAAGCAGGAGATTTGTGAACACTGTGATGGTACGGGCGCCGCCGATAAGGTGGTGGACACGTGCGACAAGTGCCAAGGGCGCGGTGTGGTCATCCAGAAGCACCAGCTGGCACCGGGGATGTTCCAGCAGGTGCAGATGCACTGCGATCGCTGCGGCGGCCGTGGCAAGTCTGTCAAGCATGTGTGCCCCGTGTGCCAGGGCCAGCGCGTTGTGCGCCGGCCGACGCCCGTCTCGGTGACCATACAGCGCGGCGTCGCCAAGGACACGCGCATTGTCTACGAGAACGAGGCGGACGCCAGTCCCGACTACGTGGCCGGCGACTTGATAGTATCACTGGGTGAGAAGGAGCCGACGGCCGAGGACAACCCAGACCATGTTGACGGCGCTCACTTCCGCCGTCGCGGCAACGATCTGTTCTGGAAGGAGGTCATCTCGCTGCGGGAGGCGTGGATGGGCGACTGGACGCGCAACCTGACGCACCTTGACGGTCACGTTGTCGAGCTGAAGCGCACTCGTGGCCAAGTCGTGCAGCCGGGCCATGTCGACACCATAACCGGCGAGGGTATGCCCGTGTGGCACGAGGATGGCGACAGCGTCTACCACAAGACCGAGTTTGGCAATCTCTACGTTGAGTACGCTGTTGTGCTGCCTGACCAAATGGAGTCGGGTATGGAGAAGGAGTTCTGGAGTTTGTGGCAGAAGTGGCGGGGTAAGATTGGCGTCGACCTACACAAAGACAGTGGGCGGCCAGATCGACCAGTGGCGGCCGAGGGTGACCATCTTCATGAGGAGTTATAGACGGGTTCGTTATGGGGTGTACGGTTTGATAGATGGTGTAGACGGTTTCCATCCACGATATGAGTATAAGTGATAGTGAACGATCGATAGAAAATTAGGAATATAATAATATGAACTCGTTCTCAATATTATGAAAATATATTTTAAGTATAATTAGGTTGTTGTTATTATATTTTATGCTATTTCTTAATAAAAGTTGAAATAATTGGCACCATTTTTGTAAATAAATAAAATTAGATAAAATTAGATAAAATTAGATAAAAACCCCAAAGAAGGAAGTCGTTTCTAAATAGTTACACTATTTAAGTCTTCCTCGTTGTTTCCAGTTCAACGGTATAGTAAAAAGATTTGTAAATATAGATCTGTATTACAGTGGACACAAATCGATTTCTATTAATATATACTTATTGTCGCTTTTGGTTAACAATGCTAACGTGTTCTCGGCCGCCGTATCGTTTCACTCATACTTTTAATAATCAATACCACACTGTATCTAAGAATTCCACAAAGGCGGCCAAATATCCTTTTTGTTGCCTTCGATCCATTTACGCCTGTACCTCGGTCTCTGTCCACTCCGCAATCTTGGCACCGCCCACCAGTCGGCCACCCGTCTTGCGCTTCACACGGCACCGCAGCCCGACAGTGTCGTCCCAGATGAAACGCCAAATCACGTACGTCCAGCTGACATGGTGAGGCAGGTTGTCGTAGAAGTCGGGCGCCATGGCCCGCAGCCGCTCCAGCCGCGTCCATGGCACCGCGGGGAAGTCGTGATGCTCATTGTGATAGCCGACATTGTACGCGAAAATGTTCAAAGGCCCGTAGTAGCTGTAGGTCTCAGGGATGGGGATCCCGTTGGACGGGTCACTGGCTTCCGGCGTGACGGTGTCGTAGACATAGTGCTCGGCAATGAAGTGGCCGGCCAGCGGGTGCAGCGACCCGGCGAGGAACGACGACAGAAGGAGGTAGAGGAGCGGCTGCATGCCAAAGGACTTGACAAGGACGTAGTCAAAGATGGCCTGAGCTGCGACGTTCAGAGCGTGGATTTTAGTGAAGGGAATGCGCATGACCGCCATAGGACGAAGGGCATAGAAGAAGATTTGGAAGGTGCAGAAAAAGGCCTTGCCAAGGATCGAGTCGAGAACGAAAGCCTCAGCAGCGGTCGGCAAGTCCGTGTCGAGGCCGTCAACGCCGAGCGACTTGTGGTGCGTCAGGTGGTAGGGGCGGAAGGACGCGCTGTAGGGGATGCCGATCGGGAGGTTGGCCACGATCGCGAGTAGGCGGTTGGCCAATGGCGAGCGGAAAGCAAGGTTGTGAGAGATCTCGTGGATGGCCAGGAACAGGTTCTGGTTGGCCGTTGCACCAAAGACGTACGCAACGGCCCAGAACGGCCATGAGAAGAAGCCGTAGCCCGCTTTGGCAAGGGCAATACCAAGACCAACCTGCAAGGACACCACACCAACAACAAGGTATTTGGTCAGAGGCTCGGGACCGCACAACTTGGTGACCTCTGGATGTGCCTTGATGATGGCGAGTCGCCGTGAGCGGTGCGGCTCTTCGGTGTATGTCCAGAAAAAGTCGCGATATTTCGCTTGCGCTTCAATCGTGTTGGTAGGAGCGGAGGCATCGTTGGACTCGCCATTGGCCGTGCCATTTGACTCTGTATCTCTCGGCACAGCAGCGGCCTTGACTCTTGCCGTTACGCCGTTGCTGTTAGCTTGTAGCGAGGACGCCGTCGCCGGAGAAGCGGTTAATGCCATCTTGGATATTCTGAAAAGGGGTCCCAAATGAGGCCTCGGGGATCGATTGGAGAGCTGATAGGTGGTCGTCAGGTCAACATTCGAGAGCGGATTGATTGGTAGGAGAAGCAAGATAGAAAGGAATGGTCACTCCCAGGACGTAGCCTGAAGAAGGGCTGAAGAAGGGTCGGGAGCCGAAACGATCGTGCAGAGAGGTGTTGAAAGGAAACGGTCCAAAAATAGGGACAACACTATGTCGTACAATCAAGATAAGATCAAATCCAGGCACAACAGGAACAGGGCACAAGCAATGCGCTGTTTGGGTGCCTTTTGGCCCCGTTTTAGTGGTTCAACATGGCGTGGCTTAGCAACCAACCCCACTCTTGTCCCCTAAACGTATTCCGCCACCTAAACCTCAGGGAAGTGCTGTTCGGTCGCCGTTGGCTGTTCGTTGACCCGCGTGGTGCGCAACTAAGGAATAGGCAACATATGTAGAGGAACATCTATGTGGCAGCTTAAGCGTAACAAGAAGTAGGTATTTAGTACATATGAGTATTTCGTACATACAACCTCTATTGAGGTATTGTTACATTTCTCTGAAAAACATCATCCTTTCCACACGTCTTCCTCGCGGACGTCGGTTGCCATTGATCTGTGCCACAGTACTGGCATTTCAATATCTCCTGTTCTTTCACTCGTTACAATCGTCGTCGCCATCGTCCACCGCAATGAAGGACGGGATGCAAGGGCAGATTTCTTGGGTAGCCATGGCCTTTACCAACCGCCGCCGCCGCCACCACTCTGGCCGACATCTGCGGTCGAGCCAAAGTCATTCCCGCCGCCGAAGCCGTTATCGAAACCGCCATTCCCGCCGTTGTTGATCCCCGGGCACTTGGACTGGAAGTGACCCATTTCGTTGCAGTTGGAGCAGCGAACACGTTCCACTGTGTTACAGTGTTCGCTGTTAGTATCGCAAGGGCAAACCAGACTTTCAAAACAAAAAAGGGACAGGTTGACATACTGTTGCGAGGATGGGGGCAGTCCTTGGACATATGGCCATACTCGTCGCAGTTGCGGCACTGCATCTTCTCCATGTTGAGGGGCTCCGGACAATCGCGAGACGTATGACCCTCCTGGTCACAGTTGCGGCACATAATCTTGCGTGGTTCCGTACAGTCGCGGGCCATGTGGCCTTCTTGACCACAGTTGCGGCAGCCGCCACCACCGCCGCCCCGGGTGCAATCACGCGAGAAGTGGCCGGCTTGACCTTTGTTAGCTGTCGGCTCGAAATGAAATACATCCAACACCCAAGGGAAGTGTGATCGCATACTTTCGCTACATTTGCGGCACTCCACGCCCTCGGCGGAACGGGGCTCGGTGCCTGCGGTAAGAGTGAGAAAACAGAAGTTAGTTTCGCTGATGATGCTCGCGATGGAAGAGACGAGACCGATTGGCTGGAAACTTACACTCCTTGGAGGTGTGGCCGCTTTGGCCACAATTACGGCAAGCAAACTTGTCGACACGAGGAGCCTTGCCTAGATGTGTGTTAGTGCTGCTTTGGGTGAATCGTCGACGTGGTTGTGAAGAAGGAAGGCGGCTTTGCTTACAATCACGCAGACGATGACCCTCGCTGCCACAGTTCTGACAAGCAACAGAGGCGTGCTCGGTGTTTTCCATGCGCTCATTGGGACAGCCGCGCGAAGTATGGCCGAGCTCGCGGCAGTTCATGCACAGCGGGATGCCACGGGCAACGGGTTCACCACCATTGACCAAGCGGGCCAAGTTCTCCTCAGCATTGGCAGGCCAGATAGACTTCTCACGGGGGCGCGAAGGCTTGTCCTGGAAGCGGAACGTGACGGTGTACTTGCGATCAAGGTTGCCCTGAAGATCCATGTTCGTGAGGGTGACTGACAGGTCACTGCGCTCAACACCAATCAGGTAGACGCCAATGTTCTCGTTGCGAAACATCTGTTCCATCTCAACGTACGTCACATCGGGACAGGCCTTGACGTACATCAGGAAGGCTGCCTTGACATCATCGAGGTCCTTTTCGGTCGCAGCCGCGCGGATCATTTCAAGGGCCTTATCGGGGGCCTCTTCGGGAACGTCGTCGCGGATGATTTTGCGAGGAGACTTGCAGTCCTTTGTTTCGTGGCCTGGTGGATGTACAAGTTGATCAGCAGACGCGTTACTGAGTGGACAGGACAACATGCACGTATTTTGGAATAGGCTTACCCTCCTCCTGGCAGTTGTTGCAGACACGGGGCGGAGCAGATGGGCAGTCTTTGGCCAAATGGCCTTCCTCGCTGCAAACGCGGCAAATCATGGGCATGGAGCATTCGGACACATGGTGGCCCTCACCGCAGCGAGGACAGACCATGGGCATGCTGCACTCACGAGCCATGTGGCCCGCCTTCTTGCAGCGGCGGCAGACCATGGGGCCGGCATCAGGGCAGTCCTTAGACATATGGCCCTCTTTTCCGCAACTATTACACTCGCCAGAGAACTGGCGGGGAACAGGGCAGTCCACCTTGTTGTGGCCCGGCTGACCGCAGTTGAAGCAGGCACGGTCACCACCGCCGCTGTCACCGAAGTCGCCTCCACCGAATCCAGTATCACCACCGTAGTTTCTGGCATCGTTGCTGAAGCCGTCAAATCCACCACCGCCGCCGTAGCCTTCAGTGGCAGGGCCGCCGTCGGGAGCGTTGTTCCACGACATTGTATGGATTCTGCTGCTTGATGGACGTCAGTACATTTGTCAATATGTATTGCAACTTGCAAAATCAGTGAAAGAGAAAACAAAAAGCAAACAAGAAGATATGGAACGACCAAACGGCGAAATACCCTTTCTAGGTGGCGTGTAGTTTGTGCAAATCTGTTCAGCAAAGCACAAGACGCTATCCGGAAACCCTATTGAGATGCAAATTGAAGAAGAGTTTGGAAGGAAAAGATTCTCAAAACGCGAGAAGACAAGTTACCAGCATATTTTTACGCCGAATTATACAAAACGGAAGGCACCAACGAGAGTTTTGCGTATACTGCACAGGAAGGGAAGGAGCCCGCCGGTCGTGACTGCCTCTGCTGAATGCTATGGACAAACATCCAAATCAGGAAGGAAGGGTTCGTAGACATTGACGGATGGTGCAATGAGAACAGGGCGGAACATCATCTACAGATTCAGGGCACCTAATTGGAAATACCATTCTATTGACAACGATTCTAGTTGTGCGTTCCTGACGGAGAAAATGTTTTTGATAGTGCGCGTCTCTGTTCACGGGTTGGGTTGCACGCTGTTTGTTGTTACTTCCGTATTAGGCAGCCCATCCGCTGTAAGAGACCATTTGCGCTCGTCGTGATCCGTTTCACCACGTGCTGTCCTTTTCCCTACTCTCTTGTTTTTCGCCGGAAGTGGCTGCCGAGAGATTCGAAACCTCAATGGCCCGCTTTTTCCGTCCCTCTCCATTTGATCCTCTCCCTGCCTGTTTTTGCTGCTCTTCTTGTACTTTGTGCCGCTTGATATTAACCAGTTGGTTCCCATTGCTTCTGATCTCTCGCCCCCGCTTCACTCCCACGGATCGCTCTTTCCTCATGTCCCCACCTTTTGCTTTTCGCTCGTTACTTTGGCCACTTTTCTTGTTTGATTTGTGAGCAAGAGGACCAACAACGCCAGTACGGCCCCGGCCCCGGCACTATTTTGGCGGGACGGCCTTCCCAAACTGAACCAAAGCACCCAGGCAAGGCGGCCATGGCCATGGAGTTTGGAGATAGTGAACGGAACACGGCAAGGCGAAATCCCATAAAGCCTGCTTCTGCCCCTCATTGAAGAGCTTGGACAACCCCCGCAACTTTAAACGCACGATTTCCATCACCTTCATACGTACATTCGTACAACGTACACTCATCTGTTCAATCGAGTCACTTAATTTTCAGTTACCTATCTCTCCAACCAAAGGCTTACAAAATGGCTACCAAACCCGAGGGCCTTCCAGAGATGGAGTACCGCTTTCTGGGCCGGTCCGGCCTCAAGGTCTCGGCCATTTCGCTGGGCGGCTGGCTGACTTACGGTGGCCACGTGGACAAAGGTGTGCTATTGCTGACATTTTAGGAGATGTGGCGGTTTCTGTGACAGGCGCGGGGGTAGAGGTGCATGCTGTCTGGTATGATTTCTTGCTGACTCTCTCTCTTTGTAGAGGGCACTTTTGCGTGCATGAAGGCCGCTTACGATTGTGGTGTCAACTTTTTTGACAGTGCTGAGGTAAGATTCGCTTTCCTTAAGATTTTTGTCCCTTGGTATACGCATCTAACAGTCATCAGGCCTACTCTGAGGGCGAGTCCGAGGTGGTGATGGGCGAAGCCATTCGCAAGTTCGGCTGGAAGCGTAACGACCTGGTCATTTCCACAAAGATCTACTGGGGAGGTGCCTTCGGCAGCAACCGTACCAATAACGTCGGCCTCTCGCGCAAGCACATCATTGAAGGCATAAATCAATCGCTGGAGCGCCTTCAGCTGGACTACGTTGACCTCGTCTATGCCCACCGACCCGACCGTCAGACGCCGATGGAGGAAACCGTCCGTGCTTTTAACCACCTGATCGACACCGGCAAGGTCTTGTACTGGGGCACGTCCGAATGGAACGCCGATGAGATTGCGCAGGCCTGGCGGTACGCCGACAAGCTGGGCCTTGTCGGTCCACTGATGGAACAGCCAGCATACAATATTATTGACCGCACCAAGGTCGAGCAAGAGTTTGCGCATCTATACCGCGAAACGGGCCTGGGCCTGACTGTCTTCTCGCCCATGAAGCAGGGTATCCTGTCGGGCAAATACAAGAACGGCATTCCGGACGACTCGCGCTTTGCCAACGAGAAGATCGACTTTGTCAAGGGCTACTGGAAGCGCACAGGCAAGGAGCAGTGGGATGCCATTATCGCCAACGTCAACAAACTGGAGCCCATTGCTGAACGGCTCGAGACCAAGACGAGCATCCTGGCCCTCGCCTGGGTGCTAGCAAACCTCAACGTGAGCTCGGCGATTACGGGCGCGAGTGGTCCTGCACAGGTTTACGAGAACGTGAAGGCGGTGGCTGTGTACAAGAAACTTACGCCGGAAATTTTGGAGGAGATTGACAACATCTTCAACAACAAGCCCCCTGCAGTCACTGCTCGCTTCTAGACTTATCGATACCGGCCAGATGTACCAAAAGAATGAATACAGTCATATTTGAAAGGACAGACTATAGTTTGTAGTACATAAAAGCGAGACAGAAAAACATCCAAAAAAAAAAGGGAAAATGAAACGAGAGCAACAATAGGTTCTGTGACTTGACACAAAACTAAATCGATGTAGCAGTGCACAAGAAGAAATGTGCATTTATGAAAGAGAGTGGACAAAAAGGAATACAAAGCTGAAAACATAGCAGGAACGAGAACAAAAGGATAGCGAAATATCAAAAGCATATCTGTGCATTCGGGATGTGGGTACAGTTTCGTGCGTCGTCGGGTGTCATAGGATGTCGTCTTGAGGCACGCTAGGATCGTGGACGCCGATTCGCAATTTCGTCCACTCGCACTTACTTTGTCAAGACACCAACAACGTGAGGGACTGATTGGAACCACAATTCGCCGGAAAGTGGCGACAAATCGACATTCGTCCAAGGACCAGCGTCGCGCAAGTAGCGGCCGGTATCGCGCTGGAGCTCGCAGCCGCCAACCATAATCGGCCAGAACAGGTTGATCCATTTCTGGTACAGGTAGATGGACCAGTGCTTGCGGTTGCAGACGTGCTCAAAGACGTACATGCGGCCGCCAGGCTTGAGGTAGTCGTACAGGGCGCGGATGTTTTCCCGTGGCGACGGAATGCCGCAAAGGCACAAAATTGTGACGACGCAATCGACGCTGTTGGTCGTGATGGCGTCCGAGATGGCGGCGACATCCTGGATCCCGACAGGCACAATCTCATAGACATCCTCCAAGCCGGCGTCATGTACGCGCTGGCGCAGCGCATCATGCACGCCCGCATTCGGCTCGACACCGTAAATCTTTGTGACGCCCCCCGATGTGCTCACCGTAGCGGATGTGGATGCAATGCCCTTCCTCTGGCGAACAGCGCCTTCGGCAGTCGCCTGGGTGGTGATGCCAATCTCCTTGAAGACTGAAACCCACATGCCAGAGCCGGGGCCGACCTCAATGACGGTCCCGCTCACAGGCAGAGGCGCGGTGGATATCTCCTCGCCGTCGTTGAGCTTGCGACCGTGGCTGAAGCGCCCCTTGAGGAGGGGAACGACAATAGGCTCGACACCCTTCCGCACTTGCGGTCCCATGTAGCCCCAGAAGCGACCAAACCAGGCCGACTGGAATTTGCTCCAGTTGAAAAGGGTTGACCAATTACCCGATCGAACGAGGCCCACGATGGTGACGGGCAGGTAGTACGCGGAGTCAGCTAGCATGAGCCATGGCCCAACGATACGCTGTATCACCTCGAGGAGACTCATGGTGGAGAAAAGAACGAAAGTCAAGATGGGTACGGAATTGGTATTGAAGAATATGTGTAGGGAAACGAGGCAGCTTGGGAATATATGGAAGGAGGGGGATAATCCTTTCGTGACGAGATCAAATGGAGGGGGAAGGTAAGAGGGTAACCAAATGCAAGAAAAAAGAATAAAAAGGAAGGAAGGAATGGAAGCCTCGATTTGAATAAATCGAGAAAATATAAAGGGGGAAACAAACACGAGGAAAATCAAAAGCAGTCGCTGATTGGGTCTGTGGAATACGGTATATTATGTATGCTACAGCACACCAAAAGCTTACCCCAGCGCACGAAGAACAGCCCTGGCAGCGAGACATGGCGCGAGCATGGTAACCAATCGTAGCCTTCTGTTAGGGGAAGGAGCGAGACGCAGTATCTGACTTAACATACTACAAGAGCGAGACTGCATATATGATTACGAATAGGGACATACCCTACCAGAGAGGGGGCAGGCAAGCAAATGCTGCAGCGGACGTATGATACCTTATTCAAAGAAGGGGACCGTCTTTAGGGCACGCTGTTCACGGCATTCCATTATATTTTTCAAATTGTCACATTTAATTACTGTCTCTAGCTTCAATAATTTGGACGTTTCACCGACCTATGGCTCTTTCCCTATCTATTATTGCGCGGCGCATTGCACTTCTTTTTGCTCTGTCAGTAAGACGCGCCGCAACGAAGCTCCAGCTGCGTGCATTCAGTCGCTCTTTCCTGTCTCCGCACAAATTAGTTAAAAATTATGAGGGGCATAGCAGCTTATCTCTTATCAGAAACCGCTTTATCGGACACGATAAGAATTGGACTACGTGACTAAGCATGGCCCTTTCGAATACGGCGTAGTAAGCTACGTGGGCTTTTACAATGCCTGTAGGTCGTATTATAGTGTGTTTGGGGTCGCGACACACTGTCTGGCAGCCCCGCCAAAACGGAGCATTTTGACTCATTTTTGAAGTTTCGAGCATCCGTACGGAACAACACAAACAGGACGACAGAACATCCACAACGACAATCCAAAGGACAAACTCGACACACAAGCTACATATCGAAAAACTGACTAAGTGGGCGTTTCGCAGTCCTTGCAATGGCGCCCACACAACATGGTTACGCGCCAACCCTCGACTCCTTCCTCCATGCCAAGCTGCACCTTGAGGCGGCCATTGAACAGGCGTGCAGTCTCCTAAAGCGTCGCCAGATCCGCGGACCCGAGTCGTGCGCGCTGGTGACGGCACATGTGATGTCGCTTGTGGTGTCCAAGGCCAAGTGGGCCAACATCAACCAGCTGTTGGATCGTGTGTGCCAGGCGGGACGCAAGCTAGTGGACGCACAACCGCAGGAGCTGGTCATTGGCAACATTGTACGGCGGGTACTGGGTCTGATTCACGACGAGGTTGAGGCAGATCGGACCGAGAATGGCGAGGATCCGAGCGTAGCCGGCAGCATGTCCGGTAGCATATCCGACCTGCGGGCCGACTCAGTACAGCCCGGGCAGGTACCGAGCCTAGTTGCATCGCCTTCCTACACAGCACTTGCGCGCACGACACGGCAACCATCCTTGATTGTGACAGGTCCGTACCAGTCCATGTTCAACCTGTTGTCGGCTGTGGAGCCAGCGTCTGTTACGGCCAGCGGCGAGGTGAGCTCGGCAGGATCGGGGGCTTCGACACCCGTGCCGGGAGGTCCTACACATGGGGGAAAGGGAGAAAGCAGTCGCACAGCCGCGCTGCGCGACGAGATTCTGGATGGTATTGAAGAGATCAAGGACGAGATCGGCCAGGCAGACGACCAGATTGCCGGTTTTGCCGAGGGCCAGATCCGGCCAGGCGACACGGTGATGGTTTATGCTGAGCCTTCGCGGACTATCGAAAAGTTTTTGATAAAGGCGGCTGCGCGGCGGCGGTATACCCTGTACTTGGTGGGCGCCACCGCGCCACCGACGCCTAGCACCAGCTCCCTGTACAAGCGACTCGGCGCGGCCAAATGCCCGATTGTCCACCTCAGCAGCACAGCTGTCTCGGCGTACATGTCCCGTGCCAACCGCGTTGTAATCGATGCACGAGCAATTGCCGCTAACGGTGGCATCTTGGCGGGCGCAGGCAGTCTACGTCTTGCACGGGCTGCACGGGCGCAGCGCCGTACGGTGCTGGTGGTGGGCGGCGTGTACAAGCTGTCGCCGGAGTCGCTGACGAACCCGGATGCCTTTGTCGAGTGGGGTGAGCCTGGCCAGCTCGCACGATTTGCTGACGGCAGCCTTGTGGGCGATGGTGGGCTTGCGATCGAGACGGCGGTAACCGAGTTCTTGCCGGCGAACCTGATTGACATCTACGTGACCAACCTGTGAGTGGCCGATGCATCTTTGTCTTTTGTTGTCTTCCTTGTTGATACGTGTTGCTAATAAACCAGTGGCCCGCATACAAAAGACTACCTCGAGAGCGTGATCGCTGATCACTACAAGAGCGAGGAGCTGGAGCTGTACAAACAATGAGCCAATGCAGTGATAAAAAGACCGGTGTTTATTGTTAGCCCATTAGTCTCGGTTTGATATTTAGCGAGAGGATACAGATAAGGACAAGGAAAATAAACAAGAGAGGCAGAATCCAAGCCTCCAAATACATCAAGCGTTGCGAAAAAGTACGACATCCTCCGTAATGCAGATCCAAAATGGGAAGTCAAATCCCATATCTACGGTCCACGTCATAGGCGGTCAGCCCTGTGGCAGGCAGCGCGATTGCAGCCAATAATACCAGCCATCTTGGACAATCAGGCACGGAGGAGCCGCACATGAGGCCTCATCCAAATTACCCAACGTTGGGAAATCATTTTCACACTGGCAGCTGCCCGTTGCCCTTTGGAAGGGAACTGCAGAATATGACAGGTTGGTGAAAGGTTTCTAAACACTTCCACAACATCGACGAATGCCGCGTCACTTTAGGCAACCTCCAAACGGCCTTTCAGGGCATTGAGGGGTAGGTCTGTCCGCTAGTTTAGGGCTAGCTCCCTCCATGCTGGCGCACTTTCCTGATGCGACAATACGAAACTGGGAAGGGTGCCAGGTCCGAAAGAGGAAAGAATTGAAAGAAGGCAACCGTAAAACAGGAAGGAATGTTGACCCGAGCCTGTCGTCGATTTAGAGTCGACACAGTGGGAGGCGCCAGAAAGGCCAAGAACACGAGCAATATGGTCCGTCGCAGCTTGCCCTGTCGTCCTGATGAAAGCCAGCTCCTCAACCACCTTACGCTCAACGCTTGTGCATCAGGCCTGCTCTTACCATGCTAGCTGTCGTCGTCGTCTCCCTAATGCCAACCTCGATCTGGTGATATATACGTCCTACCACCCCGCGTCATCTTCTTCCTCGTGATCCTACGATCACTCTTCCTCGTTTCTCCCTTCTATTTTGTCTAGTTCTTGCATACATTAGCTTTACTTTACTTGGTTGTTATTATGTTGATGGATTCGTAATACCGTCGAGCATAGCATATACACAACTTCAACCATCAGTACGTCTCGCCTCCGAGGCCACAGCAGATATGGCCTCACACGAAGACGCGCCGCCTCCACCATATTCGGAGACGGACATTTACTCCCAGACTGCGGACAGCCACTCAACCGCTAGAAGTTCTACCGCAGCGCCGTCCACGACGACATCGTCTCCTGATGACGAGCTGATCGTCTACACACCGCCTGTATCACCTCCACCCTCCATTACGACACGCGAACTTCAACAACCGAACACGGTCGCGGTTGATGCCAGCGCCAGCCCTGGCGGCGGACTTGAGTTGGGTCCTGATATTGCCACATCGGCTGCATCGGCCGCTGCCTACTTTGCCACACGGCCGGCTCCACCACCTTCGCCTGGAACTGATTCGTTTGATGATACCCATGCCGAACGCCAGTACATTGTCTACGATCTGCCACTGGCCATTGCAGCAAATACATCACCAACCGACCTTCCCTTCCCCGCTATCCAGCTTCTGCAGCGCGATGTGCGCGCCGACGACTGGTCGACGTTTGTGAGCTATCTGCTGCCGCATAGCCACCTGTCTGGGAAAGTCACAGAGGCCCACAACAATGCTGTGATTGACCGTAAGCTGCGCGCTGAAGAAGATGGCAACTCGCCGTCGACGGCCCATCTGGAATGGCTGCGGACACAGCGTGACAGCGCAACGGAAGGCATCCAGCTCATCGACACGGAAGCAAACGATCAACCGCATTCAACCTCGACAAGTCCGTCCGTGTCTTCAGCCCTCTCCCGCCAGCAGCAGCTCGAGGTCGCCGCGTCGTTGCGGCAGTGGAACGATGGATTCTTTGGTCCCCGTGGTGTCATCGTGCGCCTACGTGACGACCTGAGCGGTGCCCGCCACGACCATCAGATCCCAGCACAGCCATGGGCTCCGTCGCCGGTGGACACGGCCGCCGCTGCATCCTTGGCTGCCAGTGACTCGTCTCGGCCAAACACTATGAGGACGCCAATCACTCCCTCGGCAGCTTCACAAGTACCAGCAGATGGCCCCCGCCCAGGCGCACTCTCATTTGCTGGCATGACGGTGGATGGGGACCGTGTTGTCTTTGGTAACAACCGGTTTGTGGCCGACCGCACGGGCCTGCGGATTGGCGGTCTTGTGTTTGACGAGCGCGGCATCAGCTACGGCAACCGCACCATTATCCCAGCGGCACCTCCGCCGCCGCCACCACCACCGGGTATCCATGTTGGTCTTGGTGTCCCAGGCTCTCGTGGTATGTCTGTTGATGCAAAGTACGGTGGTGTAGCAGCGGCAAATGTCGTCCCTCCACCCGGCCGTCGATTATCGATCTCGTCAACGACGTCGTCCTCCTCCTCCTCCTCCTCGTCCGAGTCTTCCCAGTCAAGCTCGTCGTCCGACTCAGGCTCTTCTTCGAGTGAGTCCGCCGCCTCGGTCGGCTCTCTGCCGCCTTACAACAAGCTCGACGACCGCCAATTGCCTGCAGCTCACGCCTACCTACAGCAGTGGCTCAATCACCCAGACCAGCCGATTACCCGTGATGACGTAAAGGCGGCTAACGAAGGCATCCGGTCCGTCGACGAACGGGGAGCACCACCCGCCTACCCCGGCCCCTCAATGCCGGGTCTAGCGTCTGGGCCGGTGCGAGCTGTCAGTAAACCGGCCGAGGCAGCTGCACTCCGTGTCGAAGTCAAGAACATGATGAAACAATGGAAAGAGCTGAAGCGTCGCCAAAAGCATGTGTACCGCCAACAGCGCCGGGCCCGCAAGCATATGCGGAGACAGCGCAAGCATGAGCGGCGCCAGGCGAAGCGCCAGGGCAGACAGGAGCGTCGACAGTTGCGGCGGCTGCATAAGCAGGAGCGGCGAAAGGAGAAGCAGATACGCAAAGAGGGTCGACGGCAGGATCGCCGGAGCGGCAACGGTCCAGTGCCTGTGACAACGATCCCAGCTGTCGGCGGCGGATATGGGACGCAAACAACCGGCTCCGCAGAACATGCTCCTCACAGCCACCATGGCGGCCATAACCACCATGGCCGCCATAGCCACAATGGCCGCCGTGGCCGTCACCACCAGCCGCACCACCATACGCACGACCCGCATGGTCACCGCTACGACCGACACTACGATGCGCATGGAGACAACGAGCCATACTATGCTGCCGGCACACAGATCCCGGGCGTATATAATAGTCACAGCGTTCCAGGTGTCCCTGGAATACCATTCCAGCGAGGCCCTCCTGGCCCCAACCCTGCCCGCATTGCACAGCAAATTGGTGACGCTATGGCAGCTCGCTTTGGCAATCGAGGTGCTGGTCTCGGTGGCGGTCTTGGTGGGGCTGTCGCGCCTTTACTAGGCAACGTGTTTGGCCGTGGTGGAGGCGGGTTTGGTCGTGGTGGAGGCGGGTTTGGTCGTGGCGGTGGCGGTGGATGGGGCGGCCCGGGTGCTGGCCGTGGTGGTGGCAGCAGTTTCGGCGGATTTGGCCGGAGCCGTGGTTTCGGTTGGAGTGCAGAACCTGAAGCAGAGCCCGAAGCCCCAGCAGCAAGCCCCAGTGCTGGTGGCCCGCCAGCACCACGGTATTCGGACAACGCCTCGCCCGCGACTGTGTCCACGGCCGCGCAAAAGTATCGTGCGGCCGAGGAGGCCGAGCAGACCATGGCAGAGAAACAGGCGGAGCTTGCCGAGATGCAACAGAGTCTGCAACGGATGATCAATGCACGGGGCGAGCGTGGCGAGGAGGATCCCAAAGTACAGGTGCAGCGGCGCGAGACCGAGCAGCTGGCGAACGAACTGGAGATGCTGGCACAGCACGTTGAGCTGCTCCGCATCGATGCAGACCAGACGTATGCCCGCGAACTAGAAAAGAAGGAGAGGCATTAGCATAGTAGGACCGATTTCATTTCCGTTTTGGATATTCTCAACCATGTAAATGCAATTTCGTCGTTCCACAAAGTTAAACCAAGTCATGTTTGATATTGCTTTTGTCTAATCCTGTTCTCGTAGTACTCCGTACACTTTGAAGCAAACGCCTCGCGGCGCCCCACAATCACAAAACGCTGCGCCAATTCAATGTCGGCATCCACGTCCACATCCATGGGCTCGTCCCCTACGACGACTTGGCCTCCACGCGCTCGACCAGTTCGCCCACGCCCAGGCCGCGGCCCACCTTGACCTTGACCTTCTTGTCGGCCTGTTTTGATGCGGCTGCGTCCGCCTTGGCCGCTGCCACTGTTTCTGTCGAGCCGACGTCGCCCACGGGCTCGCCCTCGTCCTGTGCCTCCTCGTCGGTCCGGTCCTTGCCGCCCGCGATCTGCTCGCGGATGGCGCTCAGCTCGAGACGCATGCTGAAGGCGTCCTCGCCGTCTGCGTAGTACTTGGCCTCGGTCTTTTCGTTGCGGAAGCCCAGCGTGTCGCAGTACAGGTGGATGGCGGCGCGGTTGGACACGCGCACGTGCAGGCTCACATACTGCGCGCCAAAGGTCTCGACCATGGCCAGCTGGGCCTGTCGCATCAGCTTCTCGGCGATGCCCAGGCGGCGGTGCGTGCGCATGACGCTGAGCGAGGTGATGTGGCCGTGCTGGACGCCGTCGGTGGGCTCCTCCTCCATCTTGGCGAGGACGTAGCCGACGATCTTGGGATGGTCGTAGGCGCTCTTGGCAGGCCGGCTGACGTCGACGGCGACGTAGCTGAGCTGGGGCCAGGTCATGGCATGGTAAAGGTAGTATTTGAGGAAGTAATTTTCGGGCAGGTTCTCGAGGTTGGCATGCTGGATCAGGGGCAGATCCGACGCCTGCAGGAGTCGAATATCCATTGTGTGCGTATTTGTGTGTGCAGCAGAGGGAGGGGTCGATATGGAGGTGTCGTCTGTGATGGAAACCGTAGGCAGTTGTCGATGTCGGTCGTCGGTGAGATCGTGGTGGAAGTCGAAGTCGCAGAACCTAATTAGCGGCCGTCGGGGAGGATTTCGTGCGAATGGATTGATGGGGAATAGATTTGGCGGCGGTCTCCACTTTTGCCCTGTATTGTCTGCTCTCGATTTCCCTCGGTCGCCTCGCTGTAATTCCGGGCTAAGAAAGAGCGAGTCGCGCAACCTCTGGTAAGCACCAGTGACACTGGCGCGGGGTTTGGGGTTTGGGGTCGGGTGCATCCACCTGCCCAGACTGGCCTGGCCCTCATCACGATCAGGCCGACTGCGGGCGCATTTGTTAGCAGTCCCGCGTCGTGACCGGGTGACGTTGGCGGCTCGCGCTTTCCATACAAGAGCTCGTCAGTCCCTGTCCCGTCTCCTTTTTTAAACACTGTGAGAAAATTCCCCTTTGTTTAACAGTCTCTCCATTTTTTGGTGTACTTCTGCCAACTCAACACAGCCCAGAGCCTCTCGAGCTTGTAGTCTCCCATACTCTCCCAACTCTCCAATACTCCCCCCCTCTCCGGCTCCCCACACTCAAAGCAATGGCGGCCTACCAACCACCATTGGCTGGCAAGCTGGCCATCATTACTGGTGCATCACGAGGTGAGAATGCGATCATGCCTTTGAAACCCCTCCCCCTTATTTGATGATCACGGACTTCTAGCATTCATGCACCGAAACTGACACTTCACCCTTCACGCAGGCATCGGTGAGGCTATTGCCCGCAACCTGGCTGCCAAGGGCTGTAACCTTGTCCTCAACTACACGTCGGCGTCGTCCAAGGTCCTTGCGGAGACTCTTGGTTCCGAGCTGGCCACTGCCCATGGCGTCCGAATTCTCTGTGTGCAGGCCGACGTCGGCGGCGAGCCTGGCGAGCCGGCTGCAGGCGGCGGTGCGGCGGGCATCGTCGCCCTCGCCAAGGCCTTTTTTGCTCCCGATGCGGCTGACGGAACGCCGACGCCGTTCCAGATCGACATCCTGATCAACAACGCCGGCATTGCGCGCAACGACCGCATCGAGGACGTCAAGGTCGCCGACTTTAACGAGACCTACCGCGTCAACGTGCTGGGCCCACTGCGCCTCGTGCAGGCTGCCAAGCCGTTCTTGCCCGCTGCCGGCACGCGCTCGGGACGCATCGTCAACCTGTCGTCTGTGTCATCGACGGCCGGGTTCATTGGCCAGTCTGTGTACGGCGGCTCCAAGGCGGCCCTCGAGGCAATGACGCGCACGTGGGCGCGCGAACTGTCTGAGCACGCGACGGTCAACTCCATCAACCCGGGCCCCGTGGCCGGCCCCATGTACGCATCCAACACGCAAGAGTTCCTCAACGACATCAAGGGCTGGATTGACCGCGCGCCACTCATGCGGCCGCGTGCCGGCGTGGATGCCGATGACGTTGTCGCGGCCGCGCGCGAGCCTCTTTCGGGCGGCGGCCGTCCGGCGTACCCTGCCGAAATTGCCGGCATCGTGGGCATGCTGACGCTGCCTGACTCGGCGTGGTGCACTGGCCAGGTCGTGTCTGCCAACGGCGGCATGATTATGCAGTAGACGGACGCGGGCTCTCACATAGTAATAAATCATCTATCATAGCTGGCAATTCCGTGACGACGTGGAATACAGTGCATTGACCCGGGAGAAGAAAGAACAGCAGCAGTCTTAGCGAGGGTATCAAGGATCGTGCAAAGTACTCGTAACATCACGCTGCAGAGTATTTATGCTTCACTTACAGCTCACCCGCCTCCATCATGCGTGTGAAGCGGCACACGCTCGCGTCCGGCTCCTCAAACTGGTAGCTCTCGCCGTGCACAACACGGTCGACCTCGGCCCGCAGCACCGGGTACACATCCTTCCAGGCTCTGCGGCCCATCCAGCAGTCGAGGTGGCCGTAGCCCGGAATCACGTGGCGACGGTAGTGGCCACTTGCGGTGCCAAACGTGTCGCAGAGAATCTCGTATGTCTTTTCCGTGGCCCGCGGCGACAAGACGGCATTGTCGCCGCCGACAAACTGAAAGATGGGCAGGCCGCGGAGATGCTTGTGGACATTGTCCGGCGTGGTCAGCACGTCGTACGCGGGGCCGTTGGTCATGACATGGCCCTGGCTGCCCTGCAGCATGAGCAGGCGCAGCATGGTCATGTTGATGCCGCCAAAGAAGCGGTCCATCTGGCGGTGGGTGGCCTCGTTCAGGTTGGCGTGGTTCCAGCAGCGGCCGTAGACGAGCGAGATGCGGTGGCAGACGGCGCTGTTGCAGAGCTCGCGGCGTTTGGTGGTGGGCATGAACCGCAAAGCTTGGTTGAGGAGGCGCTGGACGAGTGCGTCGTTTGGGCGGGTGCCACAATCAAACCACGAGCCGGCAACAGCGCGGTAGATGCGATCCAGCCCAAAGGGGCCCTTTGTCGCAGTCAGCGCCTTCATCATGTTCGCCGCGTTCCAGATGGGATTCATAAACACTTGAGAGCAGGCGAGGCCGAGGAGCCAGTCTGCGGGGATCGTTCCGTCCAAGAGACCCGTTGCTAACGCCACCGAGCCCATGCAGTGGGCCACAGTGTACACCTTGCGGTCGCCGTACTCGGCACGAATGCGCTCAAATGCCGCGCGAATGTCGAGCCGTGCATCGTAGGTCGTCCAGCTGTTGTCGGCCAGCGTGAGCTGCCCGATGCGCGGCACCATCACAAAGACACGGTAGCCTGCACGCGTAAAGTAGTTCACCGTGTTGAACGGAATGGTCGGCAGCGCAAAGATCTGGTGGTCTACCGAGGCGCCGGGCACAAAGAGTATGCAAGGCAAAGCATCACTGCCCCCTCTCGTCTGTCGCACGACGTACTGCGGTGGGGGATCATACATGTACAGACGGGAGTGGACACCATCCGACGCACGGATGTCGGTCCACAGGCGCGTCGGCGGTGTGTGGTTGATGTAGCCGTTGTATGTCTGTGTCGGGTACTGCAGCGCCGCAAGCGGAGCCAGGAACAGGCCCAGGGACTTGCGTGCAAAGTATGTCATGAAGCTGGCCGCACTGATTGCCTTTTGAAGCAGGCTGCTGCCCGTCGGTGTCAAGGTCAAGATCTCGGACATGAAATCTGTGGGCTTGACGTGCATGATGCCTTTGGCCAGGACTGGTTCATGCCGCCATGCCTCGTCCGACGATGCACAGGCATCCATAAGCAGTCCCCGTGATTGATGGGGTCGTTTGGTGCGCCTCGTGATGGTCACGTAGAGCGTGGTCGTGGCGCGCCACAGCTGCAGAGGCGCCAGGGCCACAGACGAGTCGACGACCTTGTATCCATGGAAGTGCAGCGTATGACCATCTGTTCCGCGCAGGTCAAAGTCGTACGTCATGTTCCGCGTGCCCGGTGCCTGGTGTTCCATGACGAACAAGCTGAAGGCACCACGCTGCACCATGAACGGCGACCCGGGGAGTGTCGGACAGACAAACGTGCCCGTCAGCATGCCCTGGTGGGCCGGATCGTGCACAACTTCGCTGGTGTCAAAGGCCTGCACGCTGAGGAAGAACCGCGCGCTCTCGCACAGACTCTCGGCTCGGCGGTAGGCCAGCTCGTACACGTCACGCCGGTCTTGTTTCATGCTGTTCTCTGCGCTGGTGTCGGTGTTGCTGCCGTCGCAGCGGTGTAAGAACCCCGACATGACCTCGGTGAATCCGAATCCGCCGGCACGAAGTCGGGCTGCGCGCGCAATAATCTTGTTTGCGTGCTGCACACTCTCGCTGTCAGTGTCGCTGTCGCTGTCGTTGTCGTTGTTCACAACCTCCCACTCATATTGCGACTTGCCGGCGTCTCCCTTTGATGCGGTATCGTCGTCCTCAACGTCAAGCTTGCTCCCAGTCTCATCCGAAATGTTACAGCTGCTGCTTTCTCGCCAACTTCTGCTGTCGTCAAGAGAGGCATCTCCGTGTCGGAAAGGATGGGCAGGTTCGCCGAATAAGTCAAGCAGCCCGTTGTCCTCAGAACAGATGGTAAGCCCCCGAGACTTGGCGTATAAATCAACCGACCGCTCGGCAAGGGCCGCAATCGTCGCAAACGGATTCACGCCGAGGGCCGTCGGGATCGCCGCTCCGTCGGTGACGATCAGGCCGGGGTGCACCTCGCTGCCGTTCCCTGCAAAGAGCCGGCCCATGTGGTCTGCGGCACCCGTCGCACCAGTATTGTCACTAGCCAGGGCAGCTCCTCTACACTGCAATTAACATTCCCAGTCAGGGTACAGAAGACAGCGGATCGGTGGGACATCACCTTACCCAACTGGATGCACAGTGACCTGTTGGTCCATCAGAGCAAAGAACGGGTTGCCCACGAGGGTGCCGCCGACTGCCTCGGTCGCTTTGGCCAGCACGCTGTTGATGTATTTGACATGGTCGCTGCGCGCCACCCCAAGAAACTCGAGCACGGGCTTGTCGTCTTTCAGCGACAACACCGCCTGGTTGCTGTCATGCGACATGACCAGGTACACCTGTGTCCGCTCGACCGCACCCTGCCGGAAGTACGGCCCCAGCAGGCGGCTTCCCAAGCGTGCCAGCATCGACTGTGAGCGCTGCAGCAGGGACTCTCCTCGCGGCGCCGTGGATCCTGGCAGCAGCTCCAGCATGGTCTGCAAGAAGCCGGCCAATGCTTGCGGAACGGCCCCCTCTTCAATGACATACCCGTCCAGCGGGTTGCCACTGCCGCCGCGGTTGTCGATGATGCCCGTGACGGTCGGCCCGACGGGGTGATAGGGCGATGGGTTGGCGCGGCCGACGGCATTTGTGAGATGCTCCGTGTTGTAGCCAAATGCCAAAATATCGCCGTTGCCGCTCATGTTCTGGCCCACGCTGTCACTCAGTCCCAGACCGCGCATGGCCTTGCTGCGCAGCAGGATTTCGGTGGTGCCGATGGCGCCCGCGCCCAGAAAGACCGCCTCACGGGCGTACACCCACAGGAGGTCGCCGCGGACGTTGGCCTTGAAGTGGCCGCGGTTGCGGCCATGCCACGCAAAGTAAATACGGTAGCCGCCGCGGCTGTCCGTCACCTGTTCAATGTAGCGAACTTCGCACTCGCAAAACATCTCGGCACCCCAGTTCCAGGCGTCGGCCAGATACGTGACGAGAGTCGTCGTCTTGGATCCGTCGTTGACGCCCGTGCAATCCTGACCTGTGAGAGAGGAAGCCGACATCTCGACGCCGCATCTGTTGGGCCCATTGCGGAATCGTGTCGTTTGCTTGGGCCGGTAGAACTTGCTGCCCATGTTGAGGTGCTCCGCTTGCTGTTTGAGAAGGCCGAGTTTGGGCAACACTGGCCAATCGTCTGGGTACGGTTCAGGCTCGAGGACTGACTCGACCTTGTCGTAGTCTAGATGATGTGAGCAGCTGCAGTACGAATAACGTGAGGTGAATGAGGTACTTGCTACTTGCATGCGTCGAGAGCTCCCTTTTCACGCAGCTCAGGTGGCCAGGCCGTCATGGCCATGGTCTTCTCGTCGGCCCGGAGAAATATGTTTGCGTTGATCAAGCTTGTTCCTCCGAGTCCTGCAATGGAGCGCAAAATAGTCAGCCAAGGCTCGACATTTCAAGACAATACTAATAATTTTGCACTCACCGTTGGCCACTACAGCGTTCTGTCCTTTGCCAAATATCAAATGGTACATGCCCGTGGGCCGGCCCGTGTCGATGCCGATGCTGTCCGTCAGGATAGACGGTTGTAGCTCTCCCGAGCAGTGCAGCTCCGAGAAGGCATCCGCGGGACTTACCGGATACTCGCCGGGCCATCGTTCCTTGCCTAGTTCCAACAGACAGACACTCTGGCCTGCACGAGCCATGCGAGCTGCTGCCACCGCACCGCCATAACCTGAGCCGATGACGACACAGTCGTATGAGCTCCTCATCAGCTCAACAGGCCGACTGATGCGAGGAAATGCATTTTTATGCCCACCACTGTCTTCATCGTGTCGTAAATGGGACGAACCATGTGCCGTAGATGCTGATGCTAATAATGGGGGCGGGTTAGCAGGTTCGGGTAACGGCAAGCCGTAGGCAGTAACGACGGTGGCCGGCGCCGTGGGGCTGAAAGTCCGCATCTTTCTGAGTTTTGTTGTCTTTCTCTTTCTGATGCTGGAGGAGCAGTTGATACAATGCCCTCTGTTGCTGTTGGCCGATGTTAGATCTCGTTTTTGTCTATCACAGGCGCGCCCTTTGTCTTTGCTTTTAAGCAGAGAGGCTGAACGGCCATGAGCATCGCCGGGGACCGTTGTAGAAGTAGACAGCGGGAAAGGAGAAGCGTCTGGTAGGCGCTTCATCAGCTTTGGGATGTTTCCGTCTTCGTCAGGGTCCTCTTCTTCTGCTTCTGTTTCTGCTGCTTCGGCTAAGACGGCATCAGCCGCTCTCGTCGTTTCTACCGTATTTGGAAGATTGTCTGACGTCTCGGGTTCTTTATCAGGCTGGCCGACAGTGCTGTTCGTGGCCGTCTTGCCGCTGCTGACGCTGGCAGTCGCAAGCCATCCCCGCCTCTCCTTCGATGTTGCTTCGAAAGAGTTAGGAATAGCACCCGACATAAACGGCCCTTGTACAAGTCCATTATGTAGAGGACCTCTGTTCTGGCCATGTCTGCCGGTATTGCAGCTGTCTATCAACACCCCCCTCGACGCAGTTTGCTGAGTTTGATTGCGCAAAATATCAAACTGAGCCTTCTTTTCGGTATCCTTGGAAGTAAGGGCGGCAGATTCCGTTTCTGCTGCCATTGTTTGTGGAGTATCCCAAAGGAAATAGAAGGAGGTAACTGGTTGAACCTTCAAATTAGACACGACAAAAACTGCATCAGAAACGGGCGGGTGGGAAAAATGTATATCTTATGATTTAGAGGGATATTTTTGGAACGAAGAAGTATTTCCATAATAATCAATGACCAAGAAGCTGACGACACAAGCAATTATCCCATTATAGAAGCAGAAGCGCAGCCGTTCTTATAGGAGAGTGACGACGATGGACAGTCGGCGATATACAGGTTGTAACGGCGACAGCGCCCCAGTGAGAATGTCCAAGAGAAGTAACATCCTATTTTCAGCTGCGTGGCGGCAGCGACCATCCTCGTTGTGTCGCCATCGAAGTTTGGTCAGGCTTCTGACGAGGATCATCACCCAGGCCTTTGCCTTTATTTGATTTTCTTGCAGGTGGCCGACCTTGGCTGGCACACATATCCGCTCATGTGTGCCACCATCAAGACGAAGATGGCGTTCAAGAGTTTGTATGTTGCACAAGTGATACAAAATATCGCTCAAGAGTGTTATCCCTGCATTGAAAGGGGGCTGAAGAGGAATATTAACAATGGGAGGTCCAAGTTGCAGCATCCAAAGGTGAGTGGATATACCCGTGGGGGCTGAGTGCGAAGATTTCTCAACTCGAAATAGCCAATGGGTAGATAAGAGACGATATCATGTCAGTCTCACAATGTCAAGCCAAATACCTCGCATGTACTCAAAACGAAATATAGACCGCAAGGCTGTTCTGCGACTTTTTAACGCTGGGCGGTTAGAGTCAAATGGGCCACAGGTTAGAGTCAATTGAGATTGAGAGTTCCGAAAGGGAGCAAGGTGTGGCTCTCGGTCGTGCTCCATTTCGATGTTGGGTCAGTAAGGTCATTCGAATTCGACAAAATACATTGTAATACTGTGGCGGACTGGGCTATCGAGGACGGAGTGTTAAAATGCTCCGGGGATAATTCGGAAATAGGAAGAAGCAAAAGTAAACAAATGGGGAAGTGCTCCGTAAGACTGGGCACCGGTAGGCTGACGCAGGGACGAGTGAGCAATACCAAAATGAAACAGCAAAACAACATTGCAACGCTTCTCCAATGGTAGTGTTTGGTATACTTTTCATCCGTGACGCAAGTCTGACGGTCAAGCCAGCCGCCTCCAATGGCTTCATGACAATGGCAGCGATATTATCTCCACACAACCTCCGAGGTCATCATCTGTGCACCCAATGTACACGTATCAAAGGGAAACTCGCGTATTAAGGTAGAAGAAGGCTGAAGAAAAGGTTCGAATCGGACAGGAGAAAAGGAAAACAACAAAGAAAGCAGTGACACTTGTGGCTGCTTTGAACTTGTCTGATATTTGTCCTTGTCGCATATCCACTCGGGCGCTAGTTTCGGGACTGTGCTGTCGGCAAATCAGCTTCTTGATCCACACGGCATCCCGTCTCGGCCGTCAGCGGTTGTCCCGCCCAGCCCTACCTAATGGCTTAACATGGCTTGGCTTGGTAACGTGTCCGATGTCCTTTGGCTCTCTTTTGAGCGCCGTACAGTGCTGCGGTTCGACGAGACCATGTCTTGTATGAGGAAGATGACTTGAGGAAGATGATTTGGTACGTGATATGCCATACACAACACAATGTAATTGGGCCGTTGTTAACTGCCTCGTATCTCGTATTCAAGTGATGTATGTCGTACTCAGTACGGAGTATCAGCCTTCATGTTCCCCACCAATTTCGCACGAATCGAAATCTGTGTCGGCTCATCAGTGTGAGAAATTGTATGGCAGCGACATAAACCACCTGCCTCACACAGTCAGGATGTAGAAGGCGTCGGTTCACTTTAATGGTCAGAGTACCACATACTTATATTGAATATACTTTGCCATTGACGTGCCAGACAAGAAAACTAGAAAATCAACTCAAGACTGTGCTGTGATACTGGAGTATGTTGTGGCACCTCGTAATAGTTCTCGTCTCAGGGATGAGTGTCGCAAAGTATTCCTACTCCTTTGGCCGTAGTGCCAGCGGGAACAAACGTCGGGACCACAACGTTGGGCCCCAGTATCCGATTTGATGGGAGCGGTGCATCGCTCTCGAACGGCATGGTAAGGCGTAGTAGTAGGAATTCCGCGTGGTACTACAACGCGTTTGAGAATCGTTTTCGAAGTTACCCATGTAAATCGTGGATTAGGATAAACTCCTCGACGATACCGCTAGATCTTTGGAATAATGCCGGCTTGGTCCTCCACTTTCACTTATGTCGTATTTTTATCTGTGATAGTACTGAAGTGCTATCTTGTTCGGAGCCGCCTGGCAGACGGAATTGCGTTTCTCCACACCGGCCGCTGTCAACAAGCGAGGTTCCAGGCCACGGACCATGCGCAGTCTTTGTATGAATGGACCAATCTAGTATTCTGCGGTACTTTGACTCTGGTAACGGTATCTGTCGCGTATCAGGGGGCCTGTTTGATATTGTTATCATCAGCATGCTGGTAAGCAAAGGGGAAATGATAAGAGGACATTGCGCGGCGTACCAGTCGCCGAAAGCCTGTTCTTGAATTCTCGGCGGCATATTGCCTTCGTCCTATGCCAGCATCACGGCTCGGCGAATCTGCAGTTGCGGCATGCGACCTACAGGTGAGCAATTGTAGGTCAGAATAGGCAATAACAAGCAATCGCGAGAGAGGGACGAAGGGAGAGGACAATGTGTAAGCTGACTACGGCTGTGGTCATCGTAATACAGAGAGAACAGGGTTGATGGAAGCCCGAGAGGCGAAGCAGACAAACAACGAGCAAGAAAAAGGGGAGGGAGAAGGGTGAACAGACGACACGCGACAATTGGAAGACTGGCGAAGAGAGAAATAGCCTAGTCGCTCCTCCCTTTGGTTGCATTTTCGTAGGGTCGTTGCACAATCGTGGCTTCCTCACGAAGCCAGGTCGGCATGTACGGAAGGAGCCATGCTCTCTACATACAAAACCTCTCATTCTAAATAAAGCCATTTCTAAATAAAGAGTAAGCCGCAACGTACAAGTTGTTTTCTAGTAAAAATCAATACATGTAGTTTTTTCACTGACCATTTTTATACCCTTTTTCTTTAAACAAAATGGGGGCTGACTATTCAATTCAAGTTTTATTCTTACGAAGCACGAGCAGCTTTCAATTTTGCATCATCCCTTATGTCCACCCCACCCAGGACTAATAAAATGTTGCGAGTAAGCACTACATTAAGACGACACGAGGGAATTTGGTTAATTGAAGACATAGCCGAAAGCCATGTGTCGTACATGTTTTCTTTGCATTTGCTTGAGTATTTATTGCAAAAGTCGGTCTACAATGATCACGATGCAAATGTAGATAATGACATCCAATAAATCAATTGAACCTGCCCTAACTCAAATCCACAATCGAGGCAAAATAAGTAAAAAACGGTGAACCATGAAACAAGAACGCTAAGAGACAAACAAATAATAGCAAATGATAAAGCGGAGGAACAGATGGCTTCCTAGCCGGACGTTACTCTTTCCAAAATCAACATGCCACCCGTCCTCGAGGTATATGCGATGTAAAGCAAAAAACAGCCAGAAAAGGTCATTGCGAAGAAGTCGTCAGAAGGTCATGATAACTTTTTGAAGCGTAGTGTCGACAGATCAAAGAAACGACTTTACTGCTTCGACCACCAGTCGCCCTGGTCGTGCATGGCGCGAGCGACCTTGACGAAGCCGGCAATGTTGCTGCCAGCGACCAGCGACGGCAGCTCGCCCTCGGCGGTCTCGACGTACTCCTTGGCGGTGTTGAGGCCGTTCTCAAAGGCATTCTTCATAATGTCCTTGAGCTTGTTGTCGACCTCCTCCTGGGTCCAGGCCAGGCGCTGGCTGTTCTGGGCCATCTCGAGACCCGAGACGGCGACACCGCCGGCGTTGGACGCCTTGCCGGGCGCGTACCAGACGGCCTCCTTGGAGCCCTTCTTCTCCTTGCGGTCGGCCTCGAAGATGTCAATGGCATCCTGGGTGCAGCCCATGTTGGAGCCCTCGGCGATGAACTTGGCACCAGCAGCCACCAGGGCCTTGGCCTCCTCGCCGCTGACCTCGTTCTGGGTGGCGCACGGCAGGGCGACGTCAACCTGGCCGACGTGGACCCAGGGGCGCGCGCCCTCGATGTAGGTAAAGCGGTCCTGGACGTTGAACTCGGTCAGGGCCTTGCGGTCGACCTTGAGGTCGGCAATGGCGGTGATGTCGGCGGGCGTGACGGAGCCGCCCTCCTTGGCGACGATGGAGCCCTTGGAGTCGGACAGCGAGACGACGGTGGCGCCGAGCTCAATGAGCTTCAGGGCGGCGTACTGGGCGACATTGCCGCTGCCCGACAGGGCCACGCGCTTGCCGGCAAAGGAGCCAGCGCCGGCGTACTCGAGCATGTGGGCGACGTAGTAGACGAGACCGTAGCCCGTGGCCTCGGGGCGGATCAGCGAGCCGCCCCAGGACAGGCCCTTGCCGGTCAGGACGCCCTCGAAGTTGTTGCGCGCAGCGCGGTAGGTGCCGAACATCCAGCCGATCTCGCGGCCGGAGACGCCAATGTCACCGGCGGGAACGTCGGTGTCGGCGCCAATGTGGCGGGACAGCTCACGCATGAAGGAGACGCAGAAGCGGCGGATCTCGCCGTCGGACTTGCCCTTGGGGTCGAAGTCGGCACCGCCCTTGCCGCCGCCCATCATGAGGCCCGTGAGGGCATTCTTGAAGATCTGCTCAAAGCCGAGGAACTTGAGGATGGACAGGTTGACGGTCGGGTGGAAGCGCAGACCGCCCTTGTACGGGCCCAGAGCGGAGTTGAACTGGACGCGGTAGCCGCGGTTGACCTGGAGGTCGCCGTTGTCGTCCTCCCAGACAACGCGGAACTGAACAATGCGCTCGGGGATGGACACGACCTTGAGGGCGGTGCGGTACTCGGGGTTCTTCTGGAACAGGGTGCTGTTCTCGAGTGTGCTGACAAGCTCTGCAAAGAAGGAAGAATTCGGCATTAGCGCGTGATTCAGAGAGGGAGTTGGCGGATTGCGACACAACGTTGGGTATGCCCGAAAATGCAGATTTGCCTCTGAACTAATCGCGCACCAATCTCTTTTCTTATCTCCATTGCGCCCAACACAACGCCACCGACAAAAAGAACCGCAAGCCAAACCAGAGTTCAGCTGCAGCTCTGATCGTTTCATGCATCTGTTATCTCGGGCTTCACCTCTGCAATCTTGACGTATCTTTGGCAATCTCGGCAGTCTCACTCCAATCTTGGCCCAATTGCACCCTTGCATCTCATCCTCGAGCATCACAAGTCGTGTGTGGAAGTCGTGTGTGGTTTTCTTTTTTGTGCACATACCGTTGTAGGCCTGCTCGAACTCAGGCTCGACGGGAAGGTTCGACATTATGGCGGTTTTGGAACAAACAGCTGGTATCTTACTTCGAAAGCTGGGTATAAAGAAAAAAGTGTTCCGTATCACACGTGTATGTATAGAATGGAGAATGAATATGAATAACAAGGGGACAGAAGAAGGGGAGGGAGAGAGAAGAAGAGTCTTGGAGGAGAGGAGAAGAGCGACCGATCTTATACTCGGGGATGGCGATGAGTAGGAAATTTCCCTTTTACCATTTTAGTCTTGTAAGACAAGCTACGGGACGATGTGGAGGGCAGCAACGACTAGAGAGAGCTTCGCCTTCCAGACAAAGAGGATCAAGGGGGACGGGCGCGATGGAGACGAGGCCGGAAAAGAACGCATGGGTCTTCTTCGTCTTGAGAGGATAGAGATTACGGAGGGGCGTCAACTTACACGACGAAAAGAGTAACAAGAAAGCCGTAGCCAGTGGGGTGGAGAGGACAAGAGAGATGGAAGGCCAAGAAAGGTCGTCGTGCAAGGTAGAGGCAACAAAGAAGAGTGCAACATGGCTAAGGGACGCCGTCCGAACTCCTACTTCGGCGCCTTGCAGCCTGGTGTGGCTCTTTCCGTTGACAACGGCCTTGTTGTCATACAAACACGCTGTTGGAGAAGAGGAGACCAGGGAAGGGACGAGCAGCGAGGCCACGGCAGGAGCGTGGGTAGGCTAGACGGCAGTGGGGGTTGCAGCCTCTGCCATTACTTTTTCCCGGGGAGGCGAAAGAGAACAGACGAGGCAAGAGCAATCAAAAGGCGAGTAGGCTGAGCTAGCACCGCGGGCTGTGACTGGCTGGGACTAGGCCTTTCGGCCCTGTGTAAGACCGCTAGCAGACTGGCGCCGGAATCGCACGACCAATTGGTGCCTGGGCACGCTAAGCTCGCGTGCGGACAAAATCGAAAGCCAAGAGCGTCTCGTCTCTGACCAAGGCACGACCGACAAGTCCCAAGAAGGAAATATGGCCTAACAGAGAAAGAGCGAAAAAGCGCGCGAAGGCGAATACCAACTCTGCAGTACAGACGGCCTGGCCAAGGCCTGTAAAGAGGCGCTAGAAGCTCTGGCAGGCGCAATCCCAAGCACGCTCTACGGAACCACCGCGAGAGCAAAGGCTACACGGACGAGAATTGACAGATTGACAGGTTCATCGAGGGATGCAAGCAAAAACGAGGCATAAAAACGTAAGGGATGTTATGTTGGCATATGTCCGCTTGACAAGGAGACGTTCCCCCACGACAACATGGCATCACTGCATCGAATGGGCTGGTGGACGGATTAATGGGCGATAGACCGCTTCACGGACACTTCCTGCATCGCTCGAACATCTTTTCTGACACTCGGCCTGTCCATCGGCTTCTTTCTTCTGCACTATCCGGCGTATTATCAAACGAGCATCCGGTGCAACGTGTCGTGTGTCGCATCCTCTGTCCCTGTCCTTTGTCGGAGCTCTGGCTCCTCTGCGCCGCTGGCCGCGTCGAATGGACGACGGCGATTGGGTCGCAATGGATGAAGATCGAATAATGTAAATACGTACGACATACTTGCACTTCCAACCAATGGCCAAATGCTTCCAGAGGAGACGTAGAGACGGGGCAGCAAAGCGAGAAAGGAACAGGGGCGTGTTGAAAAGGCAGATCCATCTAGATCCCGTCCGTTCTCGCATCGACTAGGTCACTAGAACGAGACCAAAGTTGCCTCGTCCGACACAGGACTTACTTGGGCGGTATTAACATGCGATTCGCCAGTTGGCCACCGGGCTGTAGTTGTCCTTTTATGTGCACAACATTCCAATTGAAATGTGGAAACGACCTTTCGGCGTTGGGGAGAGCGGAAGGCAGGAGGTAGCCTGGCAGTTACGGTTGCCCGCTCAGTGCGGCCATTTCCGTGCTCCGGTAGCTTCTTGTTGAAAGTCTGTTCCTGAAAATTATCGCCCGCTGGAACGCGGTTGGGAGACCGTTTTTACAGCGCAATTATTGTGGCCCCAAGCCTCAGCCGTGCGCCACTGGTACTTCTTTTTGTGACTCCCGCACACCATCTCTTCCGTTCCTGTCCTCTTTGTCCCTCCCGCTCCTGCCATCCACTCTGTCCCACCACTCGGTGCTGGCTCCGATATTCGCAGGCTTTTCACCATTCCATTTCGTTTCGTTTCATTTCGTTTTTGACCTTTGAAAGCGATGGGCGAGATGCTGCCAGTTGTCCTCTACCTGTCTACCAGACGTAGTACTATTGCAACGGGTTCTCCGCAGGACTCGAACAAATCTTAAACGCGGTCTTTTATCTCCCCTCGCTCTTTTCTTTTTCTGGGTCTTTCTTGCGGCTTTTTTCTTCCTTCGTTGTTAAACATTGCAGCTCAGGCAGGATTTTGTTCAGCATTTTGGCACACATTGTCTTGCAAGAGCCTCCCGGTTACCTATTTCGGATTATCCTGTTGGACAGTTGTGCGGGAAATTGACTCACTGCGCAAACCGAGTGCTTTTTTCTTCTGTTTAAGGTTGCGGTCCTCAAATGATATAGGCCTGTCTTCCACAGCACATGTCACGTTTGAAGGCCCATGAAAGGAGCATACTGAAAAGTAAACACATACGCGACATCAGCTTGTATATTGGTCGATTTTGTCGACAAGTCGTGCCATCGCCATTTTCGCGTGTGTCCGGCCTTAATGTGGCAACGCAGCATGCGATCAACCGCACTGGTCTGAAATCTACTGGTTTGGTGTGACCTCCTACACAAGTAACTCCACGAGTGGACTTTGCTCTGACTTCCCCACAAACGCCATTTCGTGTATCTCTCATGCATATCCATGAGCCTTCTGTTGTGCATCTCCTAGTTCCTGCTTTTCCGTCTCGATAATTCGTCCACTTCTGCCAGTTTCCAATCCTCGCACTTTGAGAGGTCCCAGGCGTCATCGTTCCCTGCATTCCGGTTCGTTTTGGTTCGTTTTGGTTCATTTTGTTACGAAACAAAAATGGCCCTCACTGGTCGAGCGCAAGCCAAGCATTGTGAGAGGTCGACCGGATCAGAAACAAGCAACAATATGTTTGTTCAAGATGGAGGGTTACCACGGCTCCCCCACGGGCGGCTGGGAAGAGAGGGGGCAAAAAGAAAGTGAAATAAAACACGCCGTGTAACAAGAAAGAGGAGAACGAGAGGATGCCCGCATTGAAATGCGATTTCGTCGACTCAGACTGTGAGAAACAGGGCAACGTTGGGAATGGCAGAACGCCGTCTCCGATGCCCTGCCCTCGTATGTACGCGATGTGGAGCAGCTCTGACGGCTCGTAGTTCCGCGCAGCTCGGACGAGATCAACAAGTGGGTGCAGAGAGTACTTAAAGACGACCACGCGAGCGGCGAATTACGGCGTGAAAGCCAACGGACTGACAGGTTGACAAACTTGACAAAAAAGGTAAAATCTAAAGGGTCGCTGGGAAAAAGGGCCCTTGCCAAGGCGCTTCGGTCGATGTAGTAAGGCAGGTTTACCCAATGGGAGCGCCGCTCGCAGTTTACATCACCAAACACAAACTCAATCGAAACACATAACAGCAAGCTCATTGTGCTGCCAAGAGATAAGATGTGTATATGGGTCCGGTGGGTCGATTGTAAGATACACCCAAAATAAAAGTGACTTGGCGAGCCACAAACGTCCGACTTGGACGAATGACTACTGACTGAAGTTGGTGGCCGACAACGTGTTGACGATCGTTTGAAATATCACACTTCAAAAGTGCGTAGGTAGCAAAAGAAACGTAGTACTGGCCATTTCGTGCACGCAAATCGGCAGCGACTGCACAAGTAGATGACTTATTTCCATCTGATGCTGGTCGTAGATATGTGGATGGGCCGGCAGCGGCGTTCTCTTTCGCCAACGTGCGTAGTACTAATGTTGTCTTATCAATCTCCTCATGCTCATTAGCCTCACAGGACCAGTGCCGACCGGACGGCGCTTTCCATGCTCGGCATACGACATACTGTGTACGACGATGCACGACTACTTCCAGCCGCCTGGGGAGCAGAGACGTTAATCCCTGGCTGGCATAGCTCGGAGGGCGCTGAATGGTACAGCGCACGCACTGCCCAGGGGTGGAGGGCCGGAGGGCTGGCGAGAAGGAAGCTTGTTGGAGCTTGGACGTACATAGTAAACGATAAGGACACTACAACAGAAGAGTGACATGTCGGAGGCAAGGCGGGTAAAAGGCAAAGTTGTTAGTCGGTACGGAGATCATGAAGATGTGCAAGTGAGGATGTGCTTTAGTCGAAGGTTGGATGACGATCTTAGAATAATAAAGGTAAACTCGACAAAATAGGGACAAAAAAGAGAAAGCAAAACAAAGCTGACAGCTATCCACATGCTTATCATATCCCATGAATTTTCTAGTTAGCCATCACCATATTACTGCGTGCCCATCATGATAACAAGGCGAACGAAACAAACAAAAGCATCGAGAATACAAAACAGAATCAACAGTGTACATATGCTGAGACCAAAAACAAACCAAGAAAGAAAACCAGGACAATAGAATAAATTATCCGTACGTCATATTACACGCCTTCCACACTACCATGTCGCCGCGGCGTCAAAGTCGAACCGTTGCAAGTCCTTGTTCGCGTCCTCCAGGTCCTTCTTCGCCTTCATCCGCATGTAAAAGATCGGACAGTCTTTGCTGCTGCAGATCACCTCGCAGTGCATGCTGCCCTGGCACCGCTGGCACTGCGTCCACAGACGCCCGAACCGCACCTCAAGATCCGACACCTTGTCGAGCGTCTTGTTGTACAGCTCGCCCACCCGCGGCGCGTCGTCTGCGCACACCGCGCCCTGGCTCTCCTCCTTGCCGCGCAGCGGCTTCTTGCACGCCATGCACGTCTGCGTCTTCTTGGCAAACTTCATCAGCCCGCCCACCGACGGCGCCGCCACCGAGATCGACCGCGTGTGGTCGCCCGTCAGCAGCGACCGTGCCTTGGCCTCGCCCATGATGGGCTCAAAGATGCGGCCCAGCGGCTTCGCCAGCTGGTTGTCCAGGTAGTACTTGGTATCGATGGGCACATTGTTCTCGAGCACAAAAATGGGGTCCTCCGACCGCTCAAAGTTCTTGGAGCCCGTCGCGCCCTTGACCATCACGTACGCCACACGGTCGCCCAGGCCCGGTGCCGAGCCCGGGTCGCGCTTCTTCATCCGCTCGGCGAGCTCGACGTGCGCCTGCTTGGCCTTGTAGCTCTCCTTGGTGAGCGCCTTGGTGATGACCAGCTTCGACATGTCGATCTTGTTTTGCAGCAGGTCCGAGATAATGTCGCGCACGTACGCCTGCGCACCCACCTCGTCCTGGTCAATCAGCATCATGCGCAGCACCTTTTCAATCACCGTCTGCACCAGCAGGCAGTTGTCACGCCGCACAGTCTCGATGCCCTTGGTGTCCATCTTGTCGTATTTGTCGGGCCGCGTCCAATACAGACCGGCGTACCGCTTCTTGTTGATCAAGAGGTAGGGGTAGTACACCTTTTCGAACTCAAGCTTGATCGGCTTGGCGAATTTCGACGACACGAACTGCGCCGCTTCCTCGCCCAGTTTCATCGCCTCCGAGAGGTCCTTGGTGCCAAACTTGACCATGACCGAATCCGTATCGCCGTACACGACCTGTGCATCGTGTGAGTAGCCGTTGGCGATGTTGTAGCGCGCCTCCACCTCGTTTTTCGTCCGCTCAATCATCTGGCGACCGTAGCTTGTTGTGCTGCGTGCAATCTCGAGACAGGGCAGCTTGCCAGTGGTGGCACCCGTCAGGCCGTACACACTGTTGGCGCTGATCTTCAAGGCGAGCTGCCGACCGTTGAGCACGGCCTTCTTGAACGAATCCGTCTCCATGGCCAGCTCGCGCTTTGCTTGCTTACGCGCCGCTAGCAGTTCCTCCAGAATCTGTGCCAGCAGACCCTTGCGTTGCGCCACCGTCACAAACTTGTCGTTGTTGGGCGTCACAATGTAGTCAATATCCTTCTTTAGCCCAAACGCTTCAATCGCAGTGTTGTTGACAAGCGTCGTGTAGCATAGGTTGTGCGCCTGCATAATACTGGGGTACAGCGAAGCGAAATCGAGCGTCGCTACGGGCTCTTTGTAGAAATCACGCACCGGCTCGATAACCGTCGCTCCCTCGTACTGCTCGTCCGTCCCCTTAGACTGCAGGTTCGGCACGACAAGCTTTTGATCAAGAGCCTTGCGGAACAGCTGGCTGATGAATTTCACTTGCTGCCCGCGTGACAGCAGGAAGTTGAAGGGCACGCCTGTGACACGGGCCATCTCTGTGTAGTTTTCGAGACAAGACAGCTTGTCCATCAGCCGCTGTGGCAGGTACGCGTCCTTTAAGCAGTAGAGTGCGAGTCGTCGTCGGTTCTCTGGTGTGCCGTTGAACAGCTCTGTAATCATGGTGTAGTGCACATCCTCCTTCTGCTCGCCCAGGAAGTGTGAGCACACCGAGTTGAGCGTGTAACTGCGTAGGTGGTGGTCGCGCTGAATTAGCTGCAACAGGTCCAGCTGCAGCCGCCCGTTGATGTTGGTAGCCTTGGTGTCGCGACTGCCCATCTGCTTGCTCGTGAGGTTGGAATCTTTCGACTGCGACTGAACACTTGGGATACGTGTCCAGTGATTGAACCGAGGAACTTTGAGATGCTGTGCACGGTCAAGGAGGTAGGGGAAATCAAAGTTGGCAATGTTGTAGCCTGTGATGATGTCCGGGTCGACACGCAGCAAAAAATCGCGCCATGACGCCAGCATGGCCTCCTCGCGGTCAAACTCGAGCACCTGTGTTGCCACGATCGAACTTGTCTTGTCAAGACAAAACACGTTGCGCACGAATGGCTTCTTCTCACCATAGCGCGTCACCACGTTGGCAATCTGAATAACCGGGTCGTGATCGGCCTCAGGAAAAATACCCTTGCGGCCGGCACACTCAATATCAAAAGACAGAATGCGCATCGGTGCCATCTTGGACCACTCGCCGACGGGTTTGTGCGCCACGAGGTCAACGTAACTGATCTCGGCCTCGATCTGACAGTTGGACTGCTTGTTCTGGTCCGGAATAAGCATGTACTTGTTGGCCGGCGCAGTCACCCAGGACATGCCAAAGATGTCGCAGTCGACCATGAAACGCATGACGTACTGCAGATTGTCGTAGGTCATAATCTGACCCTCGGCCTGGCCCCACATGCCCTTCCAGTTGGCCCGGCGGTTCTCGACGGCGGAGCGGACGCGGCTGATATGCTTGTGGTCTGTCACCGTGATCTTGAGAAAAGGGTTCTGTGTGTTGTTTTGGAAGCCGTAGATGCTCTCACGCATCGTCATTTGCACGGAGTAGATCACCGGCTGGTGCCATGCCATCTGTGCCTCCAGGTACGCCTGGAACGCCTTGCAGTCCGTGGGCGCAAACGACGCCGGTGCCGCCACGTACAGGTAGTGCCGGAACTCGGTGACATGCAACAGCACCGAGTTTCCCTCTTCTGTCACACCAAACAGCTTGACCGTAGGCCGTCCGCCGTGCGTTGTGCCCTCCTCAGCTTCGATCTGCTGGAAGGACAGGTCGGACGTGTGCGCGTCAAAGTCTGCGGGAACCGGTGGCCGGTCCCAGATCTGGTCCTTTTCGGCGTTGTTTTGCTTGAGTTCGTTGATGTCCTGGCTCAGCTTCTCGAGGACCTCGGACTCGAAGACGCTCTTCTGCTGGCTGGAGCCACCGAAGCGGCCGGGACCATTTTGCGAGCTTGGCAACAGCTGGCGTCCTGCAGCCGGGCTCGACGACGGCGGCAGATGTTCCAGGCGGCGCTTCTTGGCTGACGCAGACGGTGTCGACGGTACAGCAGCAATGTTACTACGAGCATTGGACGCCTCGCCAAATACCCGCTTCTGCGGGAGAACCGCGGCCGGCATTGTGGAAAGCAGGAGGCGATGTCGGGAGAGTCAGGAGAGTCGGGGTATTCGGGTTGTTTACGATCTTTCCGTCAGAGAAGCGGTAGTCGACATGCTTTGAATCAGAATCGGCCTTGTGTGTCGAACAAGTGAAGCGTGTAATTGCGTCTGCTGTGTGTACGACTTCAGATTGTCATGATGGCACGAAGGTGGATTGTCGCTTTCCTAGGAGGCAAATCCATTTAACAGGTCAGGCACGCCAACCGCGTTCTAGCGTGACAAGCGTGACGGGCGTCCCGAGTTGCTCTCAAAGTCGTGTTTTGACCCACCTAAGCACATGACTTGGCGTCTTCTGTGGTCAAGTTTGGCGGGGTTATAGCACTTACGGAAGGGCGCGTCAAGACCACTGTAGCAAAGCAGCCTCACCCACTAACATATAAGCTTTAACGGATCTGTTTACTCGTTTTAGTGACGAGGCTGTTGGGCAGCAAGAGCTTTCAATGAAGGGACGTTATAGCTTCGTTGTAGCTCGCTGTTATCAAAGCACCAACCCCCTACCATCTCAGCAATCGATCTTCTCGGATAGCGAATACATTCCGCTCCCTGTCTCTTCAACCTTCTTGACCAGGAGTTTTCATACCTCCTTCACTGCAACAAGCAATGGCCGACCGCCATCCGATCTACAATACGAGTCGCCATCAAATCGGCTCTCGAGTCGGCACCGGCGCCTTTCCGCGAGCACCTCGAGTCACCGCGACAAATAGCAGTGGATCAACAGGAAGCGGCGGCAGTGCTTCGACGGCATCGACAAGTGTGCGGCGGAATCTGTTCCAGAGCCAGCTGACACGCCGGCCGACCCAGGCCACATCGACCGCATCCGGGGCAAATTCAAATGCATCCAACGATGGGCTTCGGACAGGCGTCCTAGGTGGCCTCGACGGCTCTGATGCGGGATTTGAGTCTGCACTGGCCTCAGATCCGTCTTCTCGAGGTCCCGCGGAAATTGTTGTACGCGACCGCAACGGCGAGCTTGAGCTGGTCGATCCGCCATCACCGACAGCAGACGAAATGAGCGAGATGGCACTGGATGCCCGTCAAGAGAGTGAGAGTACGTTCATAAGAGGGGGACAGACCAGTTGATGCTGTATGAATGCTATGCTAATGCTGGCTGCGAAGGAGAACGGCAGAGACTGGCAGATACGATCAAGTACCACCAACAGCGAACGAGTATTCCTGGGCAACCCGAAGGTATGTTGTGTCTCGTGGAGGAGTAATTGCTCTGCATTGTTTGCTGACTGTACTTTAGAACTGCTCGATGCTCTCAGGGCAAGCCTCCGTGCCAAGGTCTCGGCGCTGTCGGAAGACAACTGGATGTACGAGCCCGAGGATATGCCACGGTTTGATTAACTAGGTCCGACAGCTACGTGTCGCTTTAGGAACATTTTTATCGTGTCTACTGCTATTGATCGGTCTCTGTATTACATGTTCCAAGCGCCGGGTCGTGGTATTAACCCATCGTCGAATATTGATAAGTCGCCGTCCTAATCAACCCTTCGCCTCCAACAACACGGTGATATTTCAGCGGCTAGTCCAAACCTTCCGCGACTGGTGCCTCGATGCTTCTGTTTCCCTTTGCTCTTGTGTTGCCACCGCCGCCACTACCACCACCACCACCAGCACCGCCGCCGAACAAGCTTCCCATCATATCAAACAGCGGGTTGCTCTGCCGTGGCCGCTGGATGTGGAAGTACATCTCGGCAATCGTCTCGACCGCGTCTGACCATGACTCGTTCTCCCGCAGCTGTGTTGCGTATTTGGTCGACAGTTGCCGGAATAGCTCAGGGCTGCCGCGCTGGACGGCCAACAGTAACAGGCTAAGGAAATTGAGGAGCGGCAGGCTGGGGAACACGCGCACATCAGCGCTTGCACTGCTCACGTCTTGGATATTGAGGCCCGGGTTGTCGTTGGTCAAGGCGGTCGCAAAGACGCGAAAGCTCTCGTTGGCGGCGCGTACGTTGGCCATGAGCAGGTATGGCAGGACAGCTCGACCAACGTACAGCGGGGCTGTATGAGCTTCGTCCTGCTGGTACCACGCGTACTCCATGCGAGCAAGAACTGCTGGAGAGTCCTTGGTTCCGGTCAGGAGGTGGCGCTCGGCCTCGTAGGGTTCGTGCTCGTCGGCATAGAGCGAGCCGATGACGTGGTGCAGCTCAGGGTCGCCGGCCGGGTATTCGCCAAACTTGGCAGACCATCTGCACACAATATTAGAGAGCTTGAATTGGTAGAATAAGAACAGAGACCAACTTCCACGCATCACTTACGCTATGGCTTCCGTAATGTACTTCTTGCGCGTCGGCTCCCCACTGTCAAAGAGGCGCAGACATGTCAGAACCCGGCCCCGCGATATGGCGTCGGGCGTGAGCTCTGCCTGCTGGTAAACATCGACCATGAAAATGCTCAGGTCGCCGCCGCTGCCGCCCTGGCCTGCCTTCAACAAGGCTTGCGCCACATTGTACAAAATATCAATGGCCGCTGTCCAGTTGGCAGCCTTGATGTGACGAGCGGCAACGACGCGGGTTTGTTGCTGAGCTTCATAGTACTGGCCTTCGCTGATACGTTGCTGCATACGCGCAATGATCTTTTCGATCTTGTCGCTGCGAGCCGCCATGGTGATCGTCGGAGGGGTTAGGACGTATAGATTGGAATGAGGTTGTGTTTTTGGATGTGGTGGCGTCGTCAAAAGATGTCTCAAGTTCGGTGAGGAAGGACCACTGATGGGGTAGCTTCGCCAAAGACAGGTTTTCGATTAGGGGGATTGGCGGGGTTAGCTGCTTGATTGGCGGGAGCTTCTTCACCTGATCAAGCTGGGTAATTTAACCTAGCAAATGATTGAAATTTTATGTCTATAAGCAACTTTGGTGTAGCGGTAACATCTACGCTTCCCATGCGTAGGCTCCGGGTTCGACTCCCGGAAGTTGCAGTTGCTTTTTGCCTTTTTTTCTAGCCTTCACAAACACCTTTTCTACAATCGAAAATGTGTTCCGTATGGTTATGCCTTTTCCTTTATTTTATTTTTGTCTTTAATTCACCGCCACCAGACACAACTCCAGTGACAAGCACAATGTACGTCTTATATATTAGTTTGTCTCTTTCTTTGTCGAGCACCGAATTGCCGCAGAATAGCGTTGCGATTAGCCAGTCTCTTAGTGCCACAGGCTACGAGCCGCTGTAACTGAGCCGCCTACACAGTTAGGTTAGAACCTGGATCGCCCAAAGTGGATAACAGCCTCAGGGGCTGGCCCAATCACGGTCGCTGGTTCCCGAGCTGCCTTCGTCATCCTAACATTCCGCAAATGGCCATCTCGCGACGTTCCTGGATATGCACCGCATCAAATCGAACAGCAAACTCATTTCGCGTCACTCGTTTCTAAGTGCTCTATTTCCCTACTTCTCTATCCCACGACATACCATGTTTAATACACCAACGCGCACAACATAATGGCGTCTCCTAATGATGAGGACCCGTTCCTCCAGGTCCAACAGTATGTTTCAGATGCCTTCATCGCTACTAAAGATATGAACTAACCGATGCTCTCCTTCGTCCGTAGAGATGTCCTCTCCCAGCTAGCCTCGACACGGCCCCTCTTTGAGTCCTACCTGCGCATCCGCTCCCTCTCGACAGCGGCCACCTCCCCGGAGCTCACAGCCGCTCGTGCCGATCTTGAGTCTGCACTCTCGTCGCTCGCCGAAGACCTCGCCGACCTCGTCGAGAGCGTGCGCGCCGTTGAAGACAACCCGGCTCAGTTTGGCCTCAATGTGGCCGAAGTCACGCGGCGCCAGCGCGTGGTGCAGCAGGCGAGCGAAGAGGTGGACAAGATGCGGCGTGAGCTCAAGGCCGTGGTGTCAGGCCACAACCGACCAGGAGGTGCTGGTGGTGCTGGCGGCGACCTGCCCGACCCAAACGCGTTTGCCATGGAAAATGGTGATGGAACAGACAATTACGCTGAGTTTGAGCGCGAGCAACAACTGCAAATGATGAATGAGCAGGACCAGCATTTGGACGGCGTGTTCCAGACGGTCGGCAACCTGCGGCGGCAAGCCGACGACATGGGCCGCGAGCTGGAGGAGCAGCGCGAAATGCTCGAGGTGACAGACAACCTTGCGGACCGTGTCGGCGGGCGGTTGGAGACGGGTATGAAGAACTTGCAAACCATTATCCGGCGCAACGAGGACCGGTATAGCAGCTGCTGCATCGGTGTGCTGATTGTTGTCCTGATTGTGTTGCTGGTTTTGCTTCTCGTGCTCTAGCATACGGAAGCCTCATAATTTTGTTTCTTTGGTCAATGTTCTACACATGTCTATTCTCGGCGTCGGCGGCGTTGCCATATAATGTTTACATGTTCTTTCGTATCAAATGATGTACATAGCATGCGTAAAGAAGTATTTCTTGCTCAGAAGGAGCCACTACAACCAAATAACACTTCCACCCAGGTAAACACAAAGCTTCGAAGGAAACGACTTCATAGTCGTACTTTGCTATGTTACAACAAAATCTAACGGCAAATATCAAAATGAACAATAAACGCCCAAGTAATGCGTAAGTTCTTGCCCCTTATTCAAGCAGACACAAGAACAAAACGTGTATAGAGGAAAGCAGTGCATCAGTGAAAGTACACTATAAAAAACAACAAAGGAAATGTTCAAAGCCCGTTCGAGCCTCATTTCACACCCTATATGTTCTCGAGATCCAATCCCGTCTTTACGTTGATCGTCTTTGCCAGCACCTTGAGTGTTTCGCTTGCAGCCGACGCCTTGGGAATGCGTGCCGGATAGTCGACCAACGCACTGCGGAGCGCCGCTATACCCGCGTTTCCATAGAAGCCCAAAAACTTGGACTCGTTGTCGGCAATCATGGCCTTGAGAACGTAGCACTGCGTCTCAGACATTTCCTCGGGCGGCGTGTTGACGATCTGCGCGAGAGCCGTCCAGTAGACCGTCGGCGGCCAAGGGCTCTCACGCTTGACACGCGAGAAATCACGCAGTGTGATCGCCGCGAACCCGGCGCCCAATCCCGTCATGCGGTCAATGTGGTACTGCTCCGGGATCCAGCGGCCGTCCTCCTTGCGCCAGCCGACCTGGGCCCGTCCACGCTCCATCTTGTCGTTGCCGCGGAAGCCAAAGAGCACCGGGCAAACGACGCGGTACTTGGCAATGAGCATATCAATCATTGGCTTGCCGCGCCAGAGGAATTCGGCCTCCGAGTAGACCTTGACAACAGCCTGGCCAATGGCCTCAGCAGTGCGCGGGTCGGCGCCCGACTCGTTAATAAACTGTGCAATGGCAGCCTTGGACAGCACATTGAGCAGGTACAGGTAGAGGGACGGCAATTGCGGTTCGTTATGGAGAGCGCCCTCAACGGGCTGCGTGCGCGGCTCCAGCACAAACTGGCTGGGGTCCATCAACTCGCTCGGCACTTCCTTCAAACCTGCCGTAAGCGTCGTGATGATGCGGGCAACGGGTACACGGTTCTCACGCAGGCCGCCGCTGGTCAACTGGCCAAAGGACTTCCTAATGTCCCGGCGCATATCGCCCATCCGGCTCTTCAGCGCAGGATTGGTCTTCGACTGCTGTGCAACAAACTTGCGCAGAGCCTTGAGGTTCTTGTGCACCTCGATGTGCCGGTCAGGTGTGGTCGCTGCAGGGGCAGCAGCCGGTTCTGGAGCAGTCTTAGCCGGTGCAGCTGCCGCAGCAGTGCCGTTGGTGAATGGGGACGGAGACGGAGACTGTGTAGGTCGGGGTGTGCCTGCCAGCTCCGAAGCCGGAGACGGCATACCAAACGGTGACGATGGTGCAGTTCCGTTCAACTTTGATGCCGAACCTCTAGAGAAGGGGTTCGCAGGAGGTTGCTGTGATGGTGGCTGGGCGGCCGGGGCCTGCTCCTGTTGCTTCTTAATCGGTTCTTCGGCGGCCGCTGCTGGTGGTCGGGTTGATAGTGGCGGTGATGACGACTGTGCCGCCGCCGCCGGTGGTGGTGCTGCTGGTGGCGGTGCTGCGATCACGGGTTTCGGTATGGGGGCCGCCTTTTGTGCAGCAAGTCGCGCCTCGTCCTCCAGCTGCTTGATTTTCGCCTGGCGTTCCTTCTCGATACGCTTGGCCTCTTCGGCGACGCGCTGCCTCCGCCGCCGCTCCTCATCCTCGATCTCACGCTGGGCCACTGCCAGCTGGTGCAGATCGAACACATGCAACGCCGCCTTAAGCACGCGGTCATGTTCTCGCTGGGCCTCGGCGTAGTTGCGGCGATGCGCCTCGGGCGAGTTGCGCGACTCGAGCAGGAAGTCGGAGATCTCGGGCGGGTCGGACATGGGGTACGCAGACTGGCGCCACGACGGCGCAGGAGAGGCCCTGGCCGTGCGCGGTCGTGGTGGTGAGGAGTTGGCCATGACGGGACGACGGTGGGAGTGTTGTCCGGGAGGAGAAGGGAGGGTATGAGGAGGAAGGTGAGATAAGACAAGGAGATGAAGTGTCGGAAAGTGAGAGGGAAACAGTTGTCTCTCTCATAGCTCGGCGACCGTTAGCGTAACTATATTGGGTATTGGTAATGCAAAACAGCAAAGACAGAAGCGAGCGTCAACAGTTGGCAGTGGTCGCGCAGTTAGTACCTCGCAAAATGCGTTGTATCGCGATGTTGGAAGTCAAAACAAAGCTGTCAATAACATCACCGAAATGTGAGGCCGTCGAGTTTTGCTGGTTGGCTCTTGGACGCGGCGTCGTTTTAGCGCGTTGGCCCTGCTGAGGTTGGGCTTGTTACCAAAAGTATTAGTACGCCAAAATTAGCGCCGGCCGCCTCTAAATTCTCGAATACGGGCAGTAAATACACAGTACCTGGTTAATGCTTGCAAGTGCCTGCGCCCAACAAGTACTCAGTCAGCAAAGAGCTCATTCGCCTTACAGACCCTTTACCCGTTCACAGGCCCCGCTATGAGTGCAGCTGCCGCTAAAGCTAAAGGAATCGCTTAATGCCAACTACGATGTAATTACGAATTTTCGACTGGCCCGGAGAATAGTAATGATGAGCTATCGCTTGTCGATTACTGGGGCTTCCGGGAGCCGCTACAGTGCTCCAGCGCTCTGCCTCAGCTCGTATACGCAAAAGCCTCGAGGCCGGCTTTCTGCCGGGCGGTCAACAGGCGCCGTTGCTACAGGGCCAAAGCTGCGTAAAAGCGGGGCAGTTTGCAGTTTACGGCATTGACTGCGCTGTCCAGGCCCGCAGCAGAAGCCCACAGGTGCCCGCACAAGGAGCAACGGCCCCACTCCTACACCCACACAAGACTGCCAACAGCCGCTAACCAGGGAGAAGAGGCGAGAAGAAGGAAGGAGTAGGGCAACCAGGAGGAGGAGGAGGAGGAGCAGGTGCCCAAAAAACGAGAGCTGGGGCAACGACGTCTCCATCACACCTTCCAAGCATCACCATATTATTTCGCCTTTGCTCTTTCCCTCTTCTTCTTTTCTCCTTTTCTCCATATTCGCATTGTTTTCTTCGCCTTCCTTCTGTCCCTCTCTTCCTCGTATTTTCTTGATCAGTCCTTCCCTTCTTTATCATCGTCTCTCCTTCCGCAACCATTGCCGAGCCTTTCGCTCTCTCAGTATCGCTCCACCACGGTTGCTGTGTCCGTTCAGGCCGCGTGGTCGCTGGCTGCTGCTTGTGCCGTCCCCCTTTTCAAGCCAACAGCTTCCTGTCCGTCCACCATCCGCATCCGCATCCGCACATATGCCGTTTGCCTCGCATCGCTATCCTCAATTCTCCAGCTTCGTTTGACCTCGGAACCGTCTGTCTCCTTGGCATTTCCCTAAGCTAATCGATCCTCTGTCCACGGATCACAATTTTATCATCACACAAAAGACCTGTGTTGCAACATCCACTTTCTCGCATCGTCCATATCGTCAGCTATCCCCAACGACAGCTCACCCCGTTTGATATTCAAAATCGTCGAGCTTGTTCTATCTTTGTCCATTGCATCGCCGCATTTCTATTTCCATTGTTGCCTCGTTACCTAGCTTCGACCGCCTGCCTTTTGCCTTCCATCCCACCTCCAGTTCGAGTACCGCCACCTCGTCCAATCGTCTGAACGACCACCCTTACCGAGTGCATCGTTAGCATATCATCATCCGAGCCTGTGTTCCCTTGAGCTACTGAGCTTCGAGCTGCGCGTATTCAGAAACATCTAGCGTCATGGACCAGCAGCAGAACAACCCGCCCGCTGGGGGCGTCCCCGGGCCGACTGGCCGCCGCTTACATATTGCACACCGACGGAGTCCGTCTGAAATGACGCCGCTCGTCAGCCTGTATACCAACCAAAGCAGTACGTATCCTGTTGTCATTCCCTCCGATGCACCCTATGCGTCTCTGTCTGTCCTTTTCGCACCCTCGTGCCATCTTTCTTTTCGTTTTGTCCGTGTCGACGAGCTTGTCGTGGTCGAAACCCCCCCCCCCCACCGCCGACGGCCTACAGCGCTTTGACACATGTCTCATCTCTCTCCCCATCTGTCCCCCTTCTGTTTACCCCTTCCGACCTCCCCTACCTCGACCACCTCGCCCACAATAGCTCACAGCATCTCCACCGAAGCTAACAATTGTTTACTTTGTTTGTATTCGTTACAGTGACACCTGCTATGCTCCAACAGCAGATTGAGCTCCTGCAACAGCAGCAGCAGCAGCTTCAACAGTATGCCATAAATGGCATGATCCCAAACCAAGGCCTTGGCGCAGGCGGTGCTTTCCCCATGCAGCCCGCTCTCAACATGTCGCCACAGGCCGGCTTTCAATTCCCGGCTCAGCTACCGCCGCAGCAGCAGCAGCAGCAACCGCAGCAAAACGTCAACGCGGGTATTCCACAGCAGACCCACTCACATCGCCGTAATCAGTCGGCTCTCCCTAACATGGGAATGGGCCCGCCTCCGGCCCCATCGTCGGGCGCCTCTGGCTCTACCTTTGGTAATTTTGAAAGCCCAGCCCACGCCCGAGAGGGTGGCGGCCCGAGCTCGCGTACCGGTCGGGGTGGTGGCGGTGCTGGTGGTGGGCACCAGCGCCGCCATTCGCTCGTTGTTGCCGACGCTCGCAAGGCGGCCGAGATTGCCCAACAAAAGCGCACTACGTCCGCTTTTCAGTTCCCTGCTCCTGGTGCTGCCGCTGCTGCCTCTACTTCGTCTGGTAGCGAGAAGCCCGAGGGAGATGTCGTCGTGGACAGCCAGAGCAACCCGACTCCCCCTCCTGCCGTGGCATCCCGTGGCCGCGGGTCCGCCCATGGTCGCAGCCAAAGTATGGCGGTCGGTCGTGGCGGCGGTGGCCTAGGTCGCGGTGGCATGGGCAACTACCAGGCTGAGTCGCTCAGCGGAACACATGACTTCCAGCGCCGCGGTGGCGGCAGCCATGCGCGCACGAACTCGCGCAACTTTGATAGCAACTGGCGCAACCCGGCAGCAGCTCAAGACGGTAGCAACAATGGCCAGCAGCAGCCTCAGCAGCAGCAGCAGCCCCAGCAACCCCAGCAACCCCAGCAGGGCTTTCAACCGGGCCATCGCTCGCGTGCTTCTGTGGGCGGCGGCCAGTCAATCAGCTCCATTGGCGCGTATCCGCAACTGCTACAGCTCCAAGGTGGCCAGATGATGATCCCGGGCGCCTTCCCTGGCCAGCAGCAGCTCAATCAGCTGAACCCCATGCAGCTCGGCCAGCTCCAGGCCATGCAGCAGATCAATGCCCAGCAGTTCCTCGGTCTGCAGAACAGCCAGCACGCTGCCCAAGGACAAGTGCAGCAGAACCAGGCACAGCAGCAGCAGCGCAAGACCCTGTTCACTCCGTACATGCCCCAGGCCACCCTACCCCCTCTCTTGCAGAACGGTGCACTGGTGCAAGGTATTCTTCGTGTCAACAAGAAGAACCGCAGCGATGCATATGTGACCACGGCAGACCTGATGGCGGATATCTTCATCTGCGGAAGCAAAGATCGGAACCGTGCCCTTGAAGGCGACCTAGTCGCGGTCGAGCTGCTTGACGTCGACGAGGTCTGGGCTCAGAAGCGTGAGAAGGAAGAAAAGAAGAAGCGCAAGGACATCACAGATACCCGCTCTGGCTCAGCAAATGGCACTGGCGAAGGCAACAACGGCTCCGGCATTGGCAACGGTGGCGGTAGCCTCAACAACGGCAGCGACGGTGGCATCCGCCGTCGCGGTAGTCTCCGCCAGCGCCCGACCCAGAAGAAGAACGACGATGTCGAAGTCGAGGGCCAGAGTCTGCTGCTTGTCGAGGAGGAGGAGATCAACGACGAACAGAAGCCGCTCTTTGCCGGCCACATTGTTGCCGTTGTGGAGCGCATTGCCGGTCAGATGTTCTCCGGCACGCTCGGCCTGCTACGCCCGAGCAGCCAGGCCACCAAGGACAAGCAGGATGCGGATCGCAACAATTCACGCCACGGCGACAACCGTAACCAGGACAAGCCCAAGATTGTGTGGTTCAAACCAACCGACAAGCGCGTGCCGCTGATTGCAATCCCAACAGAGCAGGCGCCGCGCGATTTTGTTGAAAAACACCAAGACTACGCTGATCGCATCTTTGTTGCCTGCATCAAGCGCTGGCCGATTACGTCGCTGCATCCCTTTGGCACCTTGGTCGAGCTGCTGGGCCACATGGGCGATGTTCAGACCGAGACCGACGCACTATTACGCGACAACAACTTTGCGTCGGACGAATTCTCCGACGCTGTTCTTCGCAGCATCCACGCTGACTGGGGCACCTCTGGCCCCTGCAAAGAGGACGAGGCGGACATGAAGGAACGCCGCGATTTTCGCGACGAGAAGACGTTCACAATTGACCTGGATGGCACACCCAACCTTGGCAATGCCGTGCACGTGAAGTCTGGTACCGACGGGAAGATTGAAATCGGTGTCCACATTCCCCACGTCGCGCATTTTGTCAAGCCCGCCTCCCTGGTCGAGCGCGAGGCTAAGAAGCGTGGAACTAGCGTGCACCTGCTGAACCGTACGTGTGCTTTGCTGCCACCTCGTCTGGCCACCGACCTGTGCTCGCTCCTGCCGGACGAGGACCGTCTCACGCTCAGTGTCGTCTTCCAGGTCGACGCACACACAGGCGTTGCCGCCGACGAGGACATTTGGGTCGGCAAGAGTGTCATCAAGAGCAACGGCAAGCTGTCTCTTGCCAGCATGAACAAGGCGCTGGCCAACGCCAACGGATTCGAGCACAGCGCGGCATCCGCCAAGGACATTCAAATCCTGCGCCTAGTGACCGACAAGTTCCGCGAAGCACGACTAGGCTCGGCCGGTGAGCCGGTGGCCCCTCTGCGTCTGGTGCAGCAGCTCGATGATGAGAACATCCCTATTGAGCACAACATTTTCGACACCACTCCTGCCGTAGAGCTGGTCGAAGAGC